TGCCTTACTATAGATGCGTCCATCGACGGAGTTACAGCAGATGGCAAAGCAGACGAGCGGACGAGGTATCAGCATCTGAGATTGGAAGATGGTCTGCCTCGACGTGGTTGCTAGAAGATCACTCTTTAAGGAACAAGCCCTTGACACCGCCGCATTCACCCAGCGTAGAGAAGGTAAAGTAATGAAATCATACATTAATGGCATGCCGGTGGCCTAGGCACGGTAACGGAAAGGCTACAGGACGTGAGCATGACCAGGCGGAGGCGCCTTGCCGGAACTCGCATCATAGTAGCAGCGCATGAGGCCCCGGAATCAAGACATGGGGCCCAAGGCATGTCATGATGGGCCTCTACCATCAGCCCAGTGCGAGAGACGTGCATTTAATGCCGTCTGTTTCCTTTCCATCTCGCCCGAGCATGTCAACCATGTCGCTCGAGGGGGTGTCGATATCGCCCATCCCTCTCCGAAGTTGAGCCTCGAAGTCGGCACAGCTCCACAGCAGCCCGACGCAGCCTCATGGGGCCAAGCCTCTTGGGTCAAGATGGGCGACGAATCATGGCCTCGAGAAGGGACGGTATCGGCTTCTCGGGGGCATAGAATGGACCGAGCACGTGAAGAAAGGCTGATCCAGCCAATAGCCTGGACCAACACACGCGTGGGGTCGGGGTGGCGCCCATCCGGGCTGGATAGTCATGGCTTCGTCTGACCATTCAGCGACGCGAGGGAGGAGAGGTGTCGCAAGTGCGCTGTTGCCTGCACAGCCCTCGGCGCGTCGTTGACGGTAAAGCACCGCCTTGCCGCCCTGGTTCCCATGCCACAGGCGGGAGCGCGGTTGACGTGTCGGCGCGGCGATGTCGTGAGAAGAGTCGTGCCGGTGACTCATTCACGGCGAACGAGCGTTTGGTTGGTCCCGGACTCGGTGTCAATGGCCCGAGAACGCATCGCAGGCAGGCGCGTACGCGCACTCAGAAGCAGTCCAGAAGCAGCCCAGAAGCAGCCCAAGGAGGCGTTCGGTGGACGCCTCGACCGATCGGCTCACGGTTCGGCGACCGATGCAGGGCGGCGTCCCGTACGTAGACGACGCACCGTGACGCCCCGCCAGCGCCGGGCCGGTGGCAAACGCTGGGCGCGCGTATGTTCCGTATGAGTGAGGCGCAGAAGGCGAGGGTGGGAGTCATTTGTAAAGGGGCAAATAAAGTTATACTAGATCAAGATGAGAGAAAGGAAAAGAAGAGGCTGGACGTCTTCGGGTGATGAGTCAGCAGTGCCAACGACGCGGGAGCCAATAGAGGCGCGGACCCCCGCGCCTTTAAAGTCGGCGCGGACGTCCGCGCCTGTTATGTAAGCCCAGGCGGAAGATAGTCGGGCCGCCCCCTGACCTGTACTCTCCTTTTCTATTGCATGTGGCAAACTGTCGCACAGAGAGCCAGCCTCATATAGCATACCATCTGCGCTCAGAGTAGTTGTCCGCGGAAGCGATGCTATAATCCGCATATTAAGGTCGAGCGCCTGCATGCGTGGTGCTTGGACCCCATTGAGGCCAAAGCTCAAACGCAGGCTGCATTAAACCTCGCAGGCGGCCTCGGTTACAAGGGTTCTGCACCACGTCCACAAAGCAGGAGTTTCCTTTCCTTTGTGTATAAAGAGCTGCTCACTGTCGTGCACTACAGCTAGCTCTTCAAGATAATTCCAATATGGGGCTTACTGAATTCCTGACGATTGCCTTCCTCCTGAGGGCCAGTTCGACTCGCGAGAGTCTCTTCTTGCCTCAATTAATGCGTGGGCGGCTCCAAGAGGCTATGCCTTCACCACAGGCAAGTCCACGAGAGACCCGCGGTCCGGAAGACGCACAGTCATATTTGCCTGCGATCGTGGAGGTAGACTTGGGGCTCATACAAGCAAGGACCAGAAGCCAGCTGATCGGCAACGGTCTACAAGCTCCCGTATCACTGGATGCCAGTTTTCCATCAATGCGAAAGAGAGCCTTGATAAGTCGTACTGGTATGTCAGGCATCGCCCAGGCGAGGAGAAGTCGGTCCACAACCATGAGCCCAGTCTGCATATTACAGCACATCCAGCTCATCGTGCCCTCTCCTCAACTGACCAGTCAGCTATTGGGAACCTCTCAAGCGCTGGCATAGCACCAAAGGATATCCGGACATATATGCGCCAGAGCTCTCAGACTGCCCAAGGAGCGACACAGCAAGACATATATAACTGTATCGCACAGCGCAGACGAGAGCTCCTTGCTGGCCAGAGCACAATGCATGCCCTTGCCAATGAGCTTGACAACGAGGGGTTCCAGAGCCGCATACAGCTTGATCATGATGGCCGAGTCACAGCAGTCTTATTCGCACACCCAGCGTCTCTAGGATACCTCAACGCATACCCAGAATTACTACTGCTAGACTGCACATACAAGACGAACAAATATAAGATGCCACTGCTCGATATGATCGGCGTTGATGCCTGTCAGCGGTCATTCTGTATTGCCTTTGCCTTCCTCAGTGGTGAAGACGAAAATGACTATATCTGGGCACTGGACCAACTCCAATCGATATACGAGTTATATGACATTCGCCAGCCATCGGTTATCCTGACAGATCGCTGCCTCGCCTGCATAAACGCAATTTCCCGGTGCTTTCCTGCGTCCAAGTCTCTGCTTTGCATCTGGCATGCGAATAAGGCGGTGCTTAGCTATTGCAAACCAGCTTTCGACCGTGACGATGAGGACTCTAATAGTGATGAGAGGTGGGCTGAGTTCTTTGGGTATTGGCACTCAATCGTGGGCTCGAAAGATGAGGAGACATTTGATCAACAAGTTGAAGAGCTCGAGAAGCGCTTTGTGCCACGATACGTCAAGGAGGTTAGCTACATACGGAAACCTGGTTGGACCCGTATAAGGAAAAGCTCGTCAAGGCCTGGGTCGATCAATATGCTCACTTCGGCAATGTGGCTACTTCCGGGTGGAAGGCATCCACGCATTATTGAAGAGTCACCTTAAGAAGTCAACATTAGACCTCTTCGAGGCAACGAGGGCAATCAAGCAAGCTCTCCTCAACCAACTGGCCGAGCTACAAGCCAACCAAGCCAGGCAGCATATACGGATGCCAATTGAGCTCTCTGGAACCGTATATAGCACGGTACGTGGCTGGGTATCACACGAAGCCTTGCGACAGGTTGCAAAGCAACACAAGCGCCTCAACGAGAAAAACACCCCATCTTGCACAGGCAGCTTCACCAAGTCTCGCGGTCTCCCTTGTGCGCGCATTACAGTCTCTCATAGTGGAAGATCTGCCCTCCGGCTACAACATTTTCATACACATTGGCGCCTTCGACGGGATAACAAAGAGATTGGTCAGGTCCTCATAGAGCCTCGTCGGCGACTAGACCAACTTGTCGCCGCATCAAGGATATCACAGTCATCCACACAGCGCGAGCCAAGTGCATTTGAAGCCATAGAGTCAGATCTACGGCCAAAGGCGCCGCCTACATGCAGCAAATGCCACCAGCAAGGGCACATCATGACATCTCGCAATTGTCCTTTACGCTATAGCGACATACTGCAGCGGGCAGAGGCACGGGCGGCACAGACTGCAGAGACTGCAGCAATTGCAGGACTGCACAGACTGCACAGACTGTACAGACGGTAGCAGTTCCAGAGACTGCGCAGACTGCAGCAGTCATGGAGAAAATGACAGTTGCAGTCACTACGGTCTCTACAGTCTCTACAGCAATTGCAGAGACTACAGAGACTACAGAGAATCTATTATATGATGACCCACGAGCCATCTATCAGAGGTATGTCAGGAAAGAGACTCTTGGTATAGAGCACAGCCTCGCGGCAGTCTCAAGACCAACCAGGCATACCGAAAGGCAATGGGCTTGCCATTGCGCTACAGCAAGACTGAATATGACTGGTGCCTCGACTGGAAGCAAATGTCAAGGAGCTGCGGCTCGAGGCAATGGACCAAGGTAGAGATGATGGCATACCTTGATTGGGATAAGGCAGAAGAAGAGCGATTAGATGCCCGGGTGGCCGAGGAAATTCAGGTGCAGCCTTTCTCACGAGAAAGAGGTACTGCAGGTATATGGGCTGACTGCGAGAGAGACTCAGAGGAACAGCAGGCATTTTATTCACATATATAAGTGGTGATGATGCCGGCGATGCGAAAATGTGAGGCAGATCGTGAGATCACCGACATGCACCGGCGTGTAGCACTGTAGCTGGCCAATTTTAAGGCGGTGAACTTCCGCGCACCCTCCTTGCCACGCAACAGCGGCGCCCTTTGCGTCACGTCAATCTACCAAATAGGGAAGGCTATGGGTTCGAACCCTAAGGATATCCTCCTTTGCAATTAATTGAAGCTATATGTATGCAGCAAGCATGCTGTATCGGTGAGGCCGACTGCGAGCGCAGTTGGCGGCGGCCCAAATGGCCTGCCAGGCTTACATAACAGGCGCGGACGTCCGCGCCGACTTTAAAGGCGCGGGGGTCCGCGCCTCTATTGGCTCCCCAACGACGCTCGTCTGGTCTGACAAAGTAGACAACGCAAGCCATTACGCACAGTTAATTAGGCATGCTGTTGCGTTGGAAAGAGACGGGTCACTGGACAGTTCTAGCCACCCTAGTAAAACAGGAAGGATACTTATCCGGCTGATGCTATAATTAGGCCCTCGATGCGGCTGTTTTAGGTTCTTGGCGTTGAGCGGCGCCGGCATGGAGTTCAATGGATTATGGAGGCATGGAGATGAAAAGCCCCAGAAGGGCTACTTCTTTTTTTCGCGATTGCAATAACAAGGCAGACACTACGAGCTTGAAGAGAACAATGTATTCACTCTATTAAAATCCAACTAAAACCTGAAGCGCCCACCTCGACTGTATGTGCATGGTTGCGTCTGTCTACTTACTTGCTCCTCAGCAGCGGACAGCGAGCACAGTGAGGCAGGCCACAGTGGCGGCGGCCGCAAAGTCAAACCACCTAATGTTGGCAGCACCGCTAGTCCAATCGGCAGGAGTCGGCCTCGGCGAGGCTGAGGGCTGTTTATGGCGGCGTGTAAGCGGGCCCGTGTGGTTCGCAGCGAGGGAGGGGAGATGTCTTACGTACAGCAGCGCCCTGGGCGCTGTTGCCAGGGTCAGACTCGGAAGAAGGCAAAGAGGAGCGCATGCTGGTCTCAGGGGCCGATGCCTGAGTAGTTATAACAACGGCAGGCTTGCCGGTGCTGATGGGTGTAGGTGTAGCTTCAGCAGCCTTGGTGGTCTGGACTGCGGGGGGCACGGTGGAGCTTGTGAGGCGGTCGGCGGGGTTCTTCTCCGGCTCGGATGGCGTCTCCTTGGGAGCGGGAGCCTCATTCTTTTCTTCGGGGGTCTCTTTCTTTTCTTCAGGGGTCTCTTTCTTTTCTTCGGGGGTCTCTTTCTTTTCTTCAGTGGTCTCTTTCTTTTCTTTGGGGGTCTCTTTCGTTTCTTCAGGGGTCTCTTTCTTCTCCTCTGAGACCTCCTTCTTCTCCGCAGGGGCCTCTGGCTGAGTCTGGGGCTGATCATTACTCATCTTCTCCTCAGCAGCTCGAGCTGGACGAGAAGCGGCTGTATAATGGCATTTGTCCTCGATAACGGCCAGCGTTGGATATGGTGTCTTCATGTTACCTTTGACCTTGTCGCACTCCAAATACTTGGAGCGCATATCAGGGCCGTCGCACTTGTTCTCTACTTCCCTCCAGTGGCCAACAGCTGAACCTACTCGAGTTATGAGCACAACACATAACCAAGGATGCATGGTAGGGCGGGTAACTCTACCGCATTTCATGTGGGCATCGATCTCCTGGGGTGTCAATTTCGAAATGTCAATCCCAGCCGGGGGCCCCGCCCTCCGAACAAGCGACAGGTAAATGGCCTCTTCCTGTACGACGGGAGCTGCGCTCACAAGGGAGGCCGCAGTAGCCGCCAAGACAGCGAGGGTTGAAGCGGGATACATCTTGACAGAAGTAGTGAGAGAGAGCCTTGGTTGCTGAATTGTCGTTTGCCGACGAAGGGATGATTTTTCTTGCTGTCCCAGATGGAATAATGCAGGTAAAGATACGAATACAGAGGGGGGGAAGAGCTATTTATATACAAAACGAACCAAATCGCCAACGCCATATCTCGCGCTTTCGACTCAGTCAGCCCATGCTGGTCCCAGAGCAGTGTGCGGGATTTTGCCTTGTTTGCAGGCTCTAATCTACGTACTGAACCCATTCATATACACTATGGATAGTGTATAAGCCGAGTATAAATTAGTGTAATTATGCGAGAGAAGACAAACATATGCCTGGTTCAGACTATATACGTGCAGGCGGTACCTTTCTCGCAAAAGCTACAAGAACGTAAGATGAACAGGGATAGAAGCCAAAAGCGGGAAGCCAATACCTTTTATAAATACTCGGTTGGACATGCACACGGACATATGTTACATTTCTGGTAAAGGCTAAACGAAGGTTGCACCGGGATCATAGCCGAGAACAAAAAGTTGATACCTTTTTACGTTTATGTATGCATAATTGTCAGTTCGCACTTCATAATCAGATTTGGAAGGGCGTAGACAACAGGCCAAAAACAGACACGTTTTCCTTCCTTGTTTCTTTAAGCAAGGTAGAAACTAAACGCCACTGGCTCGCAAAGGTATGTACTACTCCGGTAACACACTGCACTGTCACTTATTACTATATATTTGGTTTCTGCCCTCGTATGTAGTTGGTGAGTTGGAGCAAATCTTAGAAAACTTGGGATAGGATAAACACGTGAAGAGAAGGAGATTATCGAGGAAACCCCGGACTTGACTATTCATATGATATTTTCAAAGTATAACATATTATATAATCGTTCCCTTGAGCTATGGAAACCTCGAAAACCCCATAACTCGAGGGGATCAAGCTGATGCATTAATCTCTACTTTTTACATAGCCGAATACCGTCCGTTGTCGTCCTTTCGTACCTGGCTGTATCTACCAACGAAAAATTTAGCTCTGAGTCTCCACAGCGGATATGGGTCACGAACCATTCATTATATTTGACCATCTGATAAGATTAGATGATCTGATAATCACTTTTTAATGGCTCGTACACGTAAGAACTTGCCAGATTCGGGCAGCCTCCGTGATCGAGAACGGCGTGGACATGTTCCTTATCGTACTGAAACCCATTTATTGATGGGGGCCCCTGCTGCCAATACTACCCGAACTTACCGAGTTGTAATGCCTACCCACTAAGGATGAACACGCGACAAGGTTAGGAGATCTGAGAAAGTCCTGTGTTCCGGCTCACAGCTGCTTACTACCCAAAGAAACTCGGAGAAGGTTAAGTGCAGAGTTTTCTCGTGAAAAGTCTGCATGCCGCAGAGTTGGAAATCGATCTTATAGATCGATTTTCGAGCCTGATCGATCGAATTTTATCGATCGTCACCTTCAATCGATCGATATCGATCGATCGCTGTTTGATTCGAATCGATCGACGATCGAATCGATCAATACTAAAAATCATCCCTATCTAGGTGATCTTGCCCATCAGTTGAAGAACTTGCCTCCAATTGTCCCCTTCAAGCAGACCAAGAGGAAGTGTCGGCTGATAGATGCCAGCTTTACTCCAGGAACGAAGACACTGCGCCATCGCCACAATATGGCGTCGTAGGCGAGATCTCAGTGGTGTTATCATCCTCCCACAGCTGCTAAAATCTCTTTCCGTTCCTGCTGAAGACGACGCGATGGTAAGGTAGTCAACAGCCATATAAGACAGCCGAGGAAACCGCGCAACACCAACGTCCTTCCACCAAGCGATTGGGTCCGTTTTGTATGCGATATTTTCCACCGGCGGCTCTGATAGGTACTGATCAAGCTCGTCCTGTTCTTGCAAGGCGGTTGACTGCTTTGGTCCTTTAATTTGCCGCCCTCGAGGCTCAGGGCAAGCCAATGATCGACTAAACGCCAATCGACGCTCAATATAGTCCAAGCCACTATTAGTCGTATCCGCTGAAACACCATCGCAGGATTGCCGATGAGCCATGTTCTTGTACCTCTCTTTCCAGACTGTCGCTAAGCTTCTCGCATATGTTCTTTCCCACTCCGACGTCTGACGAGACGGGAGTTGGCTCCAAAGCCGTTCCAGAGCGCGCCACTTCTTGCAGGGGTGGAACACCACTGCCGCTACATATGCGGTTGAGGTCAGCTTGCTATAGTAGTCGTTCAGCTTCTTCCATCCGAGCTTGATGTAAATCTTCAAAACCCTGCGAGTTCTTGCGTCCATGTCATTGAACAGGTGAACCTCTTTCATGGTCTGATCTTCGTTCTCTTCGATTATAACTCCTGAACTGCTAGTTCGAGGTGGTCAAGGAGCATCTCTACCACCGGAAGTACTCATCGAACCCTCCTGACGTGGAGCGTTTACCAGCAATACCCTCGCCCTGGAGTTGCTTCGAGGCGATCTTGAATGGCTGAAGGATCTTCTGAACCGCAACAACGACCTTCCATTCTTCAAGGGAAAGTTGTTCTTTCAGTATCGCTGGTTTGTCCTGTTCTTTGCCGCCTTTGCCAAGCCATCGTTCCTCGATGATGGAAAACATCCTGTTCAAAGCCGTACGCTTCAGCAGAGCGCGTGAGGCCATCGCCTCATCGGATTGCCAGCGAGTGCAGACGTTTTGAACCCACGTAAGAATAGGTTCAGTAGGAGCGGTTTGCCGTTGAGCTTCGTAAAAGACCTCGAGAGTTGACTGCTCGTTCGAAGAGCAATGCCAATATTGTGAAGTTTGCCAAATGGCCCAAACTTGCGGTACTTGTCCACTTCTTCGCCATTGATGATGTCGGGCAGTACGTCCTGATCCTGACTGCCTTCTGGGACTGTTTCAACCTCGAATCCTTCTTCCATGCTCGGCACACAGAAGTCGTCGTCGGTCGCCAGCTCATTGATAGCGTCGGACAACTGGCGCTGCTCTTCCTCTTCAGCCACAAAGTCCTTATCGCCCCAATGAGCAAGCAACTCGTTGAAATTATCCCTTTTGCTGCCGTACATCATAGCCCTGACGGCCAGGTTCAGAAAATGAGGGCGCAGCGGATGCGACGCTCTTCCCTGTCGAAATCGAACTCAGCGGCAAGCGCTTCCACAGCCGTATCATTATTCGTAGCGTTGTCAAGCGTGTAGTACCCGATTCTGACGCCGGATAACAGTCAAGATTGTCAGCTAACGGACCCAAGAAGTGTTGACTGTGGTTCTATACCTGTCTTCAAGACCAAACGCGCATATTGTATCTGCAACTTCATCTGCAAGCGCTGCTCCAGTATGGCGTTTCGCGAGAGCCAAAGCCAAGAGGATTCCCCATTGGTTCCAATCTTGGTCGATAAAGTGGGCGTTGATACCGAGGAATGATGTGTTTTGTCGGAAGTCCAGCCATCAAAGGTAAAATGAATCATACTTCTCGCTCTTTGAAGCAGCTCGCAAAGCGGACCAAGAGCGCGATTATACTCATCTAGTAGCAGATTCACAAGCGTTTTGCCAGTTGGTATCTGGCCTTCCTGGAGAGCCGGGTTGTTGTAGAGAAGGAGTCGTCTGAAGCGCTCAGAGTTTACGACATTAAAGGGGAGGTTATGATATGTAAGCCAGTCGAGCAGGAGCAGTTGATTCATCTTCGGATCGAATAACGTATGCAGATTGCTGAGAAGAGTCTGATCTCGAGGGTTCGTCGGATCGGCGCGAAGCATATCAAGCAGGTTCCGTTCTGCACCTCCACTCCCGGTAACTGAGCCTGCACGTTGTCTAGAAGGTGGCTGACAAGTTAGCGGGCATGATCGAACGACGTGGAGATGGGGTACGGAGAGGTGGCACAAACCACGACTTTGTGCTCCTTCCTCAGATGTCGGACGACGCTTCCCAGTCGAAGCGATGAAGACGTAATGTGCTGTCTTCGGCCTGTCCCGGAGGAAGCATCTCTCGCAGATCCATACGATCTTGTGGGGCCGTGACCTGTTGTCCTTCATTCTGAATCCGAATTGCCACCACCACGTCCGTTCTCGAGAAGGGTCGTGGCAAATCGTGAAGCCGGGAACCGCCCAAATTTATCAGTCGTCCAAGCTTCATAATCTGGAAACCCCATGGGTGCATATTTAGTTGATGCTGAACTGGTTGTCGGCTCGGAAGGCGGCGGCGTGGAGGAGGCGATCTCTATGTCCTCATCAAGCGCGTCCATGGTGGGAAACGTCCGTAAACAATGTGGGCGAGGTCAAATCGAAGGGTGCGAGGCTGATAAGGTCGAATCTGTATGAAGTCTACTCGGACAGGCTGAGGCCCGAAATAATTCCTGGTTGCGACGCGTACTGATTCCGTTGAACGGGGAGGACTTGCAAACGCAAGAGACGGAGAGATCAATTTACTTTTGTCGACACGCGACGCGCGGCAACAAGATAGATATGACTGGCTGCCTGGGACCCCCGGTCGTTTGCCAGGGTGTTTGGCAGACGCGTCGGGCGGCAGCATCGTCACGCATCCAACCTACGCAGCCTACCCTGGACACCTTGTATGGACATGGCGAACGACGATCAAATCGATCGATTGGAGGTTGGATCGATACGATATCGATCGAGCAGGACTTCTAATCGATCGATCGAAATCGAAATCGATTCGATTAATCGATTCGATCAAATCGATTGTACGATCGATTTCCAAGCCTGGCATGCCGGGGTTTGCTCGGCGCCGAAACCGCCCTCAACTGCTTGGGTAAATTGCTCTCCTTTCTGCCCTGTCCTCGAACCCTCTTCCTGATGCTCACCTCCTTCTGGCTCTTGCACTGTCTGTCTTTAACGCCGTTTCCATCTGAATATCCCGTACAATCAGCGAACATGCACTCCGTCAGGAACATATGGGTCATTGGCCTGGGTATGGCCGCCGCCGCCGCTGCCCAGCATCAGCCCAAAACCAACAAATCGCCCGAAAACCCGTCAACATCCAGCGCAACGGATGATCATATGGGCCCTGCGGCCTTTATGTGGCCACCTGATAGAGTCTGGTCTGGCGACATGGACAACCAGGCCCCTTGTGGCTCCCGCGCTGCAGCAGGCAACCGGACCAAATTCCCCCTGAGTAGGTCTTCTTCTAATTCGAGAAACGGAGGGTCTCCTCTGCTCTCGAAGTGGCATTCGAACAGTCGATTCCTGCCCCTCGGCACCACGCCCAGGAGATGAATCCTGGCGGCTAACACATGTCTGATGTAGCCGGCGGCGCGGTTGCTCTCGTTGCGCAGGACGACTACTACAACAGCAAAATCAGCATCTCCTACTCGAACGGTATGTGAGCCGGCGTCTTTAGATTTGAATGTCTCAACTCCACTTTGCCCCATGCGCTGCAGACGTCCGTCAACTAAAACTACCATGGTTTGAGCAGATCCAAAGACCAACACTGACTTCAGCACCCTCGTCGAGACTACCGACATCAGCGATCTCAACCCCGGCCACACCTGCGTCCAGATTCCCGACGCGCCCTCGCGCGTCGTTGCCGGCTCCAATGCCACACTGCAGATTATCTACAAGGCTGACTGGGACGCCCCTCACAACCAAACATTTTATGCCTGCGCCGACGTCACCTACGTTGTGGCCACCGATTTCAATTCCAAGATTCCCTGCTTCAACGCCACCGAGCCCGGCGACGACGACAAAGCTGCGGCCAATGGCGCCAACAAGCCGTCCTCGGGTGGCGCGAGCGGATCGGACAGCTCGCCCAGCTCAGGCAGCTCCTCCAGCTCAGGCGGCTCAAAGATGGGAGCTGGTGCTATGGCTGGCGTCATCGTCGGCTCACTTGTGGGCGCGTCCATGCTCGCAGCCAGCCTCATCCTGTACCGCCGCCGGCAGCAGAAGAAGCGCAGCCTGCGTCTTGCCCGCATGGAAGAAAACGCCCGCCGGGGCCAATACCCGTTGGACAAGGTCTCGTCCCAGAGCAGTGTATAACGAGCTGACACGACATGTAGCTTATGAGGATTGATGACATAGCATGCTTTACAGGGCCTTTTCTTTGATGCGGCATATATAGTAGATAGCCTGGCTCATTAATGACCCTTCGGTTGCTTCCTCACATGTACGTGAAACTATGCGTGAACCGCCATGTGATGCTGCACCCGCAGATCTGACACGTTACCGCAGTCACAGGGACAAGCCAAGCCTGGCTTGCTCTCGCGGCATTGATTGTTGAAGTCGCGCCGCCGACGGCCAAGCTGCCCGATGCCAGAGGCATGGTGCGACGACGCAAAAACCCATCGAAAAAGAACAGGACGCATGTGACAATCGTCGAGTCCGTGGACGGCAGCCAAAGAACCGACGCCAGCGATAGATGCAAGACTCGAGGCAAAGGGGATCGCAAGCAAGCCGGCTCTGATAGGTGCCCAATGGACGGCACGGATATATCGACATGTAAGTTACACCTGCAGTAGGCTCCGTGAGACGGTATATCGCCGTGATACATGTGATGTATCCGTCTGCGCCGTCGTCACCTGTAGGCCGGCCTGAACTCACGTGTCCATGATTGCATGTAAATGAAAACACTCGTCGACACGATTCCGGCAGATGAGAGGGAAAAGGTGCCGTCTCCGGCGCGCGTGAAGCTTGCAGCGGGTAGGGCATCGATCGAGCCTCTGCTTTGCAGGAGCTGGAACGCGAGGGGGTGTGAAGGCCCGCGAGCAAGAGCCCTCATGTTCGCCAAACAAATCCCGGAACCAACTACTGCAGCGTGCTCATCGCGCGATGCAGGTGTCAGGGTAGGTTGGGTACCCTCGCATCCATCTGGAAGCATGATTGACACTAGGGTCCGTTTACCTTGCAGGCTGAGGGTCAAGGGCTGCGAGCTGATGCAGTGCCATTGGCCGCCTGGGCGGGTGTAAGCCAGCTATTCCTCACGTCGAGCAGCTCAACAGCGTCCGGACCCTAGATATCAGCGCTGCCCTACTTCCTGCCTACTTATTACTACTTATCTGTCTGGCTCCGGATGCCGCCGCACACGCCCCCCCGCCGTTTTCCGCGCAAGCATGCGGTGTGACGCATCGATGGGACGACGGCCGCTGGCAGGCGTCGAATCTGCATCATCAGAAGCCGGGCCGAAGAAACGACGTTTGCTCTGACGACAGCGCCTGCAAGCCTCTGCGCGCGGCGTAACGGGCAACGTTTGCGCCAACATGAACGTGGACGTCACCACATGGGCGGCGCCTTGTCGTGCAAAGAACCGCCACAAGAGTGCTTGGACGGCGCGGAGCCCAACCGAGGGGGAAAAGGAGGAGTCGTGTTTGCGTCGGCAGTCGATGGCGCGCTGTGCCGTCGACTGCCGGCGGCATGAGGTGGCGCGGCTGAGCTTGGAGGTGCTGCTGGGCAACAGACAAAGAAAGAGTCGGTCAAGGGGAGCAAAGCCTGGGGATGAGCAGGATGCGATGCCTATTTTTGGGGAGGAGCAAGCAGTGCCTTGGTGTTTTCGACGACTGCTTTTTCCCAGAAGCGGTTAAGAAGCGAACAGGGATTGGCGGCCGGGCATCAATCGTCCGGCTTCCACGGAGCGACGTGTCTGCGGGCTGTGCCAATCACGGTGACAGGGGCCCCATTCGACAGCGGAGGCGGCCTTGGACATCAATACAGTAGCATCATCGGTTGGGTCGCGAGGGAAGACCTGAATGACGAGGCTCGGGCCTGAGTCACTGCCCGCCCTGGATAATGAAACCGAGGCCTCGTTTGCTTCCTGAAATTGGTGGGCAGCAAGGGAAAGCAAGAAGAAGAAACGAGGGAGAAAAATTTTCCTCTCCAGCTCTTTTTTCCCGCCCCTTGCGAACCGGCTTTGCAAGCCAAGGCCGCAGAAGCAACGTGAAGGAAGGGGCCCCGATTCAGTCCAAGGGGGAACCAGGAGCACCACACCGACCGCCGCAACTAGCGCCTCGGGTGGCATATAAGCTACAGGATGATATGGCAGTGGTGTCGCTCTTCTGGAAACCATGGATGCCAGCCAGGGGAGAGGGAAAAAAGGGGCGTGTGTATAGGTGCGGGACCACCACACGCGGGCCGTCTGGAGCGAAAGAGAAGGAGGGTGTGCTTGTTTGCTTCCCATCGCTTGACACCGCTTCCCCGACACAAGGCTGCTTGCTTGCTGTTGGTGAGGCGAAGGGGGATGAAGAAACCGAATCGCCGGAACCTGCGATATGAACCAACAGCAGCTCCCATGCCTTGCAGACACGCCCGCGTACCGATATACTGGACCATGCCCGCCTGCCGGCGGCCCCTGGGCAAAAGAAGGCTGCGAGCGAAAAGGGGGCCGCCGGTGTAAGTAAGAGGGGGTGTGCGGCGCTCCCCCGGCGCATCAAAGCTCGTCTCTTCCTCCTCGGCTGCCTCAGGGACCCGACCTCCTGTATTTTCGGGACAGACAGTGGAGGCCAACTTTGACCCCGTACAGTGCGTGCGCTTGGCGGTGCCTGCAGCGGCGCGGACGGGAGACGGGAGCCGTGAGGAGGGTGCTCCCGCTCCGTGTGTGCCACATCACCGTAGACCTCTCTATCAGAATCGAGCATAGCTCCTCAGGACTGATCCTTGACAGCAGCGCCGTAGGGGTCAGGGTGTCTAGCAAGCAAAAGAACCGTACTTCATACACTTGCGAATATATGGATACTGTCCCGTCATCCAGGACGCTATGCTTCCTCCCTTTCCTCCGGCTCACTTCACGAACCAAGATACACATCGATATAGGCAAACCCAGCACGGATAGAAACCCAAAGGCCGGTCAGAGGTGCCATGTTCTGGAGGCACATAGGCAGGCAGCCATCGTCACATCACGCCATAAACATCTCAGCGTCGCCCAAGCCACAAGTACTGATATTGGGCACATGAAAGGACCACCCCTCTGGACACTTACATAGCTCTCCGGCTCGCAGGCCCCGGATTCCCGGCCCAGAACGGGCCCGGCGCCAATCTCAAGAATTAACGAAGAAAAAGAAACACGGCCGCCGTGGCGACTCGAACATGCCAACCACAAGGTGCTGGAGGTTGGGACCGACACGCTGGAACCCGAGCGAGCCTCGTCAAGGCTTCAATCTGCTACCAAGGCGCGCGGCCGCCTGGCCAGCCCCTGCTTGCCCGCCGCCGGCCCCGAGACAGTGTCTTTAGGAGCATGGATGTGGCATCGTCCAATACGGGCGGACACCAAAAACCTGTTGACATGTCTTGTCGTATGCCTAGCCTCGCAATCTCGCCAGTTAGACGTCTCACACACGCACAAAAAGCCAGGGGGGGCGTGGCCAGAAGACGAAAATTTCGCCTCGACTTAGGGCACAGCGCACAAAGAGGACGAGAAAATTAAGTCAGCTCATGTTGTCGCCAACTTTGGCGGCGTTAGGCAGCCGTCTCGCGGCCTGTCGTCGCCATGGCCATGGCCCGATGCCGGCCAGCCCGACTCACGAGATGAGGACAAGGCATATAACGAACGCTCGGGCTACGCAAGCTTTGTAGAACCAGCCCGAAGAGGCCCAAGAGAAGGCGTTGGAAAGGAGAGGAAGAGGAGGGCGAAGGAAAAAAAGGAGGGGGAGGGGGAGGGGGAGGGGAGAGGAAAGACGCATGTATGTACAACGCAAGCACACCAAAGCCTGGCCGTCAAGGCTGTACGAATGGCCGAGACGTGAGACATTCCATGCCGCGCTCTTTGAGTGTACGAGCACCCTTCTCCTCGTCTCCTTTTCCGCACCTCACACCCCCGCCCGTCCTTGGCGGCGGTAAACAACGGCCGTTTGGAAAAGGCAGGGTGCAGGCGGCATCATGGCACAAGGCGGCATCGTGCAAAGCCGGCAGATGGAGGAAGAGGCGACACGGCATCTGGAACAGAGAAGACGGCGACGGCAAGGCAGCAGCATCTCAGGAGCCCATCTCCGTGGCCAGCCCAACGGGCCGAGGTAACGTGAACAACAACAAGCCATGTGTTGTGCTGTTTTGTTGGCACGAGGCCGGCGACGCCGGGTCCGTGTCGGCGATATTCACCGACCGGCCAACCGTCTTTGGCCTTGTAGTACCTACATGCCTTGGCTTGCCCGTCGCGCGGCGGTACTCGATACAGTCAGACTTTGGGGGATGAGAGTGTAGATGGGTGTAATTATTGCGGACTTGTTACGGAACCTGGTACAAGACGCGGCTTAGGAGGCCCTGTCGTGTATCGCTGACGGGACGGCGAGCCCTAGATGACTGGAAACGACCCCATTCGCCAGCCAGCCTCATCTGCGCCGTCATGTAGCTGTCTGTACAGTACCCCGAGCATGTAATCAATCATCTGCGAGGCTCCCCTCCCCCTCCCCTCCCCCTCGTCGCCTTGGCTGCCGCTGCCATCTTCTGACAAGACGCGGCGCCTGTTTCCCCTGGCCGGGCGGGGGAGGGGACGACGGACGATACGGAGAGACTGCAATGTACAGTAGGTGGATCGTGCAAGGCTTACGGCATGTGTGAGAGAGAGAGCAGAGAAGCAACGGCTGAGCAAGTCTCTTGGGTGACAAGAGGCCTCGCACGAGGGGCTTTCGAGGACGTCACGGCGCCGAGCCTCGAGCCCAATCAGCCTCAGCGTGGCGGCATACGTTGGCTTGCCCCAGTCACGCCGGCCTCGGAGCGCATGTGACGACGGGCCAGTTGAGCGTGCGCGAGGTCACTCGCCCCTGCGCTCCGTGCTGGTAGGCCAGGCCTTGCTGTTCTATTGTTTTGCCTGTTGTTGGCCGTGGCGCCCCTTGAACGATCATCCAGAGGACCGGGTTGGCGAGCAAGCATATTTGGTAGGTACGTAATCGAGGGCCAGGCGGTGCATCGTCAACAGGCGCGTCGAGCACGAATACCGAGTCATGGCTTTTCTGCACTTGCACATCCACCTCTCCGTCACGGCGATTTGCGCAGGGCTTCTGATAGGCACAAGACGACCAAAGCCCTCGATTGGTCCGGACGGCGGGACCATTCTCGTGGCCTCAAGTCGAATGAAAAACCTGGCCGACCGGGGACGCCACCTTGAGCCAGCCCACTCGTCGGGAGCCTGTCGATATTCCCCTGTCTGCCAATTTCCCCTCCTCCACGGTCGACCGACGAGGGGCTGGGGGTCTGTACACTGGTCCAGCCGGTGGGTGAGTCGGAAGCCGTCGACGTCGAGCCGTCCGTCAGCTCGGCAAAAGGTCTCTTCTGTCCTTGCGCTGCGCATCAGGCATTGCAAGTGGGCATCATCGAGTGCTCCGGGGCCCCGTCATTTCGCTTGGTGACGAGTGCCGAAGAAATTCGTGGGCAAACAATGGCGGCCGGGGGGCCTCCAGGGCATGCAACCGTGTTTTGCTTTGGCCCGACAAACGACGACGGGGGCAGCGCCTTGGCTGTCGAGATTGCGATTCCCGGGGGGCTGCTCGTCGTCGAGACAAGGGCCGAGTGGCGACCAACAGCTCGAGCCATGTTCTTGCTCCTTCTACGAGGAGCGACGACAGGCGGGCAGCCTAAGAGGAGATATCCCGACGCAATTACGAGATGACGGTGCAACATTGAACAAATCTCCAGGTGTCACCAAGCACGGCACAGTACGAGTACGAGCATGTCACTGTACCGCCCGTTGTACAGGGCTCGCACTCTTGCTCAACGTGCCATCCACCGGCGGACCCTGGCAGCTTGTCCGACAACGGGAAAAGACTCTCTCCATCTCTGTCTCTCTCCGGAACCGACGACACACATTTGGGGCCAGAGACGCCGAGGCGTGCGCCAATAGGGCACCATCAGCACAACAGTAAGCGCTCGCGGCTTCCAGCACTGTGTGGCTGTGGCGCGAAGCTTCTACCCGTGTCGGTAGCTGCTTGTTCATCCTCGGCGCACAGGTACCTACGGTGGCCACACGCCCCTCCCCACCGACTGTACCTTGCCTCGCTGGGTTGCTGCTGCTGCTGGCAGCCCGCCGTGCCGTCGGGTGCCCCCACCCCTCCCTACAGAGCACCCTACGCCTACCGGCCTACCTAGGTGCCTACCTATATTAGGCGCCCCCCTCCCCTGAGCCCACGCCCACGGCGCTGCGCAGCCCCTGTCGCATGCCTGTCCCCCCGCCCCCTGTTTAAGGTCCTGTTTGGCCGCGAGCGAGGAAAAAAACAGCACAACCTGGAGCTGTCTGTCGGTAGCGCAGCGCAAAGCCTTCCCCCAACCTGCATATATATACCGCGACGCACGCCCGCCGCGCCCAACCTCCTCCTCCCTCTCTCTTCTTCCTTTCAAGGCCTTGGCTTCTGCCAATCATCCACTCAGCAAATTTCACATTCACTACAGCAGCTTCAGGCCTCTCGCCACCGACGACGCCTCGACTTTGCCGCTCCTTCACACACGTCTCATCATCGCTGTGTCCGGCGACTCTGAATCGACTCCCAGCTTGCCAGGTTCGCCCGCGACTTGGCTATAAATTTCCTCCTTTACCGAGGAAATTTCCCGTCTTCCGCATCGGTCATGTTTGCAGCAGCAGAAGCCTTTTCTAACCCCTACTCTTCCGACCACATACCGAGGTGACGGGCCTCGCACCATTCCGCTTGACCCTCGCGTCTCTTCCCCGGCGCGCGAAACCAAAAACATCCGCAGACTTTTCCACCGCTTCATCCACGCACGCCCACGCTGCAGTCTTCGCAGCGGCGACTTCTTCTCGCCCCGCCACACCATCAGCGGTCGGGGCGTAGTTTGAAGCAACGGCCAAGTTGCTTGTCGACGGCCAGAGCCTAGGATCATGAACTATTCTTCGCCGCGAACCCCCGGATCCACGCCGATCCACGAGTGGGAATACTCCCGAATGTCGTCGGCCACGCCCACGCCATCGCCGCGGACCACCTGGTTCGACTCGGCAACCCCCCGGCGCCCGGCCACCCGTGCCGCCCACCACTCCCGGTCGAGCAGTTATGCCCAGCAACATGGCTCCTTCACTCCGCGGGCCCACATGGAGTCCCCGCGCTACAATAGCTATGGGGACTACTGCACGGTAGATGTGAGTGCCAAAGATTTCTCGTCGTCGCGCCGGCCTTCGGGTCCCTTCCCGCCTTATCCCGCGCGCGATCGCCGGCACTCGTACGCCCATGTCCGGGCTTCCACCCCGTATGGACAATCAGACGAGGACGAGATCATCGAGGTGGACCGGCACAACATCTTCTTCCTGCCTGGCCAGTCGCGGTCCAAGGGTCGTCGCTACGCTCATGGTCCAGTTGACGATGGGGTATGGCACGCTAATCACGGCGACTACCTGCAGAGCGCCGCCCACTACGCGGATCCGGCCTACGCCCGCACCGCTCAGTACGAGTCTCCGCGGCCCCAACCCCAAGGCCGGCCTCCCACCAGCCATTCCCACGCCCGCCGCGCCTCGGCTTCGGTGCCCCAGCGTTCGGCAACCACCAAACCCACCAACGCCAACCGGCCCAAGCCGCCGTCGCCCGCCAAGGCCACGGATGCCGACGCCCGCCGGCACAAGATTCCCACGGGATACTCGCTCAAGAACTGGGACCCGTCCGAGGAGCCCATCCTACTGCTGGGGAGCGTCTTTGACGCAAACAGCCTCGGCAAGTGGATCTATGACTGGACCGTCTACCACGAGGGCGCCACCACGCCCATTGCCGATATGGCTGGTGAGCTCTGGCTTCTCCTCATCCAGCTCTCTGTCCACACCAAGGAAGCCGAGGACAAGGTGGGCCAGGTGCGCAGCGCGGAGAACCGAGAAATTGTGGACGAGTTCATTGACGCCGGCGAGCGGCTCATGGACAAGCTGAGGACGTTGCTCAAGGCCTGCGAGGCACCCATGCTCAAGGCCGCCCGGAAGAAGCAGTCGAGCCTGGGCAAGAACTCGGGCGTTGAGTTTGTCGAGACCCTCTTTGGCCGGGACCGGGAGCTGGCCAAGACGGAGAAGTTCATGCAGAGCGTCCGGCTCTTCAACCTCCGGTTTGATGCCAACTGCTCCGATATCCTCAGCAAGCCCACAGCCTAGGTGTGGTCTACCAACCCGGGGAACCTTGTCTCGGAGCCGGCCTTGCAAACGACGGATTCATCCATGGGAAGGAATTTCCTTGTCTTTTTTCTCCTTCCTGCCCGGCCTGGATCCCTGAGAGAGGCCCATGCCATCGGATGGACAGACCACCCGGGGCTGTACAACATGCCACGTGGAGCCGTGGACCTGACTCGCGTGGATTTCCTTGCCTTCGTTCCAATGGCCGGATTCTTCAACTTGACACTGGAGCAATGTCTAGAGTTTTCCTTAACTACTATCTACAAGACGACCTCAAGGCGACCTGTACTACCAACATGCACGCGTGCAAGACACTGGACGAGGAGGACATTGGACCATTTATAGATACCCAACGCTTTGATGGCAAGCGTCGCTAGCGAACGAGGATGCTGCGTGGGGGTGCTTTTTTTTTTGAGAGAGAGAGAGCGAAGCAGCTCTGCTGTATAAGTTACGAAGATTTCTTCTGAGGTTATGCGGATTTTTTGTCGATGGAAAAGGCAAGGGAAAAGTGTTGGTCCGGAAGCCCACTGGACACGGCTATCCGGGAAGGGCTGTTTGGTTCTTTTGGGCTGCTGATCCTGATCCTGACCTCGGTTCGAGAGAAGAGAGGTGCACATGCTAGAGAGGCTAGAGAGCATTGTTGGTGGAGGCGGTACATACGTAATGACGAGTAAATACACACATGCAGCGAATAGGGTTTGCCTTGCCTGACTGTGACAATCGTTTTGTCCCGAGCGGGCTTGACTGCTTGGACGAGAGTGAAGAGGGGGTTGGCGGATGCTTGGCGGATGGGGCTGCAGCGTCCGGAGAGCATCCTCCCCAGTCAGCTCCAGCAGTCCGATGACTTCCCTCAGTTTGTCGCCTCGAAATCCTCTACAGACTTTTCTTGTCCCCCTTGCAGCTGGTACGGCTGGGGCGTTAATACAGTGAGTGTCTGCCCCATCAGCAGCGTGGATGGCGCATCATGGCTGGCGCATCATGGCTATTCCCGCTAGAGAATTTAGGGTTTGGAGGGGGCTTTCCGCCGCCGGGCCGCTAGCCGGGCCGGCCCCGCCGAGTGACGTGCGCGGCGGAGCGGAGACGCCTTTTCCTGTCCCCCGCCTCCCTTTTTCCCATTTCTTTTTTCCTACACCCTCCACCCTCTTCCGTCGGTCTCGGTTGATTATTTACTTTGCCCGCGGAGAAAGGGACGCAGTGGATAAGCGAATGAGGTGCGGAGGATTGGAAGCTCCGAGCGGAGAGACGTGTTCTCGGTCGACGACATCCGAAGAGGGGGGTTGGGATAGAGCGATGGGCGAGGCGCGTGGGCGGGGAGTCAGAGGCCAAGGGAGAAAGGTGAGACTACCTACGACGCGTGTGAGAGAGCGTGGTGCAGGCTCAGGCTCCCCCTTCCGCTTTCTCTCTTGGGTGCTCAGGTAATCTTGCGCAAATGCGTCCAGAGGCCATGTGGTGTGGAAAGCCCGTGACCAGCGATTCTTGCCGTCTTCCATTTGAGTATGTGTGGCGTTGAAGCATCGTCCGTCAAGCCTCCCATCGCCACGGGAAACTACGGAGTCGCGTGCTGTGTATTTGCGAAACATGGAGGCTCCAAAGCACATGCAAGTCCATCATTTCCCAATCCATCCCTAGTCTTTCTCTCGGACCAACCAAGTATCACGAATACGCGCGACTCGGACGCGGCTGAAAGCCTGAGTCACCATCACCACTCGGCGGTCCTTGTCTTTGCCTATCTCCCTTTCCCTGCCTCTTTACACCCATCCCACCCAGTGCCGGACGGACTTGAGGTGCCGACCGAGACACAAAAGAAAGAGAGGGCTGGGGTGACGCAGGGGGGGGAAAGGGAAAGGAGAGGGTACCGTAACAAGCAGCTAGGGGGCTAGAAAGACGTTCAGCGCCCCCACACCATATCCGCGGCGGACACGCTTTGAGTCCTTGCCATTCGTCGCACAAGCGCGTGGTTGCATTGCCTCGAGGGCTTCTGTGTGTCTCGGCTCTCCAAGGTGTGTGTGGCTGGCCAGGCAGGACACGCGCTCGGCGGCGCCTGTGAAGCGTTCACAGGCATGTCTCGGTAGTGTGGCGAGAGAGTCTTTCTCAGCTCTCTCGCAAAGCTGGCCAGCAGGAGGGCTACAAACAAGGGAGGGGGCGTGAGTGAACAGCCGTGTGCTTCGGGAGGAAGGCTCGGACTCTGACCCGGCCCCTTTGCTTTTCGAGATTTCGGCGGTTGGTCAGAGCCAGGAGAGGGAGTGTGAGAGTTGCGAAAGGGGGATTGGCGGGCTGGAGGGGGATGCCATCAGCAAATGCGATGGGAGGTTGCACGGGGGCTGACGGCTGCTTCCCACGTGCATACCAATAGCCGCCTTGAGTTCGCGACTTCCATCTCGCCAATCAAGTGCCCCGTCGCGTGCAGCCCAGCCCCTGTACCGTACATGATCTATTATCCCTCATCGGCAAGAGAGACGAGTTGTGAGCTGAGATTCTGTGATACCCCTCCTTTGCGCCCTCGTCCCAGCCACCTCGGTGAACGAAAGACGTCGTTGCTGGGGATCAGATACCTCCTGGTAGAGTTCATCGGCAAAGTGAAGAAAGGCGCCCTGATGCAGCCACCTTCCTGACACTCTGCCCCTCCTACTTCAAGTCCTCGGCCGTGACTCTGTCGGCTGCTTTTGTTCTTCTCAGCCGCGGAGATCGAATGCGCCGATGCGAAGGTGAGAAACCCCCCTCCCCTCCGTTCGGACCTCGGACGTGGGGAGGAATAGGAGAGAAGTAAGCGGTTGGCAGCCTTGTTGCGCCCACCTCGTGAAACCACCTGCCAAGATCATCCTTTCCCTCCTCCTACTCCTCCTCGTCCCAGCCGCACAGTGCTTCTCGAACAGGTGGTCTGAGGTCTAGCCTTAGCAAGGGAGAGAGGGTGTGCGTGTGTGACAGGGAGGGGATGAGGGGGGCGACGCAGTGTGATGAGGACCACGTGCGAGACTACTCCCAGCCAAGTCTCAAGCATCTTTGCGACGGATAAAAATAAAGCTTCGAGACAGGAAGTACAACTGCCTCGGAACCTGCGGCTCTTCGCCACGGAATCATTTTCGGTGCCGAGGGGCCTGTGACAGTGAGAGAGAGGCTTGCGAGTGGGCGTTGGCAACGTCATTGGATGCTGATGCGGAGAAGGACATTTTCGTTCTGCGGTGCAAGCAAGGGACCCAGCCGGCTCGCATCATGCACCGTCGCCTTTTCGCACGTTTTCGTTGCCTTGCTTGCGAGCCCTGCCATGTCATGCAGCCCGAGCACTGGCCAGTAATTAAGGCTGCGTCCACTTGTGACCCCGCGAGACGGGGAGGGTGAGGCCCGATGCAGGGGGATGGACGGCGAGAGCGACGAAGGCAGCCCTTCGACGCATTGGGCTGGTCATTGAGTGGATGATGATGATGATGCTGCCCACCCACCATCACTCACTCACACGTCCAGCCAGCCAACCACCAGACCCCGCCTGAATGCTGTCTCGTCCAGGCCTTTGCGCTCGTTGCTGCGGGACAGTATTGCATATGCATGCGTGTGGATGGGGATGCAATGGTAACCCTCCGGCGGCCGCGGCAAAAAAGGTACAAGACTGGCTTACCCTGGATATTGATTGCTCGTCCAACGAAAACGTTGGATGGAGGTGGGAGGGAAGGGAAGGGAAAATTGTTTTCCAAGCATCAACTCTGCGAAAGATTCTAACGAGGAAGAACGAGGGTGGCAAACTTGGGTAACATCGCTTCTTTCCGGCTTTGCTCCTGTTTTCGTCTGTACACAGCTTCTAGACGGATCCAAGGATGAAAGGAGGATGGACCTCGAAATGAACGACATGACGACAAGTGTGAACGACGAACGACGAGTATCCCTTTGGCTCACACATCGCAGTAGATTCAGCCGTGATTGGTCACCGGGACTCGGGGAGTCTGAAAACATAAGCCGGCACCTCCGGAATCTCCCCGAGCCCGGACCAACCTCCAGCATCCCCGGAAATGTGGCTTCGGATACGTCGGGCAGGCCTTCCCCGCGCAGGCCCGCGGTTCGCCGACAAGCACCGCTGCCCATGCAGGGCTTACCGAAGGCAGAAACTACGCCCCCGCGCCCTTCGTCTCGAGCTGGACCATCCGTTCGGGCCAGGAGGGGTTGGGCAGGGCCCGGCCTCGGCTGGTGCATGTGGTGTGGGGCCGGCGCGGGGGCCGGCGCGGGGGCCGGCGCGGGGGCCGATGGGGGCAGAGGCAGCGCATGCAGGTTTGGGCGCGACCAGGTAGGTGCAGACGCGGTGTTGGGGGAGAGGAGTTCGAAATACACGGCGAGAGGCGTGATTAGTGAGAAAGTCTGCTCGTATGAGTTCGCGAATTGAAATCAACACAATGCTGCCCTGACTTGCGCCAGAGACGCTCAAGTCCGTCCATCACCACGAGGAGCCGGGTATGTGCGGGCGTGAAATGGCAGAAACAGATACGCTAACTCCATGGTTGAAATGATTGGTATGGTGGATGAGGCTTTCGTTCTTTACTTCCGCCTCGAGGTGGGTGCTGCCGTGCGATATCTGCTCTCGAGTAGTTCTGGCCCGACGCGTCGGGGGCTCAATGCGAGGGAGCAGACGAGCCAACGTCAGGCACAAACCTTCGTCTAGCCCTTTTTCGTACGGAGTTTTCTGGCGGATTCAAGCTCGAAACGTTGTGTCGCAGCCACATTAGAGCCGCATCTTTAACCCGGCCTCGGCCTCGGCAACTCGACCGAGGGCTCATTTCCACACGCTCGAGGTTTCCATGCCCGCGCTCTTGACTTCCTGGTACGTCTGATTCAGGGAACTGTACATGTTCTTGACGTGCTGGATCTCGTTTAACCACCCCTGCCGCTCTGCCTGGTCGTCGATGCCGACAACGATGTCGGCGAGCGAGTGGCCCTCGAAGAACTTGTTAGAGCGATTATAGAGTGGGCGCCCCTCTAGCCGCCCGTCCGTCTCGCCGGCGCGGACGCAAAACACCTCGTGCAGGATATCAATGTCGTGGGGGATGGAGAAGAGACTGCGGCTATCGTCGTGGGTGAAGAGGTAGTAAAATTCGCCGAAGCCGGCCCAGGCGATGGCGCTGAGGCATAGGCTACAGGGCTCGTGGGTGGCGAAGAAGAGGCAGTCGCGGCGCGGGTCCGGGCGAGCGGCCGGGTCGGGAAAGTCGACGGTGAAGAAGCGCTGGATGCAGTTGACTTCGCCGTGCAGCAGGGGCGAGAGGCGCTCGTTATTGGTGGCCACGCTGAGGGGCCGCAGGTCGGAGCGGGCGAGGACGGCGGCGCCGAAGACCTTGGACCCGGAGGCGACACCCTCGCGTGTAAGGGGCACGATGGTGCCTTGGATGAGCTTGAGAATGGCCGAGAGCAGCGCTGAAGGAGATTCTGGCGGCGGGGCCATCTTGGCTCGGGGGAGGGTCGGATATGAGTCGTTATATTCCGTGCCGATGTTGTGGATACTATCGGATTCCTTGCCACTTGCTGGAGAGTCGAGGGACCAGTAATGATATGAAACTCAGAAACAGCAAATGGCGGCGAGCGATATGCAGAATGGTGTGATAAAGGGGGTTAAAGTCGGGCGGGGCCGGCATGTTTCCACCCGGCATCGGCCGCTCGTACCCGGCGGGCCCCGCACATCGCCGGGCCGCTGCCGGTTCCCCGCCAAATACGGTAGCTCGTCTTGACAATGCTGGCCAACGATTTCCCGCCCGGGACATAACAAGATGGCTCAAGGGTGACTTATGCCATAGGCGTTCACTTGATACCCAAGACAAATTACAGGTAGTGTATGAATGAAGTGCGAGGGAATGATGGATGACTAAGCAACAGATAGCTGGGTGGGCGAGATTCGAGATTTATTGGCAGAGAATTCATCGTCAAGCCTTCAGTTGCCAGCTTCCACTTGGCAAGCGACGCATTGACGAAACACTTCTCTATATGTGGACATGCCCAACGCTCTCTTCCAATCATTAAAGACAGCCCCTCGCTGGATCGGGCGCCGGCCGGTATCTTGACCCAGATCTTGCAGTAGCGAACTTCCTCTCGTTTTCCGTCTTCCTCTACCCGTCTCCGCGAGCATGCATTACGTGCGGCTCCTACGGGCCCCCAAGCTCGTTCACTTGAGACGAGCCACCCAGATCTCGCTCGTCCTGGCCGTCACCACCGACCTCGGCGACTCGTTGCTGCACCCGGAAGAAGCCATCGAGCTGATGGCCAGCGCCGTCGTAACTTCGTCGTCAGGCACCTCGACGCACAAGCTGGCAAGTAGCGGAAAGCTTCAATGGCGGCCGGGAGATCGCGTCGCCAAGCCCATCTTGGACCTCCCGCCGGCCGTGGTGGCGGCGCTGGCATCTGGGGACCGCGTTGAATTATGCGTCGGTCCGGCGCCGCCCTTTTCGGCGGATGCGCTGCGCGACATCTTGGCTTCCTCGACCGAGCACGCTTCTGGGGGCGGCGACAAGGGCTTGGTGATGCCGGTTTGGGTGGTGCTTAGAGAGCATGAGGCTGAGGACGACCTTTGCACGCGCAAACTTCGTCTAAACGGACCGTTGGAGCCACCCGACTATCTCGAGCTGGAGGAGGAGTTGGGCGAGAGCATCGCCCGTCACATCTGGGACGCCAGCCCCGTTGTGCTAGCCGCCATAGCAGCCATCTTCCGGTCTCCAAGCTACGAGCCGGGCCAGCAGCCGTGCATGGATGCCCTGGAGCGCATGTTTGGCGCGAGCAAGACCATCAACATCCTGGAACTAGGCTGCGGAGTCGGCATCCTCGGCGCAGGCCTGGCCGCCGTCTTCCCGCCCGCCGCCGGAGACTGCACCATTCTCATGACGGACCTCGCCGACGCCGAGAATCGGGCGCGGACCAACGTCGGCCTCGTCGAGCGCAACCAGTCCGGCCGCGCCAACCTGCTCTACGAGAACCTGGACTGGGAAGACGGCAGACACGGCCGCTTTGGGCCACTCCTGCAGCGCCGGCGCTGGGACCTGGTCATGCTCAGCGACTGCACCTACAACACCGACACGCTGCCGGCTTTGGTGGCGACACTGTCGGCCGTGCACGCGCACAGCGTCGGGCAAGCTGGCGGCGAGGCCTTTTCGACAAAGGTGTTCCTGGCGACCAAACAGCGCCACTCTTCCGAGCAAGTCGCCTGGGACCTGTTGGCGCGCGACGGCTGGAAGAGGCTGGCGGCGCAGACGTTGCCGCTGCCGGTCTTGGGAAGGGAGAGCCAGTCCATTGACATGTACCTTTTCGAGAAGAAATGAACGAAGGCCGCGCTGGACGGATCCGAGGCACTCAATTTGTCGCTCTCCGGGCTCCCCTCTCTCGTGTTGTCTCCTTCAACCGCGGCGTGTATATGGTACTGGCAGGCTGTAAGGGGCAGAGGCGCGTCCAAGGTATCACGGCCTGCGCATCCGTTCGCGCCACGGCAAGGCGTACAAATTCCGGCTTTCGCCCTGCATCAAGAAACCGTGCATCTTCATTTCGCGATCGTTGGTCATGGCGAGTCTGAGCGATGAAGAGCCGAGGTGGTGGTTCGCTGTTTTTGGCAAATGCGGTGATTCCTCCGAGCGATGCCGAGCAAAGAGTCAACGGCAAGGGGACAGGAGGCGTTCGCTTGCCTCGAGCCGTCGTAGCGGGAGACTAATAAGCTGTGCCGAACCGCGTGGCTGGCTCGCCGACTATCTGTCGGCAAGGCGCGTGTCTGTGCAACGGCCACGGGCGTCTGCTTACCCACGCGCAACACTTGCTCAATGCCGGCTTCAAGGCCGATCTGCCACCGAGTAGCTCAGAAGGAGCCGGCCGTTTTCGAGACATGAAGACGTTGATGACAGGCCATCGAGCGAGCGTGTCTTGGCCACGGCCGCGAGTAGCCGCTGAGGCTACTCCCGCTATGCGCGCCTTCTACATGACAGCGCTGAAGCATGGCGGCAGGATGGAGGGAAACGCTCGAGTATTGTGGGCACGATGATTCACAAAGCGGTCTTTGGAGAAGAGACGGGAAGTGGTGCCGCGGCGCAGAGTCTCATGCCGGGGATACGTGGTCAAAATTACCGGGACGAGGGGAAGCGGCCCATGTCCGACAACCACAAAAGGCACGGAAGTATGGCTTCTGTGGCATCGATACCACCTTGGCTTGACGCCGTCAATATCTGGTTTGCCCGGCAGTGGAGGAATAGAGTGAGTGCAGCGGGCCCGGGTGCATCGAACCGGCGCGCGTTGCAGCTTCTGCCGCCCGCCTTGCCGGATGACTCAAAGATGCATTCCCCACCGCCTCTTCTCCTAATTTGCTGGGTCTGTTCTAGCGGTCTTCTTTGCTTCCGGGACAGTGGGCCGATGAGCCCAAACCCTGCACCACTAGCTGGCGGATATCCGCCGTGACAAAGGCTCTACCCACGGCTGTCTTGCGGGATGCACCACTCTGACACACGCACAGACGAAGGCGCACAAGGGCCGAAGCGTATCTCCGGCGGACAGGTGGTGGCCGCCGGTTTGGGAGGGTCGGCGAACGTGCCGGTGCGTGCCGGAGGGGGACCGGCCTACACGAGTCCGGAAAAGGGCAAAACATTGCACTTTCTACATCCATCTCGAGTGAGTGGATGAATGGTTGTTTCTTTGCTCACGATGCTCTTGAAAGTCGGAAGACGCGGTGGAAAAGGCTTAATCATCCGTTCTTCTCTTGCTGCTTCATGCTTTTCTCCGCTATCCAATTCCTGGGCATCTTCCCCCCCCTTGAGACATCAAAGTTGACCCAGGTAAAAAATCTTTACACAATGAGTCGATGTGAGTCGATCGGTAAACCGTCTCCACTTGTCTCAGGCCCCTGGCAGAATACCGAGGTCTGCCAGCGAGAGTGGAACTCCTCTTGTGCGCAAGCGTCTTGGAGATTTCAGGCATAAGCCGGATTTTGCCTTGTCTGGGGGACTTTTGGCGATCAATTAGCCCGCATGTATGTGGATCGAGCAGAGGGAGAGGCAGCTGTCAACAACTCTACATCTCCGGGGGCCGCTCGAAAATACGAGAGAGGCGACCCGCCCCTCGGAGCTGCTTGGGCTCAGGCCTTGGGAAGCAAGCGCCAAAGCGAAGGGTGGGGGACGGCCAGAGCAGCCTCAATGGCCACGCCAGCTGTCAATGGGAACTGCTATGCCCATCGACCGACCGTCTTGGCGGCCAGCCACGTCAACTCGCTGGCCGTTTGGTTGGTTGGCACCCGCCCTCGGGGTGGATCGTCGACCAGGTGCTCATGCACCGTGCAGGCCCGCATCGGCCTCATGTGGGGAGGAGAGAGCTCTTTCGTCTCGGTCCTCGCCGCCGTTTCTGCTTGGTAATCCGCCGCTCGCTCTATGTATGACCTGGATCGGCTATAGCACCACCGAGACTCTTGTTGGCTGGTCCCGTGTCCAGTTGCCTCCCGAGACGTGGACGGACCCTGCCCGGAGCCCCATAATTCCCTTGCCTTTCCCAGCATGGAAGCTTGAGGATCTGTTTTCTCTCACACTCCCTCTTCTTCTCCTGTTAGGTCTTGTGTATTGCTGTGGTTATGTACCATGGTCTTAACCGAGCCCCTCCCACATGTCTGTCGCCTCAGCATGGCACCATATAACCTCTCTTTTCTCTTCTCATCTCGTCGTGACTTTTCTTCTCGCATTGGCTCTTGCCATTCTCCCTCTTGCTGGACCTTGCCCACAACGACACGGTTGTCAAAGCGGAGCTGACTCCTTAGCCTCCGTCCCATGTCTTGAGCCCTACGCCTCCATTGCCGGAAGCTGTTGGACGCTGACATTCAGTGGCCTGTTGATCCGTGCTTCAACATATCCCCATCACTCTTGCTCTCCTCAACGTGAGCCCCGTCACTCAACCTTTCGAGACTCGCCACGTCCTTGACCGACGCAAGGTCATCTGCTCCACATATCCTGCAGCGTACACCACCTTGTCTCCATCTGCGCCGATCACTGCTCTCGACGACCTTGGCCAACCTATCTGATTTAACATAGCCCACGAGCCCGGTGCCACTTGGAGGGAGAGGATCGGGGGAGGGAAAAGAAAGGAAAGGAGAAAGGGCGACGGGACGGCAAAGGAGTTTCTTGTCTCCACCTTTGGCAGAGCTTCCTCCTCGCTAACATGGCGGATCGGCTCACCGACCAACCGGAGGCGGCCGAGCCGTCGGCTTCCCGCCGCTCATCCCGCGACACAGCTACGACGGCGGGAGACGAGGGGCCGCGCGGCGACGGCCCGATGCGGCCGCGGACCGGCATCTCAGTGGAGCAGGCCGAGGCCGACTTTGCCGACCTGCAGCGCGAGTTCACGGGCGTTTCGCGCGCGAGCCGCCGGGACAGGGGCACCAAGGGCGGCGGCGTCGAAAGGGCCGGCGTCGAGAAGGCCATCGTCGACGAGGACGGGCCGTCGGACGATGGCTCCGTCTTCGACCTCGAGACGGCCCTGCGCGGCGACCTGGACGCCGGGCAAGCGGCCGGGATCCGGCCCAAGCACGTGGGCGTGTACTGGGACGGGCTGACGGTCCGGGGCGTGGGCGGGACGACCAACTACGTGCAGACGTTCCCCGACGCCTTTGTCGACTTCGTCGACGTGCTGACGCCGCTGCTGGGCCTGCTGGGGCTGGGCCGCAAGCCGGCCGAGGCGACACTGCTGAGCGAGTTCCGGGGCGTGTGCCGGCCGGGCGAGATGGTGCTGGTGCTGGGCAAGCCCGGCTCCGGCTGCACCACGTTCCTCAAGACCATAGCCAACCAGCGGCACGGCTACACGAGCGTGGCGGGCGAGGTGCTGTACGGGCCCCTGACGGCGCGCGAGTTCGAGCGGTACCGCGGCGAGGCCGTGTACAACGCCGAGGACGACGTGCACCACGCGACGCTGACGGTCGAGCAGACGCTCGGCTTCGCCCTCGACACCAAGATGGCGGCCAAGCGGCCGGGCCACATGGCCAAGGCCGACTTCAAGGCGCACGTCGTCGGCACGCTGCTCAAGATGTTCAACATCGAGCACACGCGCCGCACCGTCGTCGGCGACCACTTTGTGCGCGGCATCTCGGGCGGCGAGCGCAAGCGCGTGTCCATTGCCGAGATGATGATCACCAGCGCCTGCGTGCTGTCGTGGGACAACAGCACGCGCGGCCTCGACGCCAGCACCGCCCTCGACTTCATCAAGTCGCTGCGCATCCTGACCAACCTGTACAAGACGACGACGTTTGTCTCGCTCTACCAGGCCTCGGAGACCATGTACCGCCTCTTCGACAAGGTCCTGGTCGTCGACGCCGGCCGCCAGGCCTACTTCGGCCCGGCCGCCGACGCCCGCGCCTACTTCGAGGGCCTCGGCTTCGCCCATCTGCCGCGCCAGACGACGCCCGACTACCTGACGGCCTGCACCGACGAGTTCGAGCGCCGCTACGCCCCCGGCCGCTCCGAGGCCGACGCGCCGCACGGGCCCGACGCCCTGGCCGCCGCCTTCCGCCGCTCCGGCCACCACGCCCGCCTCGGCGCCGACATGGCCGCCTACCGCGCCGGGCTGGCCGCCCAGACGGCCCAGCTCGACGACTTCCGCGCCGCCGTGCGCGAGGGCAAGCGCGGCTCTTCGCGCCGCTCCGTCTACCAGGTCGGCTTCCACCTGCAGGTCTGGGCCCTGATGAAGCGCCAGTTCACGCTCAAGCTGCAGGACCGCTTCAACCTGACGCTGGCCTGGGTCCGCAGCATCGTCATCGCCGTCGTCCTCGGCACCCTCTACCTCGGCCTCGGCAAGACGTCGGCCAGCGCCTTCAGCAAGGGCGGCCTGCTCTTCGTCGCCCTGCTCTTCAACGCCTTCCAGGCCTTCTCCGAGCTCGCCGGTGCCATGCTGGGCCGCGCCATCGTCAACAAGCACAAGGCCTACGCCTTCCACCGGCCCTCGGCCCTCTGGATCGGCCAGATCATCGTCGACCAGGCCTTTGCCGCCTCCGAGATCATGGTCTTCTCCGTCATCGTCTACTTCATGACGGGCCTGGTCCGCGACGTCGGCGCCTTCTTCACCTTTTACCTCATGATCCTCTCCGGCAACATCGCCATGACGCTCGTCTTCCGCATCATCGGCTGCCTGAGCCCCGACTTCGACTACGCCACCAAGTTCGCCGTCGTTGTCATCACTCTCTTCGTCACCACCTCGGGCTACATCATCCAGTACCAGTCCGAGAAGCCCTGGCTGCGCTGGATCTTCTGGGTCAACGTCCTGGGCCTCATCTTCAGCTCTCTCATGCAGAACGAGTTCCAGCGCATCGACCTGACCTGCACCGCCGACTCGCTCGTGCCCGCCGGTCCCGGCTACGACGACATCAACCACCAGGTCTGCACGCTGCCCGGCTCGCGCTCCGGCACCACGTTTGTGGCCGGGTCCGACTACGTGGCCAACGGCTTCTCCTACCACCCGGGCGACCTGTGGCGCAACTGGGCCATCGTCGCCGCCATCATCGTCTTCTTCCTCATCCTCAACGTCGTCCTGGGCGAGCTCGTCAAGTTCGGCATGGGCGGCAACACCTTCAAGGTCTACCAGCCGCCCAACCGGGAGCGGCGCGAGCTCAACGAGAAACTGCTGGAGCGGCGCGAGGCCAGGCGCCAGGACCGGTCCGACGAGACGGGCTCCGATCTCCGCGTCCGCTCCGAGAGCATCCTGACGTGGGAGGAGCTCAGCTACGACGTGCCCGTGGCCGGCGGCTCGCGGCGCCTGCTGCGCGACGTGTACGGCTACGTGCGGCCGGGCGAGCTGACGGCGCTGATGGGCGCCTCGGGCGCGGGCAAGACGACGCTGCTCGACGTGCTGGCGGCGCGCAAGAACATCGGCGTCATCGGCGGCCGCGTCCTCGTCGACGGCGCCCTGCCGGGCAAGCAGTTCCAGCGTTCCACGTCGTACGCCGAGCAGCTCGACCTGCACGAGCCGACGCAGACGGTGCGCGAGGCCCTGCGCTTCTCGGCCGAGCTGCGCCAGCCCTACGAGACGCCCCTGGCGGAGCGGCACGCCTACGTCGAGGAGATCATCGCGCTGCTCGAGATGGAGCCGCTGGCCGACTGCATCATCGGCTCCGCCGAGGCCGGCCTGACTGTCGAGCAGCAGAAGCGCGTCACCATTGGCATCGAGCTGGCGGCCAAGCCCGAGCTGCTGCTCTTCCTCGACGAGCCGACGTCGGGCCTCGACAGCCAGAGCGCCTTCAACATTGTGCGCTTCCTCAAGAAGCTGGCCGCCGCCGGCCAGGCCATCCTCTGCACCATCCACCAGCCCAACGCCGCCCTCTTCGACATGTTCGACCGCCTGCTGCTGCTCGAGCGCGGCGGCCGCACCGTCTACTTTGGCGACATCGGGCCCGACGCCGCCATCCTGCGCGACTATCTGAGGCGCCACGGCGCCGAGGCCGCGCCCACGGACAACGTGGCCGAGTTCATGCTCGAGGCCATCGGCGCCGGCAGCAACCCCCGTGTCGGCAACCGCGACTGGGCCGACATCTGGGACGAGAGCCCTGAGCGCACCGCCGCCATCGATGCCATCGCCCGCATGAAGGGCGAGAGGAGGGCCGCCGGCTCGCCGTCTCCCGGCTCCGAGGTCAAGGCCGAGCGCGAGTACGCGTCGCCGCCCCTTCACCAGCTCCGCGTCGTCTGCCGGCGCATGTTCCGCGCCTACTGGCGTTCGCCCAACTACCTCTTTACCCGCCTCTTCAACCACTTTGCCGTCGCCTTCATCAGCGGCCTCACCTACCTCAACCTCGACGACTCGCGCGCCTCGCTCCAGTACACCGTCTTCGTCATGTTCCAGGTCACGGTCCTGCCCGCCCTCATCATCAGTCAGGTCGAGGTCATGTTCCACATCAAGCGCGCTCTCTTCTTCCGCGAGGCCTCGTCCAAGATGTACTCGCCCATGACCTTTGCCACGGCCATGGTCGCTGCAGAGATGCCCTACTCGATCCTCTGCGCCGTCGTCTTCTTCGTCTGCATCTACTTCATGCCGGGCCTGCCCGCCACCCCGTCCCGCGCCGGGTATCAATTCTTCATGGTGCTCACCACCGAGGTCTTCGCCGTCACCCTCGGCCAGTGTCTCGCCTCGCTGACGCCCTCGCCACACATCTCGGCCCAGTTAAACCCCTTCATCATCATCATCTTCGCCCTCTTCTGCGGCGTCACAATCCCGGCCCCTCGGATGCCCGACTTCTGGCGAGCCTGGCTCTACCAGCTCGACCCCTTCACCCGCCTCATCGGTGGCATGGTCACCACCGCCCTCCACGAGCTGCCCGTTCGCTGTCAGCCCCATGAGCTCAGCGTCTTCACCGCACCCAACGGCACGTCTTGCGGCCAGTACATGGAGCCCTTTTTTGCCCGAGGCGGCCCGGGCTACCTCGTCAGCAATGCCACCCAGAACTGCGAGTACTGCGCCTACCGGGTCGGTGATGAGTTCTACCAGCCTCTCAACATGTCCTTCTCGAACCGCTGGCGCGATCTCGGCATATACATTGCGTTTATCGGAAGCAATCTTGTCATTCTATTCTCGGCGGTTAGTACCATCTCCCCCTGAGCTCGTAAACCAGTTGCCCTCATGCCCTCGGTGTGTCCGTTATGCCATCTCCTACTCACTCCTCGTACCATGACGCTGACAACGACAAAACATAGTGCCGGTTTCTGAATTTCAATAAGAGATAAGTGGCAAAATATCCGAGACTGCGACTGCACCGTGACCTCCACAGGAGGATAGAGCCAGGGACGGTATGCTTAGGGACCACGCGAGACGCCCCTTGCTCTCCATTGTCGAAAAGCGATCTAAATTGAGGCTACACAAAATGTTTTTGTCTCTTTCCACACCACGTTGAAATCAGACATTCGACGTGGGATGTCAGAAACTGTTACAATCGTGGGGATTCAAGCTGGAGTGCATTTTGCGACGCACGTTGAACCTTTTGGGGGCTGACGAGATCCACGTCATTCATACCCGGCAAGCCAGCAAGTTGTTCAGAAACTAAAAATAATGAATAAATTAATTATCAAGACTAAACAACAGTCACTTCGAGTCGTTCAATGGCATATTGGGCTTCCCCATCTGCGCTTCAAGAGCTTTGCGGGCGTGTGATTTGCAATGTCGGGTCTGGTGCGTTGACTCAGTTGAGTCTCCCTCAACGAATCGTCATTTCGAGCGACTTGACTTGGCTGTTAAGTATGCACGGCTTTAGGGTCTAGCAGCGAGAGCCAATGATAGTTTCAACTTGTAGACCTGTCTTTGCTTGAAAACATGGCTTAAGCCCATCCGAAACATGTTTTGATTTCATTGCTCAAGCCCCTGCATCTTCGCCTCTGTTCAACTCAGAACGAGCTGCTCCCAAGACCGAGGTCAATCTAGCGTGAACAACGCCAGAACTAACCCAGAGAGCGCATTTGTTTCTAATTTCTCGACTCGTCAAATCTATTTCCTGGGCAAGGATCAGGTTGGTCATGTGGTCTTCGGATTTGCAAGCAGGGAATCTGGCGAGTCTCATGTTTCCTGGCGCCACTTCCGAGCGCTTCCTCGACATAACTTGGGTGATGGAAGCCTAATGCATAGTTGCCGGTACTTCGAACCCTCTTAAGAGCGTCTTCATTGGCGGCGAGCTCCTCTTCGATCGCGTGGCGGGCCGCCGCCGCTTCGTCGTCCCCCTACTCAGCAGGAGGAGGTCGCCTGCTGGCTCGGCCTTCTTTCACTGAGGCTTGGTCCAGCTCCAAGCCGTCCCCACCCGGCCGCCCACCCGGCTGCTCATGCTCGCTCGATGAGGAGGGGGGCAGTGGACAATTTCGCGACTGGTATGTCGGCCACAGCGATGGATGATTGTAGTGTTATGGCACATTTTGGACTAAAAAATATTTCAGGATAGGCAAGGAGAGTCGGGCAGAGAGTAAAATTTTGTATGCTGGTAGCATTGATCCTCAATAGTTTGATCTATCTTATATATGATGAATTTAAGAATAGAATATGGGACGTACTGTTGGCTCCTCACAATCTCGGTCGCATAAACGGTCGCGTTAGACGCCATCAATAATAGCTCTGCATATAGAGAATCTGCCTCTGTCATGGATACTCTGAGCTCCGGTACGTATCCGTCGATTCCGCCCCGGCCACAGCGCTAGCTGGTTCAACCACTTGCGTCATGTCCTCCGAGGTGGATATCAATTGGCTGCTAGGCAGCGGGCGAATGTGGGACTTCCTAGCCGCGCGCTTTAAGCCGGTTCACAGCTCTTCCGTGTTCCGAATTAGAAACCGCGGGCACCAAAGCACTTTCCCCTCCATTCACATGGCCGCTTCTTCCACAGCCTTAGCCAGTCTCCCTCATCAGCGCGAACTTTTAAGTCCTCTAACGCTTCCCTGTGATTTCAGAGAGAGAGACACTCACAATAGACGAATTAGGTGAGCTTTGCAGGGTCGCCGTTCTTTAGATCCATGGGGGCGATGGAGATGGTGCAGACATCATTTTCAACTTCAATGGCCAGCGAATCACCGTATCTATCTTTCCTAGCTCTTTAACCCGCGATCGAGATTAGTGCTCGACCCAAGACCGCCTTATCTATCTTCTAGGTCGCGCTGCCTCCGACGACGTGGACGACGACGAGTACGAGGAGCTTGAGGACCAGATACTGGGAGTTATTTTGGATGTAGGCCGGCCAATCTTCAGAGCTCAAGCGACGCTCCACATAAGCTTAATTCGGCGCGAGATCTACACTCTACCATATACCCCGCGACACTCTATTTCCAGCTTCTAGACCTTTGCGGCAAGGCTGTCATTGTCCCTATCGAACTAAGCGAAGCTTATACCCTTTCTGCGTATAAGACAGGCTATGATAGCGCCGAGGACGATAAGTTAGGCATCGACGCTACCCTTCCTTGCTGCTCGACGAAGGCAATCCTCACTATGGAGATATTCGCACAAGGCGGTGAGCACACTGCTAGTCGGGTCCTGGTCGATGGCAACGAGATGTTCTGCAAGGCTCGCCGAGGTATAGGTGGATTGATTGGCACTAGCGTGGGGCGAGAGCTGGAATGCCTATAGGAAGTACGCAAGTTTCCACCACCCGAGCGCGACACTTTGATACGTATCCCGCAGCTTATGGGCTATGTCCGGCACGCAGATACGGGCCGCGTTGTCGGGTTCCTTCGGGAATGGGTCCCGGGACGTCGGCTTCGGGATATAGACGTTCCTGCGATACCAGCCCAGCGGAGGCAAAAGTGGATTGGGCAGATCCGCGAGGCAGTCCACGCCTTGCACGCCAGAGGGACAATGTAGGGTGATGGGAAGGCCAGCAACGTTGTTATCGACGAACGAGACAATGCTTAGCTGATTGACTTTGGGGGTGGCTGGACCAATGGCTGGGTGGATGCAAAGTTGGCCGATATAGTGGAAGGAGATGAACAGGCGATCGGCAAGATTGGAGAGTTTTTGGAAGTTGAATAAGTTAGAGCCCTGACTGAACATTTTATCTGAGTACTCCGTAAGTGTTCTCGCATAATACCATCGCCCTGCTAAATAACTGTTGACTCCGTCTACTTACCCCTGATTCCGTCCTTTAGAGACAAGGATTTCATTTCGTCATACGTACAGTCCTTAGCATACTCTACTCTTGAAACCGATTAGAAGCCATATTAAACTATGCATCACAAAGGACCAATGGAAACTCCATGCGTAATTGCTATATGCATTTCTGATTTACAGCGTGAACGAAGTGGTTGGTGAGAAATCATGGCGCTGCACCTGCTCTTGCTACCGACAGGGCCATTTCTAGCTTCTTATAAGCATACTTACTACTTTCGGCAGTATACCTCTTACCTATTCGTCTACTTCTTAGCAAGGTACTAAATAGATAAATGATTATTATATAAATAGTCACGCCCACGAATCCCCTCTTTCAGGAAGGACAGCGCAATCTACACAGTCCTCTCAACGCAAGGACTGCATAACTAGTGATATAGACCCACGACTGGCCCTTGGCAGGCTAGTACCGTGATCTGCTGGGCTACGCTGCTTTGGACTAAATACGTGCGAAGCCGATAACTATGGCCGCTTCCTTGTGGTTCGAAGCCGCCATCGCTGCGACTCCGCACCCACTGGTACTGGGAACTGCCGGCGCGATTCTAGCGGCTCCGACGGGCGGACGGTTCCCGCGACTGCTTCGTTTGATCAGCACCATGGGAAGAGATGATATCGAACGGTTCATGGGTCGAGAATAACGCGCCGTCATGCGCTCATGCCTTCTAGAGTTAGCGCATGGGCCTCAGGCGGGATTATTAATAAGACGGGTCGAGACGGATGCCCTCCCCGGAGCTGTGAGTGGTCGGCTCATGGCGCATATTCATGCCAGAAATCAGACGACGAGCCTGAGGAGCATTGGGAGCCATGAGCTGAACCGCTTGGCTTCAACCCAACTGCGTCGTTATGATTGGCAGTCTTGTCGTCCACCCACTTTACAGTTTCCGCTGAGCCTCCAAAGAGTTATATATCCGACCGCCGCACGCTGCTTGTGGCCGCTGCCCACTCGTCGAGTCGTCAAACAAAATGTGCATTGTATTGTTCACCACGGCTCATCCGGGCTATTCGCTCATCCTCATCGACAACCGCGACGAGTACATTCTGCGCCCAACGTCGAGGCCGAGCTGGTGGAAACACCCGACGTCGGGCGATGAGGTGCTCTCGGCGCGCGACCTCCAGAGGGCGGAGAAGGGAACCTGGTTCGGCATCTCGAGAGGTGGCACGCTGGCCGTCCTGACCAACTATCGAGAGCTCGACCTGCACGATGTCGGCCATCCCGTGCACGGCATCAGGAGCAGAGGCCGTATGGTGACGGCTTGGCTCGGAGGCATGGCCGACGGCGGCATCAAGGAGGGCGTGCACCAGCTCGTCAAGGACGGAGGTGTCGCGGGCGTCGGCGGCTTTTCAATGGTCAGCGGCAAGCTGAGGAAGAAGGGCGGCGGCATCGCCATTGTGAGCAACCGGGCCCGGCAGGCCGACGACGTTCCCCTCGTCGGCCTGGAACGGGGGGAGACGTGGGGGCTCAGCAACACCGTCTTTGACGACCCCGACGAGTGGCCGAAGGTCAAGACGGGCAAGCATCTCTTGAGCCAGGTCGTGTCCGAGGCAGCCGATGCCAAGGCCGGCCAACAAGAACTCATCGCCAGACTGTTCTCCATCCTCGACACAGATACGCTGCCTTTGCGAGCTCCCGAGATGGGCTTCGAGGAATACGTCAGCCAGCTCAAGCACACCATCTTCGTGCCCGCCATTGGAGACGAGGCCCATCGTCAGGCCATGCGCGAGGCCACAACCAAGGGCCGCGGCGACTGGGCCGCGCTGACGGGCGATGGCAAGGCCGTCGAGGCGCTCTTAGCTGAGCAGCGGCCCGACGCGAATCCGAGCCCCGAGACCATCGCTGCGTTCGAGACGGGCATGTACGGGACGCAGCGGCAGACGGTGCTGCTGGTGGACTGGGACGGCCATGTCACCTTGGTCGAGCGAGCTCTGTGGGACAGCAACGGCAACGAGATTCCCAGAGGACAGGGCGATGTTGTGTTTCGCTTCGAGATTGACGGCTGGGACGAGTGAGAGAGGAGGTCGGGGTCGCGGAGTCCGGTGGTGGTGATGGGAGAGGAGGAAAGGCGTCGGCGAGGAAGAAGGAGGGGGCGTGACATGGCGATAGACACACTCTGGAGGTACTTGGCATGGAATATCTTGGGGCCAAGATGGCAGATGCACGGTAAAGTGAATAGCTGCTTTATACAGAGAACAGGGAGAAACCATGAGGCAGAGCGGATTCACTTGTCCCCGGTTGCCACATCAACTCTGCCAGCTGTTCACGAGCCCTGTGGCTCTCCTATGGCAACCCCCGAAGAGTGACAGCTGCATTTTGCAGCTGTTCGAATCGCCTGCCAATCTCTGGCCAAGCGAACCGTTCGCCTACCCACGCACGCGTCCTCTCCCCTTTCTCCTCCACAACTGCCACCCTCTGGCCGGCCACCTCTTGCAAGCTCTGTCGGGCCCGAAGGCAGTGAGTGCCCATCGCTGGTCTGCTCGTCGGCTTCGACAGCCCGCTGCCCGGCTTCCTGCTTTTCTTCTTGTCCTTCTTCCCACTCGTCTGCTCTCTCGAAGCCACTCACCTGCTCTTCAGCCATCAGAACCCGAACCCGTCGTACCTCTGCACGGCTTCACTACAGCCTCCCGTCTCTCGTCCTGCTTCCATCGACATCGCCTTCGTCCCGCCATCCACTCCTCGCCTACGCGGCTGCCGCTTCCGCCCCCCACAGCCTCGCGAGCCGTCAAAAGCGTTGCACCAGCGCGCGTCGTTCGGCTGCACGGGTAGCCCAGAGGCCCTCCCAGAACGAGAGCCTTCTCACGGCATGCTGGACGAGCTTGTATGTCAGCCCATTCTGATCCATGAGGCTTGTTGACAGCAAAGATGCCCAAGAAGGACCAGGTCCGCCCCGTCATCTCCTCCCCCGTTGGGCCCATTCAAAACTCTCGCGGGCCCGATCTCGTCCGCAGCGACAGGTTCCGCATCGTCGATGGCATCGAGGACTGTCAGGACCCGTCTGCCACTGAGGCGGCTTCGGGCGCCACGGCGTCAACCGCAGCCAGGACTACCAGGAGAGTTTCGGCCAGTTTCCCAGGCCAGGAGAGACCAGCAGCCAGCCCGACCGTCGCCAGCTCCTCAATCAACGCCACAACGCCCGCCCTGAATCCCTCGGCTCCGTCTTCCTCCCGCTTTCTGCGCAGGCCTTCGTTTCCTTCGTTTGGCAGATCAAAGACGGCCAAGTCTCTGCTGCCGACGAGCTCGACCGCCTCCATGCTGCCTACTCGAGCTCGCCTGGCGGAAAACGTCCCCCCTACCTCTTCGTTCAAAGCCCCCATCGACACTCCGCAGCTCCCACAGCAGGCGAGCAAGCTGCCCAAGTCAAGGACCATGAACGTCCTCCACGATCTGAAGAATTCGATCTCGCGGCAGAACCTGAGTTCGCGGTTCAACGACGCCAGACGAACTCCGGCGCCCTCGCAGATGCCGCAGCCGCCGCGCACTTCTGCGCAGATGCCGCCGCCTCCGTGGACTCCAGCACCCTCGCAGATGCCCCAGCCGTCGCGAACTTCTGCTCTCCCGCACATGCCTGTGTCTTCGCGTATTGCTGCTCCCTCCCACATCCCTGGGCCACCCCATACTTCTGCGCAGTTGGATGTGCCCAGGCCGTGGCAACAGCATGCAATACGCCGAAAGCCCGTGCCTTCACAGGCTCCCGGACCGTCGCGCCCATCTATGCCCTCACAGAACCCGGGACCGATGCGAATGTCTCGGCCACCGTCGCAAACTCCGTCCATGCCCCCTCCACAGGCTCCCCGGGCCGATCGGTTCGGCGCTGCCCCGAAACCGCAGTCAGCCTTTTCAGTGGACTCCTCCAGTCGCTCTACGACCCCGGAGCCCGACCGGTCGCAAGTTGTGGCAGCCCAGCCGATGGAGTACTGGACTGGACGGTTCAGCCGTCTCAACGACATATACCTGGCGGACGATCGCGCCCCCGAGACCCTGCTGGCTCTCCGAAGCGGCCTCGTGTCTCAACATCGGCAGCACATCAACCCGCAGTCTGTCGACGAGGACGACGCTCGCCACCTGCATATATTCGCGCAGCTCGACTTTCTCTGCGCAACGCAGGATGCCAAGCAGTCACTGTGGGAGTTCCAGCAGGTGTTTGCCCGTCGCTTCAACCGGCCCACTCTTCTGCCCGCGGGTGGCAGCATGGGGGCTCAAGACCAAGGCCTGACGTCGAGGATCTTCGGCAATCGTCGCCTCAGCGGCGAGCAGCGCCGAGGCGGGCCTGGCCGGCCGCCCAGCTCCCAGGCGATGGGCTCCAATGCAGGTAGCCCATATGGCACACGCTGACCCATTGCTGATGGTATTTGCAGTCTCGGAGAAGCTCCTCGTCCTTATTGCGGTGCCTCTACGGCTCCGGAGTTCCGACGACGACTCTGTGGCGAGAGGACCCGCGACGCTATCGAGGGTGGATTCAGACGATGATATGATTTACGACGCATCAGGACATTTCCTTGGCTTGTTCATGAGTGAGATTCCCCTCTTTGGAAGGAATTTAACCAACGGCTCAAGATACGCCGCTTGGTGACATCAATGGTAACTGGCTTTCAATCATGAGCTTTGGGATGGAAACAACACCCTGGAAAGGCACATTTTGCTCACATTGCATGATAGTTTAATGATATCCCCGATCCGTCGCCCCGTCATGGGATCGAATGCTGAAGCCCAAAAAAAAATGTCAACTCCACTGTTCGATTTTTATATACCTGGCCTGCCCTTGCGCCTTGGTGGCGCTTCCGAGTCTGGCCTCTGCGTTTGACCCCATGCCATGCCCAAAGCACCGCGACGCCGTAACTAATACCAGATGATAATGCAAGATGAGGATGGCCTGGTTCCATCGTTGGGGCGGATGAGTGAGCTATTCAGCCCTCTTGCGGCTCTTGAGGTAATCCCTGATTTGCTCGTGCTTGTTTGCGAAAAACATGCCCGACTTGTCGCTCCTCCATACCAGCACACCAATCTCTTCGGCAAATCTCGCCGTTTCGACGTACTCCCTGTGGTCGTCAAAGTCGCGGAAGAGGAAGCCACTCGTCGTCTTCATGCGCTCGTTCTCGAGTTGCCAGAGCCGGATCTGATCGACGACGGTGGGGGGCAGGACGGGCTTGTTGGTGAGCGCGGCAGTGCGGTGCATCTGTTCGTGGGCGTGGGCGGCCATGTACGAGATGATCTGGTCCGCCGTGATGCCGAAGTTGATGGCCTGCCGGATCGAGGCGCGCGAGACGCGGCCGGCGACCATGTCGGGGAAGCGCATGTTGAGCTTGGTGAAGAGGGCGAGTACGGCAATCTGGAGGGTCGACTGCGTGTACGCGTAGATGCGGTAGTTGGTCTCTACAATGACACTGCCCTTTTGCTCCCCGGATCCCCCCGATGGGCCCGTTTGCGAAGGGTTGGCCGCAGCGGCCGTCGCGGCCGCCACTCCATCGCTGATGGTCCGCAGGCTGCTGCCGCCCCCACTCGTGAGGGTGGTGGCGAGGCGCGTTGGAAAGAACATGGAGCGCTTGTGCTGGGGGATGTAGATGAGGCCAAAGTCGAGCAGCGAGGGCAGCATGTTCTTGCGCTGCTCGGTGAGAGCATTGGTGTCGTAGGCCCTTCCGAGCTCGAGGCTGGCGAGGACGAAAAGAAAGGATAGCATGTCGACCGTCTCCAAACCCGCCGCCCGGTTGATCTCGCTCGCCTCAAGCCAGAGCAGCAGCAGGGTCCAGACCTGGGCGTTGGCCTCTTGCAGCAGGAACGTGAAGCCGGCTTGCGTGATGCCGACACTTCCGTTGGGCCGCCTGTCTACCAAGCGGCCGGCTATCAGGAGCTCCTTGACGCTCTTGTTGGGTCCTAACATGTCGCTGGTGCTCTTGTACCCGACGCTGGACACGACAAAGTGCAGGATATCCTCCCATTTCTTGCGCGCGTATCGGTCGAGGAAGGCGAGGTCGATCTCGGGTGGGACGAGCAGCGTCGAGGGAACGCCAAAGGAGTTGTGAGTGCCGCCACCGGTGAGAGCGAGACGCAGCGAGGCCTTGAAGTTGGCCGTCAAGTACATCTCCTGCGGCTTCTCCTTGGACGGGACCGAGATCTGGATGATGTGGAGACCACGGAGGATCGAGAGCGCTTGGTCTTTTTGCCTGCGTCCGGTGATTAGACGAGAGCTGGTGGCGCATGAAGAGCCATAGAGGGGGAGGCATCTCAGTACCGCTTCGCTTCGGGCCTGACCCAAAGATCCAGATCGCTGAGGAGCATGGGCTTGGGCATGTAGAGGATGCGCATGACGAACGTTTTGGCTGCGGGGTCAGCGAGCGCTCTCGCGTCGCAACCCCGAGGGCACAGGCTCACCTAGATGCGGCAGCATGCGCCGGAAGATGGCAAAGGCCGTCGATGGCTGCTGGTAGAGCTTCCTGAAGGTCGTACCGGGCAGCTTCTCGAGGTAATCGGCCAGCTGGAGAGACTGGGTTGGACCGACAGACATTGTGACGGCGGGTTCCGGTCTGCCGGTACAAAGGAGAAAGGAAAGAAAGGGGAGGAAAGGCTATATCATGTTCGAGAGAGCGGAGTGTCCCGGCCCATGTCGAGGACGAAGGCCCGGAGTAGGTATCACGGGCTGCGAAGGTTATCGTTGGATAAAGGTCTCTGTAGCCTGGAGATATGGGTACGTACCTACAGTACAGTGCAGTAGGTACCTTGAATTACTGCAATGACGTTCCGTGGGGGTGAACGTCGGCTGCTTGAGTAGGTGGCCCGGGTGATACTCGGGTATCTGCGTAGCCACCAGGAAACCAGGCACGAAGCACCAGTCGCGGTCTCAACTCCCAGGCTACGCTGTGCAGGGAAATCTCACAAGTCACCGACAATATGATCACCAGGACCACGACACAAGGGATCAAGCAATGGGCCCCTGACCGATTTATACATGCCGTAAGTCCCCTTCTCCTGCGCCAAGACGGGCTGGCTCGTTGACTCGTCTAGGTGCTGCGATCCTTCCAGGCCGAGTCTGGTCTTGAACCAAGGTATGCTCTTGTCCGAGAACCTCACGCAAGAGAATAAAGCCGCTGACTGGAAGACTTGCTCATCGCGTGCCAGTTTATTCGGGCCTCGGGTACGGTGAAGCCAACTTGTGCATGAGCTGATGCGCTGTGGTACTGACGCTCGGCTTCCATCCACCAGTTCCGCGTGACAGCCGTCCAGATAGGAATGGTCAAGTTTGAACTGGACATTGAAAAAGACCATACCGTGAGTCTCCCTGGTGCACGCGTTCAGGTGGGAGCAACCGGCTGACTTTGACCTCAGAACAGGTTCCGGACGCTCCATGGCGGGACTCTGGCCAGCCTAGTGGACTTTGGCGGCTCGCTGGCGATTGCTTCGACTGGCCGCTTCCACACGGGTGTTTCGACGGACCTCAACAGTTCGCCCTCTCCCCCGAAGTCACTGGCGCCCGCGGCTTGCTGACGTGACCTCAGTATCCTATCTTGCCCCGGGAGGGATGCCTGGCGACGTCATCAAGGGCTCCGCCATCTGCGACCGCAGTACGTGACCCCCTTCGCTGTCCTACTGAGGCGTTCTCGGGATGCTGACAGAGTCGTAGTTGGAAGAAAGTTGGCATATACGACCGTGACATTCGTCGATAAGTATGGAGACATTGCGGCTAGAGGCAGCCACACCAAGTGCGTGTCAAGATTGGCCAACGACGACCAAAACTAACGCTAGACAGGTACCTTCCTACGACAATGACACGAGACGATGCATTTATGCCGCCTGAAGAGTTTGCCGAGGATGACTCGGACCCGGCAATGTCGCCTCACACTCTAAGCAACCCCTACCCGGCAGAGCATGAAAAAGGTCCTAAACAATGGTGAATCGGGCAACCGCCCTGTTTCCCCTTCCAAGGAGCAACTCAATAGACTGGTCATGAGGGTATTCATTACGTGGTATCTTCCCAGCTCATGTCGATCGGTATCCTAACGCCGAAGCCGTGACTCGCTTTCCCTATAGCCGTACAGAACCTTGCATCCGTTTTTTTTCACGTTCAACCGTCTGGCTACCACCTCACTTCTTCTCGTTATACGGCAACGGGGTCATTTGAGGAGGCGTCCCGTCTGCCTGATGGTACAGCCCCATGGCGTCCGAGTGCGCGGGGGGAGGCGACGACGGCGACGGGAAGTGGCCTGCCTGCGTCCCCATGTCATGCGGCTGCTGGGGGTGAGGAAAAGGAGCGGCTTGCCAGTGCGGCTGTGGAGAGGGATCGTGCTGAACAAAGTGCGGTGCAGGCGATGATTGTTGCTGGAGCGGACGCTCGTGGGGATGGGCGTGATGGTATTGGGGCCCCTGCGGCTGCTCCCAGCTTGGGTGCAGAGGCTGTTGGCTCTGCGGGCTGTATCCGTAGCCCCATGGCGTCTGCAACGGCATGCCGTGGCCGCCGGGACGGACCATCATGAAGGGTTGCTCGGTTGACCAGAGCCCGTGCTGTTTCTTGGTCGCTAGGACAAGCAGGAGAACTAGGAGGACGAACAAGGGCCAGCAGCTGAGCACAATGTCGATGATGGCAAAGTGCGGGCCAGGCCGCGAGGAGTCTGCGTCGGACATGATGGAGTTCGCATCGCCGAACGGGACGTACTTGGCGTAATAAGCAATGTCGTACGACACTTTCAGGAGCAGCAGCGTACAACAAACAAGGAGATATCTGGTAGCCTAGGTTGGAGACGATCATTAGTTTCTAGCTTCGAACACCCTCTCTCCTCTCTTCTCCCGTCTCGTACGACTGTCTGCGTGTGTGGTCGCGCAGGCGACGATGGCAATCCACTCACCGTCTTCACTTTTAGCTCTGATCTGGTCTGTACCGCGACGAGGACCGATCTGGCCAGCAGGACAAGCGTGGCAACGAGCTGGACGACGAGCATGATGAGAGTAACGACCCTTGTGGCGCGCAAGGCCTGCCTGGCGGTCCTGGGCACATGGACGCCGTCTTTGAGGAGATCGCGATTGCTGTATGTCATGATAAAGTGTCTCTCGCTCAGGGCAAAGCCAACAATGTTGAGGATGCTGAGAAGCAGGGCAGTGACGTAGAAGCCGGCGCGCATCAATCTTTCCAGCGTCGACTCGGCACCGCCGTGGACGATCCTGATGCCGGCGGCCAGGCCAATGAGAGCAAGCAAGACAAAGATGAAGGCGAACTCGTACAAAAGAGATCCGACGATGCCTGTCTGGAGGTGGGCGCGGAAGAGGTCGGAGACGGCGCTGGTGGCCCTGGCCCTGAAGGCGGCGTCGTACAATTCGGTGTAGACGACGGCCAGCAGGTGGCTGAAAAAGGAGAGGAGGACGGCGCTGAGCGACGCAAAGGGGGCTATGAGACGTGACGCGACAAGCGGACGGGGCGGATGCGCTCACAGGATGAAGAAGCCAAAGGCGAGCTTGTAGAGGGCGAGCCAGGACCTTGCGGCGTCTTTGCGGCGCCGGGCCATGCACAGGGTGCACAGGAAGCCGATGGCGGCGGCGGCGGCCGTCAGGAGCAGCAGGGCTCCCGCGGCAATGTCGTAGGCCATGTATCCGCTAATCATGATGACGGCGAAGATATCGTGGCCACTGGGGGGTCATCTGAGGTGAGGAGGGGAAGAGTTTGAAGGGACCGCGGGACGAGAAACCCTTTGGCATATCTGTACTTTGCAAGACGTGTCGGGCAGGGTGTCATGGCTGTCCGTGGCTGCAGCACGGCGCTTGGGGTGCCACGGCCGGAAGCCGACGACAGGAGAGGGCATCAGTTCCGGTTGGCTGGAAGCCGGTGGTGGGCTGCCTCTTTGGCATGTTCTTTTCCCCCCTACGGAGTACAGATGTTCTGTCTGGGTACGGATACCTCCAGCACTCTGCTGTGACCACAGCGTGTACGGTATGCTTTCCAGGGCCTGCCCAAAACCCCTCGGTCCAATCGACGGGGACACGAGGCCATGGGCGCCCACACAGCCTCAAATCCAAGCCCTGCCGGGCGCTAAAAAGCGGCAGCGAGCGCATGGAGGGGGGGGGGTTGCGATTGGGCTGACTTTACCCCCGGGTTGGCAGACCTAGGCGCTGGAAATACCCGGGCTACGGGCTTACATTAGCCATGGGCGGATGGAGCGGCACGCAGGTTGCATACGGTTCCAAATCAAGAGAAACGAAGTAGGAATACTTGGACACGGTGGGTGGTTGCGTCGAAGAGAGAAAATAGACGTTGATAAAAAGCCGGGCTGGCGGTTGCTGCTCCACGCATGTTCAGCCGAAGGGGGAAAGCTGCCGTGGAATACGGATACAGCGTGCAAATACGATGGACGGCTTCGTCGGCCAACATGCAGTGATAGTGAAGCACGGCATGGGGGCCAAGAGAGAGAAGCCTTGCTGCGAAGCCCAAGGCCAGTGCGGGCGCGAACAGTCGTCGTCAGCTGCCGGGGCCAACAGCGGGCGGCGCAGCGGTTGGGCATGCGCGGGCTCCGTCTGCTGAGTATTGGTACTCGTTTACGTGAGACACGGAGTTGTATGCACAGTACCGTATTCCGTGTCTGGGAATAGCAGCTGTATTTTATTTATTTATTACTCGGTACAGTACACACAGAGAGAGACACGCAGAGACACGCAGAGACACGCAGAGACACGCAGAGACAGATGCATGTCATGCTTCCCGCCCGTCGTCGTCACTCGGCCTTGACGGCCCTGCCCTCATCCGTGCCGTGGAGCCAGTCCAAGACGCCGACGCCGCCAAAGTAAACGTCGAAGCGCTCGTGGTGGCGGTCGTGCTTCCTCGCGGCGCCGGCAAAGAAGTCGTAGCCGCTGTGCACCGTGGCCGTCTCGAGCAGCTGCCAGGCGACAAAGGCCCACATGACGACGACGTGGGAGCGCAGGGCGAGGGGCGGCAGCGCAATGGGCAGCGCGTTGGCGACGACGTGCTCGACCGGGTGGGCGTACTGCGACGCAAAGGCCACGGGCGCCGTGAAGCGGTGGTGCGTCTTGTGGATGCGCCGGTACAGCGGGCGCGCGTGGAGCAGCCGGTGCGAGTAGTAGAAGAGCACCTCGCGCGCCGCCACGCACAGCGCCAGGTGGCCGACGACCTCGCCCGCCGCCGGGAGCGCCGCCTCGACCCGGATCCGCGCCCCGCCGCCGCCGGCCGCCGCCGCGGACCGGGCCAGGGCGGCGTGCATGGCGGTGACGAGCACCTGGTTCCGCAGCGAGACGGCGACGGCGCGCCACACGTCGGCCGCCGTCGGCTGCTTGGGCGCCGGCTGGATCTTGTGGCGCGCCGAAAAGGCCGGGGCCAGCCGGTCGAGCGAGACGAAGACGAGGCAGGGGAGCCACCAGAAGACGGCCTGGACGACGAGGCTGCCGACGACGTCGATGGTGGCGGCGTCGTAGGTGGCCACGAGCAGCTTCCAGCGGTGAGCCACGTCCATGGTAATGCTCCGGCGTGGGCTATCCCGCGAGATGAAGAGAGAGGCGACGAGGGGGTGCGCGAGCTGGATTGACGAGGTTGGGTCATGATGATGACCGATGCGGCGTATGGATGCTCCATGATTTATGGATGGCACGAGATGCCGATGCCATGGCCAGCAAGACGTCGGCCAGCCTCGGCCCCCCTCGTGCAATGGGCGCCGTCGGGCTCTCAAGTTCAGCCGGCCCCTCGCGGGTGCAGGCATCGTTGGTCTCCCCACTTGTCATCCAATCTCTCCGCAAAGAATGGGGCCCCGGTGCATCAAACTGCGACTTGGCGTCTGTCCTCAGTTCCATGACATCTTGGAACTGCTCTCTCCGTCTTTGTCTTGACCAGACTTCTCCCGGGCCACGGCATCGTACAGCCATGTACTCCGCAGCCGTGCTTTGCTTTGCAACTTGCATAGTACGTCTGCAAGGTCAAGGTAGCCTGAGTGATCAACGCACCAGCGCCGCTTGCACAGCCAATAATCGGTTTTGCTTCTGCTTCCCTGGTACCGACGAGTGAATGACGTAGGCCATCCACCGAGCCCGCCCTCAAGGTGAAGATGCGTATTAAATGGCTCTTGTCACAGCCGGCTGACTACCCACCCAGGTCTGTAGGTAAGCTCATGAGGAGTCGAGGTAAGCTGGCAAAGTAACGTGAACGAGCTCGGCCTCATGTTAGGCTATAGCCAACAGAGGTCAGCTCCCACATGATCATCCAAGTCACGCACGCGCACCAACCGCAGGGTGTTTAAACGTGATTCATTGTGTGTACAGCTGCGCCCGTGGTCATCAAAGACATGGAAACGTGCACATGGTTGTAATCGTGACATCGTGAACCGTCGTAGTAGAATCACCCGCCCCCTGGTCCATTCCACGTCGCATTTGTCGGCCTCTCGCGCAGCCCCTGTGGTTATTCGTAGATGTCCTCGCTTTGCCCTCTGTCAACCGCAACCCAACAGGCCAATGAGAGAAACAAGTGTCAGTGTCTATGCTGGATCGGATGTCGGCACAAAAAGACGAAATAAAAAATGTTCTTTGCAGTTCCATGACCCGTCACTGTCGTCATCGTCGGAAAGAGACCAATCATGTCAGGGTGCTCAGCATGGCTCGCAGAAGCATGGGAGGAGGTCCTGTGCAAATGGCGCCAACCAGTCAGCCGCCGCTCCGTCAAGTCGCGTAGAGAGCACAGAGGAAGCGCGCACCTTCATCGATACTTTGGTACGCTAATGGACATCCTACCTTTCTTGTCCTTTTCGATGCGCGGCGGCTTGGGCGCCGCCACCTGCCGCTCCACCTTTTCCTGGTAGATGATGAGCTCGCCGTCGGGCATCCGCTCGGTGCGGACAACCTCGCGCTCCCCGATGTCGCCCTTGGGCCGGTGCGCCAGCTCCCGCTCGAGCGCGCGGATCTCGGCGCGGATCTCCCGGCCTGAGCGCGACCGCGACCGCGACTGGCGCACCACGGGCGCGACGACGAGATCGTCGTGGTGGTGGCGGTGGTGGTGGTGATGGCTGTGCGAGTCCCAGCTCGACGTCGACGTCGTCGTGGTGCGCGCCGGCGACACTTCGCGATACACCGTCCTCGACCGGTCCACGATCTCGACGGGCGGAGGGGCAGCCTCGAAGATGGTCGGTGCCGCGGGAGGCGGCGGGTGGGCTGCAACGGGCGGCGCCGGGTGGTACGGCGCCGGAGGGGGCGGATAGGGCGCTGCAGCCGGCGCATAGGGAGCTGCGGCGGGCGGCGGCGGAGGGGCAGCCGTCGCCGCGGCCGTCGGCAGAGCCAGCGCTGGCGGCGGCGGCACAAAGTGAAATTCTTCCCTGCGCTCTTCCAGTAGGTTGCCGGCCGAAGAGCGCGCGGCGGAAACCTCCTGGTCGGCTGCAAGCCATGCCCGTTAGCCTCTGCTGCCCCATCGGTCTGGCCGGCGTCCAATACCTTTGTTGTACTCCTCGCTCAGCTTCAGCAGCTCATCAATGTTTTCCTGGCCCAGCGCCTTCTGCACAATTATCGTGTTTCCCTACGCAAGTGAATGCTAAGTGAGCATGGCGTCTTGGGCCCCTGCAGGCACGCGTACGCACCTCTTCAACGTAGGGATAGCCAATGTCAATCAGAGCCCGCTTCGACACCAGCCTCGCGGGAATCTTGGTCTTGCCCTTCTTGGGGTACTCGCTGCTGCGCACTGTCGTGCCGCCTGCGCTGCTCGACGACCGGCTCGTTGCGGCCGAGGAGCGCGAGCTGCTGCGATGCGTGTGCGTCTTGGTGGTGCGCGACTCGCGGCTCCGGTCTCGTCGCTGACGCTCTCGAATCAGCTCGCGCTCGCGGATGCGCTCCGGATACGGCCGCATCTCGTCCTCGCCGTAGTGGTCCGGGTCGGCGATGTCGTCGTAGAAGCCGCGGTCGGGATATCGCCGGGGCGGAGGGAGGGCGCGCGACTTGGGGAGGGGGATGGGCGTGTAGGCCGGGGCGCGGTAGTCGTCGCGATAAATGTCCTCGCGGCGGGCCGGAGGCGGGTATTCCTCGCGCTCGTAGAACTGGCGGAGCGGGCGGCGGTCGTAGGTATCGAGCGACGACTGGCGGCGCAGGAAGCCTGGCCGCCGCGGCGACGAGTCGCGATAGTACTCGCGGTCGCGCTCCTTGTCGATGACGGTCCGGCGCTCATATTCCTGGGCCGGCGGCGCCCTCTCCCGCCGCGGCTCGGGGCGAGGCTCATCGTCGTAGTGGCGGCGGTCGCGCACAAGGTCGTCGTCATGGAACCGGGGGCGGTCGTAGCGCTCATCCGAGCGATCCCGGCCACGGCCGCCACGCATGGGATAGCGGTCGTCCTCGAGGCGGTCACGCTCGTACATGAGGCGGTCGCGATCCCAGCGCTCGCCAGCCATGGTGGTGGTAGGGGTGATGGTGGTGGTGGTGAAAAGAGGTGGTCGGGTGTGAGCGAGGTGAGTGGCAAAGCAACGGCGCGGCCAAGCTATGTATGCTTTTCAAGAGCAGTTTTTCTTTCACGCTCGTTCTTGCGGCCCTTTCTTTCCAAAGAGACAAAAAGGCGACAAAGACGACGACGTGGAAAAACAATGTCGGTGGAGGACTTTGTCCAGTCTTAGCTGGGCTGGCCGCCTTGACCGCTCGCTGGGCTGTGTAGCAGCCTAGTAGCCAGAGTGAGAGGAGGAGAGGCGGGCACCTGTCAGGTCAAGTCAGGTGGCACCGAGCAAGTGATGATATGAATTGAAATGGCTGCCAGACCGGGCGGGAAGAGGGAGACGCCGCTCTAAGTACCGCAACTTGCAAGGGGGGGTGGGTGTGATGACGTTTGACTCTTGGGTCGGGGCCCCCCGCCGTGGTGGATGCGAGCTTCCAGGTTTTGGTCTGCCGTGCGACTCAGCGCTATAATATGTGCGCGGGTATGGATGGGTTTAGGGCAGGCCCCCGTTATCCCAGCGTAGAGCCACTCCCTCGCTCTGGATGAAGCTGCGGGTGACCTCGGCAACTGACCAGGCCCGGCCAAACGTCTTGTTGGCCGGATGTGCGAATGCCGAGCAGCGGAGAGGGAAAAGAAGCATTCGTACTTGGTGCAGTACGCCGTAACTTACAGACTTGACATGTAAAACATAAAGCGGCCGTTGGAGGACCGAGGCGACACGGGTCGTGCCGGCTGCGAGTCTCTACATATGCACGTACGTGTGTAAAAGGGTCGACAGACATTCATATGTCTCGGCGCCCAAGCCCAACCCAAATTTGATGCCTATCCGTATACTCACACATTGATGAATTCCTTGGCCCTCCCGCATCTGGAAGCCTGACGAACATGTAGCCGGCCAGGACCAGGGTGCCAATCCCCTTCCCCCCCTCTGATGGCTGAATAGCGCGGTCGGTGATGCCTGGTAGCGCACATCGATTGTTTCGCGGACAAAGTGGACAGTACGTGCGTCACATGTGACTGGATAGCGGCGTACATATGGAGGCGCATCCTCATGTGGCCAACGCCCATCGCACCCATCGCTTGTCGGTGCTGCGCCGCATCTTTTGAAAGCCCCCGGCTGGCTGGCGGTTATAGGGCGCGGCGAGAAACAAAAAGCGGGCAACGTGAGCCGACCCTTTCTTCTCCCGCCCCCACGCCCCTGTCCGCTCTCCCTTGGCTGAGTCGTCAACGACCCATCTCCCGGCCTCGCCGCTTCGGCTTCGGGCAAAGGGTTCATCGCTCTGTAGCCAAGCCATCGAGACCGGTCGCCGAAGCAAGCCTTGCCCCCGCCACTCTCCCGTCCCTGCAACCCTTGGCAGCCAAGGTTGGGCATCGAGCTTTGCCCCTCCTTACGGATATTATTATCTTGCCATTTCTCCTTCCCTTGGTCGGGCATGGCCGACCTTTGTCGCCAGGGGAAAGCCACCCGGCCATCTACAGCGGGAAGGGTGCCGGGTGATGGGACGAGGGCACCTCATCTTTCATCTCGACGGCGCCAGCGAAGCGGCTTCTCTCTTGTCCCGTCCTCGGCCGGCCCTTGAGTGCGTGCAGCTCGAGTCTGCAAGCCGGCCCGCGGATTCGAGATGATTCGGCCAATCCCACATGTCCGCGAGTCTATCAAGCCGAGCAACGCTGCAAAGAGACACCCAGCGCAGCCGTGTCGGGTATCCAAGCGGGTCCTGATTGGGACCTGAGAAGCCTGATATCTCCTTCCTGTGCACCCCCCTTGAAGCCCCGTCGTAAATCTACTCCGGCGCCCTTCCGCGACGGCCCAACTTGTTGGCCTGCCTGGACATGCCTCGGCTCCAGTGGCAAAGGCGCCACGCAGAATACGCTCACTGGGTGGTTTAATATGACGCTCGATACCCTCGCAGGTATTCCCCGGTATTCACAGTCGGATCAGTCTCTCCCTGCTTCCTCGCTCAAGACTCATTTGACACATCCACTCGACGCGTCTAAGACGTTCTGAGGCCAAGTATATCAACGTCACCCTCGCTTCTCCTTTGCTCCCTCACACTACAGCAGTGTTCAGACCTCGCCAGGCGACGTGCCCTCTCGTGCTTCAGAGCGTTAAAGAAGAAGGGAAAGATGGCCTTTGGGATCCACGGAAAATATTAACTGCACTTACCAGGCCGTATCATCCAAATGCACAAGCAGGGTCAAATGCCAGTCCAGCAATGGCCATCAAAATGGCGGGTTTATTTTAGTAAATGGAAAGCGCTCTCAAGCTCGCAACGCCCCTGACTTTTGGATACATATTTCGACGTGCCCTCATCGCAGAATGGCAATATTGGCTCCATGGCGTTCCTTTTTGCTCTTGACGCCAGCTGGCCGCCTGTTCCAGCGCTGTGCCTTGACGCGCCCCTCTGCTGGCCATTGAACGGCCGCTAAGTCAGCCAGCCCATAGCGGGTTTAGTGACTGGCTGACACCCGACACACCGGGCGACTCCACGCGCCCGCCAGTCAACGAACGCGCCTCCAACTAAACGTCAAACCTCACATTTCAGACTTGTCCCTTTTTCAACCTCACCTCTTTGCCTGCCGGGAGCTCCTGTTGATCTTTACATCTAGGTCAATGGCTTCGGGTTTTTGACACTGCAGCATGCCAGATGCTGCCGTGTTGCTGAGCGGGAGGAAGACGGGCGGACCTTTGGCATCAGCAAGAGCCAACCTTTGCAGCGAGCCAAATGATCCGATAATCTAACAGTGAGTGCCAGCCGCCGGAGTCGTCTTCCTCACCAGCTCCACGTCATTGAGACTATCTCAACTTTCGGGCTGCAATCGCCATGGCGCGGGAAGAAGTCATCTCCCCCGAGGCACCCAAGCCACGAGGATACGGCTTTCTAAAAAAAGGCAACCCCTTCATGACAGCCCTCTGCCGCCGCAAAACAAGCGCAGCAGGGAAAAAGCTCTACGTGGTTTCGAGCCGGGGCGTGTCTTCAGGTCTGCTGGCACCAGAAGGGATTTTGGCCGAGGTCATCGCCGAGGAACTCGAGACGAGAGGCAAGAGGAGCGCGGCTGTCGAGAAGCGCGACGGGGCCGTCAGAGACGATTTTGAACAGGCGATTTTGCGGCTGTATCCCAAGATACCGCTCGAGGAAGTAGCCAAGATTTCTTCGCGCACTCTTGAAAAGAGGAGCAGGCGAGTTGGGAGAACTGGCAGGCTGGACCTCGTAACCAAGGTCCGCCTGGCTGTCGCAGCGCATGTGCGGCATTGTCACACGGACTACGACAAGATCGTCAGAGGGTGCAACATCAAGTGGACAGCAAGACAGTCTATACACGATGAGGCATCGCGAGTCCTAGCCTCGTGGGGAGGCCCTCCGCCTCCGCCTCCATCGGCGCGTTCCAAGGAGAAACGCGGCATTCGACAGGCCTCTGTGGATGCAAGTGAGCCGGCTGCTGCGCAAAGGAAACGCCATCAATCCCCAACAGCGCGACCCAAAGCGGGACGCCGCCTACGACAAGCCTCGGTGGACTTGGACGAGTTGGCTGCTTCTCGAAGGGAACGCAAGCGACTGGCCAGAAGGGTTCGAAAAGCAAGAAAAAGAGAGGTTCAAAGGGCTCAGATGGCCCAAGCCGGCGGGACCTTGTCCGGCCCATTGACGCGTGGCCGTGCGGCTGCGCTTCAGAGAGACAGGCCCGGCAGCGTCCCACACGAAGTCATCGAGATTATCGACTCCAGCGAGAATTCGGGCGAAGAGACTGCGGAACCGGATGCGCAGGAGGCATCTGGGGACGCACGTCACGACTCTGACTTGGAGGTGATTGTCATCGAAGACAGCGACGAGGACTAGACGGCCACGATGCATGCGCACATGGAAACGACTGGCGATGGCAATCTTTGTTTTGCTTTATTGGCTTCGGCAGCGGATTGCTTTCCGGCGTCTGGAGGTGGCAGGAGATTGGCGTCGAGACGGCGTCATCGTGGAATAACAATGGGGCTCTCGTTGTTTACCAGATGACCAACTGGGAATAGAGGCACTAGCACCAAAAATAAGCCGGCGCACGGGTTGCGAGCTTGCGGGCGACGAGCCGACCCTTGGATCCACCGCACTTGGAACGGCGGCTCGTGGAGGCTTCTTGCTCCTGCGCGCATGACGCCCGCTGTTTGCCAATATACAGCACGGGCCTTGGTCCCGAGCGTGCGCGAAGCTGCGGCGCGGGAGTAGGTACTGTAGAGGCGGTGGCGAGTTGTAGCCAGCGTCTTTCACAGCTGCCGGCACGGAGTACCCTCAAGTATTTGAGCTCCAGGGGCCCACAGTCCCCCGCCCCTGACAAGGGTTCAGCACACCAGGCCATTGAGCTCATTAACAAGATGAAAAAAGGAAAAGTTAGAAAGAAAGGAGAGGGAAAAGGAATATGAGCGTCTGCAGATAAGTTGTGCATCTGGGCATGCATGCATAGGTGCTCTATGTCCATCTACCTAGCTAGCCATGCGGGCGTGGAATCAACCCTCATTATCCGTTCCCATTCCCATTCCCATCCCATTCCTCCAGTTCTGGCCACAGAAGCAGTGCTCCCTTCCTTGGCATTGCATTGAGCCCCGAACCAAGTACCGACCTGCCGTCTGGTGCTTACCTACCTACAAAACAACAGCTCTACTGTATCCGTACTGCTGCCCCTGACCCGACTCGTCACTTTGCTCTCCGACCGCGAAGCTCTGCGAAGCCTCGGCTGCTGAAGCCGTCACGACCCGTAAGCCAATTGCAGAAGCCTGCGACAAGAAACTCGGGCAGCTTATAAGCCCGGCTCCAGGCAGTGCCCCAGATGGACGGCTCTCAGGAACGCCCCAGCGCCATCCCGCGCCTCTCACGGCTGCCGGTCCCGCGATCTGCCTCTGCCATCCCCAAGCCTGCCTCGACCATCCCGGGACCATCTGCGGTCCGTCGAGCACCCTCTGGCGAGAATATTGGTCGCGGCCCAGGCCTCAGCTGGGACCTGCAGCCGCCAAAGCTCCGTCATGCCTCGTCGCGCGGCCAGCTACGCCCCGGCTCCAACAAGGCCACGCCATCGCCATCGAGCACCGCGCAACCGACGTCGGCCAACAGGCAGCCCCGGGCACAGAAGCCCAAGGCGCCTCGTGCTGTGCCTCAATCCCAGCGACGCGCCCATACAATGGTAGACCACGCCGCCGCTCGACGCGCCAGCTCGTTTGTCGATGCGCAATTCGACGCGCCACACCGAGGCTCACAAGAGCTGGGCAGCCACGATGTCCTGGGCAATCTACCAGCAGCGGCCTCGGCCTATGCCACGCCCACGCCCGTCAAGTCGCGGCTGTCCCTTTCCGAGCGCACCATCGGGACCCTTGCGCAGATCCCGTCGTCGCCCGCAATGACCAAACGACCGTCCTCGTTCTTCGAACAAGCTCGACCGGCTTCCGGAGCCGAGAGCGGTAACTCGAGACCCAGCTCCAGCTACAACTCTGACGGCTCCGCCAGGAGTTCCTCGAGGCAAGATAGCAGGCCTGGGTCCAGCGCTGACAATGACGAACCTGCAGCCTTGAATCTGCGCGCCCCCTCCGCTCACGTCAAGCCCTCCGCCTCGGCCGTGAGCCGGTCTCCCTCGAGACCAACTGATTTCGCGCTCGCAAAGACTCCGCAGTCGTGCGCTGCCTCTCGTCGGGCCTCAATGGCACCTTCGTCCAAGCTTCCGGGCTCGTCTCTGATGGCCCGCCCTCATGCCAAAAGTCCCACCGCGGGTATGAAGTCCTATGAGCGATCCCCAGTCAAGTCGGAGGCAAAAACGGTTGCGGAGAAGTCAGGGGCCCCGAGAGCTCCAGTCAAGGGGCTGTTCCGGAAGCCTTCTCTGTCCGTCGTGGGCTCCTCTGCCGAGAAATCGAGCTCCTCGGGTCGTCTTTCGTCGGATCCTGACCAGGAGCCTGCCGCATCTTGGGGTGGGGTCATCCCGCCGATGGCTTCCGCCAGCACCGGGCCTGGGCCAGCGGAACCAGCCCATTCCCTGTCGAGCCGCAAATCTTCGGCGGCACTGCGACAACAGATTGCCAAAGCCAAGGCTGCCAAGCGAGCTGTAATCCGGCAAGCGTCGAATGATTCTGCGACCCTCTCGAATCCCGCTGCTCCGACTGTTCCATCAGACCACGGCTTTGATTTTGATGGAGGAATCGAGGACCCGTTTAACTTGCGACGAGGAGAGAATGCGAGCTCAAAGGTGCTCAAGCAGCGCGTGGCAACGGCAAGGACCTCGGGCCGGCTCAACATCGCTGCTCTCGGCCTCAAGGAGATCCCAACCGAGGTTATGAAGATGTACGACCTGGAGAGTATCGGAGCTCACGACGGCAGCTGGGCTGAGAGTGTGGACCTGACCAGACTCGTGGCGGCCGACAACGAGCTCGAAACCTTGGACGACGCTGCCTTCCCGGACGCGAGCCCCGATGCTGTTGACGGTGACGAGGACAGTCAGAGCAACGTGTTCGGGGGTCTAGAAACGCTCGATTTGCACGGCAACGTCCTCGTGGGCGTGCCTCTTGGATTCCGCCGCTTGGCCCACTTGACATCCCTCAACTTGGTGAGTCTCGTGGCCTGGACGAGAGACTCAGGCCGAGCTAACAGCCTCAGTCGTCGAATCGACTCGGGAATGATTGCGTCGACGTGATTTCCCACATGACGGCTCTCAAGGATCTCAAGCTCTCCAAGAACCGCCTCTCGGGCCCGTTGAACTCGGCACTCTCCAACTTGGAATTGTTGGAAATGCTGGATGTGCATGGCAATAGCATCACGGCTCTGCCACAGGGCGTTGAGAACTTGTCACGTCTACGCATTCTGAACTTGAGCGAAAACAGACTCGACACGCTCCCGTTCGATGGCCTTGCAAAGCTGCCCTTGATCGAACTTTTTTTGAGGAAAAACAGGCTGTCTGGGACTCTGATCCGAGAGCCAATCCATTCGCTTCCCCTGCTCCAGACACTCGATGCATCCTCCAACCAGCTGACACGTCTGACTCCTCTCGAGACTGCCTTCAGCCTCCCAGCCGTGCACACAGTGTCGCTGTCTATGAACCGGCTCCAGGAGCTGCCCGACATGTCAACGTGGACAAGCCTGGTCACGTTGACCGTCGATGAAAACAGCATTTCGAGCATCCCCAACAGTTTCACCAGCCTCGAGAAGCTGCGCCATGCCGACCTTTCCAGCAACGACATTCGCGCCGTGCCCCCGGAGATTGCCAGGATGGCGGGCTTGTCGATGCTGCGGCTGACGGGCAATCCCCTGCGCGACAAAAAATTCGCCTCGGCCACGACAGATGAGCTCAAGGAGATTCTGGCCGGAAGGCTAGAGCCGCCGCCGCCCTACCAGGAGCCCGGCGACATGCACACAATGACTGATCTCATGGGCTGCCTGGTCGAGATGGACAGCAAGATCAAAATGGGGAGAGCCACCATGGTGGTTGAAAACATCGATGGGGACAGCCGGTCCGATGCAGACGATAACTTTGCCACGCCACCGACTTCGGCGCCGCACTCGCCAGTTCGCTCCCCCTTATCGACGGCAGGCGACGAACCATCACGCTCGGAGACGCCGACGACCCAAGTCTGGCCGGTCAAGCCGGGGGGGCTGCTCGACAGGTCGAGGACTGCCTCATCAGCATTGAGTGATGCCATGTGCTCAGAGGTGGCGGCTCGGCATCAGGTGCGACAGGTACAGCTCCACCACAACCTTTTTACATGCATGCCGAGCTCGCTGGGCATCTTCAGTGCACTGGCCTCTCTCTCTATATCCCACAATCAACTGACCGGCGACTGCTTCCTGGCGGAGGAACTGACCTTGCCGGCGTTACGGGAGATTAACCTAGCGTCCAACCTCATTACTAACCTTGAACCTCTGATCAGGCTCCTCCACGCCCCAGCGTTGGACAAGATGGACGTGTCTATGAACCGGATCAGATCGATCCCGCGGGGGCTGAAGCAGGCTTTCCCGCAGCTTACGGTGCTGCTGGCGTCGAACAATCAGTTGACGGAGCTGGAGCCGGAGTCGATCAAGGGACTGAAGACTGTAGATGTGTCGAGCAACGACATTGCACAGTTGAACCCTCGCATTGGCCTGCTGGGCGGACAGGGGGGGTTGCAGAGATTGGAGGTTACGGGAAACCGGTTCAAGGTGCCGAGGTGGAACATACTGGAGCGCGGAACCGAGGCGACTCTACGGTGGCTCAGAGGAAGAGTGCCCGCAGACGAGATGGCGGCATGGCGGGAGGGGAATGACGATGAGAGCGGGGATGAGGTCGACTGAAGAAGGCGACTCCGTGAGAGACTGGTTGTTGAAGAGCGCAGCATGACAGGATGCCGTTGGTACAGTATGCGTACGAGACAGCCGTAGTGTATACATCAACAAGTCGACAAGCAGCCGATTGCTCTCGTGTGCAGCCTCGTGGCTCGCGTTAGCGAGACTCTCATCTAGGAGAGTCCAACTACCGACCCACGTCGGTCATTATCCTGACGGCAAGTATTACAGGTTTGCAAAAATGCACCAAGGTCCGTCAATGTAAATGGAGGAGAGAAATGTCGAAGCGCTGAATCATGGCTTCAGGTCTGCAATGCCGGAAGCGGCAGCATGGGTACCCCTGAGTGGCCTATTAGGTAAGGTGCTTCATCAGGCTTAGCCAGCCCCCCGAGTTTCCCTTGCCGAGCAACGGAAGGCATCGATGCGCGCGATGCCGCCGCCTCAAAGCTGCCTTTTTGTTATTCTCATCTTCATCTTGTACTTGTGCAATTCCTCCACTCTGCCTCATACTTCCTTCACCCTCTCCTCATCAAGCGGTTTCCACCCCGACTCGCTGCGCATCCCAGCGACAGCCTGTACCTCCAATAAGCTCTCTTATCGCACGCCTGCTTGCTGGCTACATGCACGGGCACGCAAGGTAGGGCCGCAGTTGGGCCTTTTCTCGTCGACCGCATTCCTTCACTCTACAACCAACAACGTCCGACGCCGAAACCTCCTCTCCTCCCGCCAGCGTCGAGTGACCCTTCCTCCACGCCATGGCCTCGGACGCAGAGTCCGCCGAGGCTCAGCAACCCCACCCGTCCCCGAGCCCCGTCGATGAGCCCACGACGCCTGACGACTCGGCGCCTCCTCCGCCTCTCTCCTTATCCCAAGTCACCCTCCCGTCCACCGAGATTCCCGCTTCGCCCATCGATGCCAGCCAGTCTTTCCAGACCGAGCCTCTCGACGACAGACCGCCCCCGGCTGCCGCGACCATCATACCCTCGTCGCTCACCCCACCCCCGTCGACTCAGGTCGCTGCTCATGATGCCTCCCGACGCTCCCTCTTCTCGCCCCCCGCCACCGTCCTCGCCCTCACCCGCCATCGCGGCGCCGACTCGGACCCCGGCTTCGTCCCCCCCACGCCCCAGCAGGTCCTCGACGCGCCCCCAGACGAGCTGCGAGCCATGCTGCAGACGTGTATCGCCGAGCACCAGAAGCTCAAGATGGAGGCGGCCCACCACAAGCTGCAGTATAATCTGCTGAGCATGCAGGCCGACGAAGACTCGAAGCGCGCCGTCGTTGAGCACGACATGGTCCGCAGGGAGGTCGACGCTCTCCGCCTTGCCGAGCACACCCGACAGGCCCGCCGCGAGCTCAGCACCTCGTCCGACTCGACCCAGGCCAAGTATCTCCAGATGAAGACGTGGTACCAAGAGGCCGTGCAGGAGACGGATGCCCTCCGTCGCCGCCTCAAGGCCGCGAAGAGGGTCATCCACCAGAAGGAGGAGGAGACCATCAGCCTGTCCGAGGAGAGGGACCTGCTCCTCACCCGCATCCGCGAGAACCGCGAACATTTTCACATGCTCTGCAGCCCTGGCGGCATCTTCCACGGTGCCCTGACTCCCAAGCCGCAGACCGCCTCGACCCCCCAGCAGCAGCGCCTTGTGCCCCAGCACCCGCCCAAGGCGCCTCGCCGGGACGAGCGCCATGTCCCGGAGCATGGCTTGTCCGCCTTGATCCAAGCCATGAGCGCCCAGGACAACAATAGTGCCCCTTCCACCCCCAGGCCGTCGCATCGAGTCGTCCAACGCAAAGTCGGCAAGCACAGCCGCAACGCTCAGTCCATGTCCTCACTGCCCACCACGCCGTTGAACCGCACCCACGACCCGAGCCTGCTGCCCTCGGTCGACCTGATGGCCCCCCATACGGAACCACACCACCGACTCGCGCATCCACATGTTGCGCCGACGACGCCCAAGCGCGACCGCCGGCGCAAGAGCCGCGAGAGCACCATCTCGGCAGAAGACAACGAGGAGCTGGCCAGACAGGCCATGGAATCGGCGGCGGCGGCGCAGTCGATTGCTTCCGAAGCCCTGCGGAGCTCGCAGCAGGCGAGACCTCGAGCCCGGGATCGCGATAGCTACGAGGATGATGGCGGCGACGAGGATGGCGGCGATGTCTTGGACAGCCAGGCCAGTCAGGCGGCCGCGGAGCTGCTTCGTCGGAATCCAGGCCAGCGCTACGACACAACGCGCTCGGCAGCCCCGCGAGATCGCACGCCCCGGCCCGCAGAGAAGTCGGCTAGGATGCAGGCCCGGCTGCTGTCCGACTCGGGCGAATACTCTCTGGACAAGCGCAAGTACGGCGGAGGGGGGTCCGGAAGGGACACCGGGAAACACGAGCAGGGTAGCCCTCCGAAGAAGATGCGGGTGGGCGGGCCGCTGACGGAGGATCAGCGGGTGGGTCTGGGCATCCAGTACGGCCAGTAAAGGAGTTCCGACCGTCGCGTCCATGATCAATCGACCCAGGTACGAGGCATCGATCAAGGCGGGGGAAGACGGGATCGGCAAGAGATGGGCGAGGAAGCGAGGACAATGAAGGCAGCGCTGCTTGGCATGGATGGTAACGAAGCTAATGTAATGTAATGTAATGTATGTATGCATGAGCGGGCCTGCTTGTTCAAAGGGAAAGTCGGCATCGATGTGCGATGATGGCGTGACGGGGATGGCTATTCTTCTGGTTCAAATACTGCAGCGCGTGGCCGGCATTGCTGGGGACGGAGGGAGACGAGGTGTCTATGCATATAGCGGAACAGAGGGCCAGCGGCTCAGCGCGAGGCGGTGCTTTGCAGAGGCAGTTGGAGGTATCTCTATCAAGGGAGAAATCAGAGCTCGCCCGGGCTCTGGCGAGTTGGGGAAATGTACGAATATTACATTCACTTGGCACAGGGAGCGCTGTAAGCTGGGGCGAGCACAACAGATGAACGCAGTCGTTTGACATAGAGAGCGACCCCTTATTCCCTTGCTTCATTCCAAGGCCTGATACATTATCCCGTGGAGAGTTGCTCAAGCAGATCAATGAGCGGAAGTAGAAGCTTTCGATCGATAGGCCACGCACAACAAGGGGGAAGGGGTCGAGCAAGTGAGCCAGAAGTTTCGGATCCATACACGAAAGCATTTTTGAGCCATGGATGGACCCGGCAGCTGCGGCAGTGTCTCCGTGGAGAAGACGGAGTCTTTGGGGCGGTTTCTGGCGACACGGTCACAAAGTTGGTTCTGCATCGTCACGTCTCGTGAGGAGGCAGAGCGAGGAGAACCGGGCGTAGAAGATAGTTACCGATACAAGTCTTACGTGAAGAATGAATGCCATGGGCGCACACTGCTCGCCGCGTGTCCAGGTCCTTTCCAAGTTAAGCCCATCAAGTGTCGACGGGTTTAGCGAGCAGCCAAGGGCGTGTTCTTGGGCTTGACGTTTTCCTGGAAAGAAGCCTTCATATTGCCTGCTCCTAGTGTTAGCATCATGTCCGCCCGTCGACGTCGAGTCCCTGGACTTACCTGGCGGCGAGTACCTGCACGTAACGTAAGCTGACCCGTCGATGGAGGGCTCTGTGTTCCTCGCGCAGCCCATCTCGGTGCTTGAGGCCCAGACCAGCTGCGTTAAGTGTCCCCATGCAGCCCCCACCGACTTGGCCTGTTCAAAATCCGCGTCGGTGGGCTCTCCGTAATTGACGGCGGTGCGATAGAGAGGCTCTTCGTTGTACCAGCTCTCGACGGAGTTGGCCAGGGCGTCACCCGACCAGCCCACAGTGACCTTGCCGTCTGTATCAGTGTATTGTTGGTAGCCGGACCAAAGGTTCTCGCCGTGATCTCCGCTGTGGACCAAAGCTCCCTTCCTCGCGCAGGAGTTGGCAATTTCCAAAGCACGGCGCGCCAGGTGCTCATTCCACCGCAACGGTTGAGAGCCGTGCTGTGCTCGCAGCTCGTTGGTCATGGCCAGGGCGGCTTCGGCCTCCTTGGGGACGACGGCGCCTGGAGAGTCGGTCTTCTCAGGCCACTCATTGTACTCTGGGTCCGAGAGGGGCCCGGGGCCTGGGGAGAACATTTCGTTCCCCGGGACCGAAGGGGTCTGGGGCGACTCCGGGGCCGAAAGGGTTGGAGGCGTCTCCGTCGCCGAAGGGGTCTGGGGCTCCTCATCGTACTCCGGGTCCGCATGGGGCCCGGGGTCTGCGGAGAGCACTATGCCCCCCAGGGCCGAAGGCTCCTCATCGTGTTCTGGGTCCGAAGGGGGCCCGGAGTCTAGGGAGAGGGTCGGGGGCGTCTCCGGGGCCGAAGGGGGCTCGGGGCCTTGGGAGGGCTCGGGGCCTTGGGAGGGCTCGGGGCCTTGGGAGGGCAATTCGTCATTGCCGCTACCGTTTGGCTCTACCGGCTCGCCGGAAGGCTCGTCAGTGGTGTTGTCCGGCAGGGGGGAAACGGGATCGCTCCCTGCTTCGCCGTTGCCTCCGCCAGACCCTTTCTCAACCTCCATGTCCTGGGGCTCCGGCTCGGGACGCTGAGGTCGAGCGCTCTGTGGCTGGGGGTTCTGTGGCCGAGGATTCTTGGAGCCACCTTGGCCGGTTGCTTTCTCCCATTTGCCGCCGGTCCTGGCGTCCTCATCCTTGCCCCAGAATGTCCCGTTCCAGTTGCCCATCGCGGAGTCCGGCCGGCCTTTCGTTGCCCTCGTGGATCTGCCACCGTGACCTTTCGGAGAGGCCCACTGCTCGCCGGTCCCGGCGACCTCGTCCTCGATCCATGAGGTCAACCCCCCGTTGCCCTTCGCGGAGTCGAGCGAGCTTTTCGTTGCCCACGCGGATCTATCATCGTGACCTTTCGGAGAGGCCCATTTCTTGCCGGTCCTGTCGTCCTCGTCCTCGTCCCAGGTGGTCCAATCCCCGTTGCCCTTTGCGGACTTCGGCCAGCCTTTCATTGCCCACGCCGATCCGTCAGCCTGACTTTTCGGAGAGGCCCATTTCTTGCCGGTCCTGGCGTCCGAGGCCTCGTCCCACTGGGTCCACAGCCTGTTGCCCTTCGCGGAGCCCGGCGAGTCTTTCGTTGCCCACGCAGAACCGTCGTCGTTACAGTTCGTAGAGGCCCGCTTGTCCAGAGGGAAGGCCGCGGTAATTGGTAGAGCCAAGGCAAGTAGAGTAGCTGAACGCATCTTTGCGTGGTGAAAAGAAAGTGGCTGAGTCAAGAACGAGTGGTGTTTAGATGGGAGAAAGAAAGGAGAGTGTGGACGCGAAGAGGAGCCGGGAAGCAAGGAATGGAATGTAGCACTCTGGCCGTAGTTAGTGTAGCAAGATGCCCTCAGGAAAGTGAAGCAAGCTGCCTTATAACCCCTTAAGGTATTGCTGCTGTCCACATGGCGCCCAGCGTGTAGATGAGGGCATGAAGTCTTGGGCAATCTTCGGCTCCTCATGGGATGGCTTCAAACATTCGCCCTCTACCCCTTGAAGATTTGGCTATACAATGCAGCCTCTGAATGTGCTCCGCTTTCATCTCGAGTTGCCAGGCACTGGGAGTTACCTGGCAGCAGCAGCAGGCCCAGGAGGCGTGGGAGCCCGGATGGGCAGACGGGACGAGCACGTGTGAATTCTGGGCTCCTCCTCAAGCGAGAGAGCGTCGTGCTTCCCTGGAGGAACAAAATGTCGCAGTGGGCTGCGTCCGTATCATGGGTCCGAGTGGCTGGTAGGTTGCGGGCTCCGTGGAGCGGGACTTGGTGCCTGTTCTCCGGCGGGAGAGTTGAGATGGCAGACCTTGTGGCTACAGGATGCCCAGTGGTAGAGTAGAGCTGCCGCCCTCCTGTTCGACCGGGCTCCACGCTGCATGGACGAACGTCATCTTGATTCGTAGGGAGGGCGTTGGCTCGGCCAGGATCCGACTGGCAACTTTGGATTAAGGACGCAACGAAACCCCGATAGATAAGGCACGTGGTGGATGGCATCTTTGGGCGATTCACTGACGCGTGGGCACTTTCTCTGCTGAACTGTCAAGCTGGCTGACACGTGGTTAACGAAACGACTTGCAAGCAACTTGATCCGTGAGTCGGCGCTCGAGCAACTATGCGGCATCCTCGAGGGGACAGATGGGCTACGTGCTGGAGACGAGAGGTTTCCGAGCACGGCCGAGGTTTCAATTGATTATTCCACCTCGAAATTAGATGAGGCAATCTTTTCCAATGCCCAAGGATGCCTGGCTTGACACGCCGAAGCTGACAAGCGGCGGCCGTTGGGAGATTAGATGAATAGAGGCGGGTGGGTGAAGGCATCAGAGGCGAGGTCGAAATTACAACCAGTTCGTCTCGAGAAAAAAAAAGATTAAGAGAAGACTCTTTGGCGTTTGTTTGGAACCGTTGATGCGAGAATCCCATCTCCACTTGCGCTCGTGTTTGTTTCGAGAATCAATCACGATTCATGCAGGCGCCCCCAGTTGCGCGTGAACTTGTCTGCGGATGATGGTCGAGTCTCTTGCACCCAGGTCCCAGGTGCCGTTCTCGGTCTGACAAGTGGCTGCTTGGTGCCGGTTATGTGCATCGCCAGCGTGGTCTTATCGCAGGACTGGAGCCACTCGGCGGCGCCCCGAGGGGGACGTCAAATGATGGGAGCCGGGTGGTTCCTGGGTGGGCAGGGGGGGGTCCTATACAGCTCGAGGCATGGCATCATGGTCTTCGGCCTCTGCCCGGCCCCTCCGGTGGAGAGAACAAGGATCGGCTCGGTCAGGGGGTTCTTGGACGATTCGGGCCCATCTCTGTCTCACCTTGGCAAGACGAAAGGACAAAGGGGCGAGGAACCACTCGCTCCTGTTGCTCCAGCTGCTGATGTGAAGTCTTGCCGTGAATGTCCTCGTGTACCAAGGAAAGGGAAAAAGAGCCGTCTGTACCGCCGTGTCGGCCCGGTAAATGACTAGTAGACCGATGGCTTAAACCTGTTCCCGCAACCGTGGCCACAAAACCCCGGATTTCCAGGACCATCGTCGTCAGCACGGTAGGACACCGGCTCCAGCCCATTGGCCGAGGGGCGCAAACAGTGGATGTATGGCTCGCATCAACCCAGTCGGGCCATCCCGCGGCCTGCGCCGGCCCCTGGGTATATGTATAATTATAGCAGCCCCCGTCGTCCGCAACGAGGAAATTCAGCCGAGGTGGCATTCTGGGGGCGAGACGACCTGGTGACGGCCAATCTCGTGGCCTACTGGGAGGTTACCTCATGAGTTATTGCAACATGGAATGTCTCTGGGTAATTACCGCACCCAAGGTCTCCGAGTGGCCTTTGAGAAACGGTGGCTGCGACGGACCCACCGGCTCGGGTCGGCGGGCGCGGTCTCGGTGGGGACCGGCAAAGCGCGGGGAAGCGGCCCGGGGACATCCGACGCGCTCTCCCTCGCCTTCTCCGCACTCACACATTTCCCTCTGCTGGAGCCCTTGAAGGAAGCACAGAGACCCAAAGAAAGCCATTGCCGGCCGCCACCACCGACACCGAGCCAGAACCATGAGCGCCCTCGCCGTGCCCAAGGGCGTCGCCGCCGTCCTGGCCCGCGCGCCGTCCGACGTCGTCCTGCTCTCGTCGCTGCGCACCCCCATCTGCCGCGCCTACAAGGGCCGGCTCAAGGACGCGTACCCGGAGGAGCTGCTGGCCGCCGTGCTCGACGCCACGCGCCGCCGGCTGCCCGCCGAGGCCGTCGCCGCCGTCGACGACGTCGCTGTCGGCGTCGTCCTCTCCGAGCTGGGCGGCTCCAAGGCCGCCCGCATGGCCCTCGCCCACGTCGGCTTCGAGCCCGCCCACACCTGCCTGTACACGGTCAACCGCGCGTGCGCCTCGTCGCTGCAGGCCGTCGCCGACGTCGCCGCCCGCCTCCGCACCGGCGCCGTCCGCGTCGCCATCGCCGCCGGCATGGAGAGCATGACGCGCAACTACGGCTCGCGCGCCGTCCCCGTCCACCTGTGGCCCGCGCTGCGCGACTCCCCCGTCCAGGAGGCGAGGGACTGCGTCATGCCCATGGGCCTGACGTCGGAGCGCGTCGCTGCCCGCTACGGCGTCTCGCGCGCCGACCAGGATGCCTTTGCCGCCGCCTCGCATCGCCGCGCCGCCGCTGCCCGGGACGCCGGCCGCTTCGACGCCGAGACGGTGCCGGTGACGACGCGCTTCCGCGAGGGCGAGGGCGAGGAGCGCATCGTCACCGTCCGCCGCGACGACGGCATCCGCGACGCCGTCTCCGTCGACGCCCTGGCCCGCCTCAAGCCCGCCTTTGCCCCGGACGGCGCCTCGACCGCCGGCAACTCGAGCCAGGTCTCGGACGGCGCGGCCGCCACGCTGCTCACGCGCCGCAGCACCGCCGCCTCGCTCGGGCTCGAGGCCCGCATCCTCGGCCGCTTCGTCTCGGCCGTCGTCGCCGGCTGCGCCCCGGCCGAGATGGGCGTCGGCCCGGCCGTCGCCATCCCGCGCCTGCTCGCGCGCCACGGCCTCGCCGCCGACGACATCCACCGCTGGGAGATCAACGAGGCCTTTGCCAGCCAGACCCTCTACTGCCTGCGCGCCCTGGGGCTCGAGCGCGCATGGGAGCGCGGCCGCGTCAACCCGGACGGCGGCGCCATCGCCCTCGGCCATCCGCTGGGGGCCACGGGCGCACGCGTCACCAGCACCCTTGTCCACGGCTTACGGCACCATGACGGGGGCGAGCTCGGCGTCGTGAGCATGTGCGTGGGGACGGGCATGGGCATGGCCGCCCTGTTTGTGCGGGAGTGAGGCGGCCAGGAACCCGCTGCGTGGCTGCCGGGGTCATTACCCCATGAGCCGTCTCAGTCAGGCTGCGAGCACTCAGGAACAGCCGTCTTACGCCCTTCTACGCCGCCCTTGCCGAGGCCGGCTCGGCGACCTCGGCCCAGTCCTTGAAGCAAGCACGCCAGCTCGCGAGCTGGATATCCGTACACACACGGGCTCTCTGCCCCAAGGCACACGAGCTGTCGCTTTTGCAAGCTGCTCATTTTTGCCACCGAGCCTCCCTCCCTTCCATACGAACTGCAGGCGTTCCGATTCGCGGCGGAGGATTCAACCCAACCTCCCGAGGTGTGCCAGCAACTGCGCCTGATACGTCCAGGCAGCGAGTGCAAGACGGTCACGTCTTGTCGCACTGGCCTCTTTTCGAGAGCTCACATCTATTGCGGGGGGGCTGGAAATCAAGATGGCTTACATCACGAGACGGTTGCATACGTGTAACGAGCATCCCGGAGACTGCTTCCGCAAGGCTCCTCCGAGTGTAATGTCACCTTTTGCGGAGAAAGTCATCGTGTGTCACCAAAGTAGGCAAGGCAATTTTGGTATAGGTTGCATATAGCATATGTCCATTGGCAAGGCTCGCACGGTACCATATATAGTGAATAGGAATCGTGCCACCACAACCAGTGTGGCCCGTATATACTTGTTTCATGCCAGGATCTGGGGCCCTCTGGTAGGCAAGCCAGAAACAAAAGTCGAAATGAGAGGTCTCACCATGTCCTCCTCGGCCAAGTCATCAGGAAAATAAAGAAACAGGCCACCTTCAGCCGTCCCTCGCAAAAATAAAGTGACAGAAGAAGGAAACTGACAAGATCCTGCCGCGGCTTGCTCATTCATACTTGTAGCAAAAGGGTCCGTCAATCGGAGACATGGCATCCCCAACCGGGACATGGCCGCCTGCGTAGCCCATGTCCATCAACGTCTCAGTCGTGACATTGGGGCTCGGGGGCACTGCGGACGTCAATGTCAGTCGAGCCCTCCGCTTGGTGCGACATGTGCTGCGACTCTCCTGGTGGTGGCAGAAGGGGGGTGGAGGGGGGGGGCCACGGGAGGGGAAAAAGAAAAGAAAGACTCACGGTTCCGAAACGTAGCGGTTCCATCCAGCCCATCCCTCCTCCCCGCCCAGTCCTGGCCCTGCCAGATGGTCCAGAGCCGGTCGATCTGGGCGTGTAGCAGGAAAAAGGCCGGTTCGCCGGGCGACGAGAAGAAGTCGACGGCCTCTCCGCCAATGGCCCCGTGCGCCGAGATGTGGACGCCGTTGTCGTCCGACTCCATGAGCGGACGGAACTGATGGATGTTCTCCGTCTGCAGCAGTCTCGTCACGTTGGCCCAGTTGAGCCCCAGGATGCTGGCCGGCGGGTAGAAGCTGCGGGTGAGGCAGCGCGGGTTGTACTCGAGGCCCAGCGGGTCGCTGACCGGGTTCACCGGCGGTAAGGACACGACGGGGCCGAGGGAGATGTTGAAGTGGGCAAAGGGCCCCGTCTTGACGCAGCCGCCCCCCGTGCCGCCAAAGACGGTGAAGTTGACCTCGACGGGCAGCGCCGGCATGTCCAGAACCCTCGTCTGGTCTCCAATGGCCTCTCCGTCGCCCCCGAGGCTGCCCGGGGAGCCGTCAAAGACGGGAGAGGCAAGCTGGTTGTCGGACCAGCGTGAAAAGTCCCTGGAGCAGAGTGATTGGACGCGTTTCCCCGAGTGTCAGCGGCTGAGCAGTAGCAAACCCAACGGCGGCGGGCCTCGAGCAGACGACAGAAGCTGAACCAACGCCACATGCACACTTACCAGTACGGCTGATAACCCTGGTAGTGGCACTCCTCGCGGAGGCTCTTTTCGTATGCCCAGACAAAGTACCTGTGCCAGGGCAGAAAATATCCCTTTTTGGGTTGGGCAAGGTTAGGCCACGACGGCGGTGAAACCAACGACGAGCGGGTGTATAGGGAGAGCGCGTACCGATGAATGGATCAGCGTCGCAACCTTGATGTGCGAAGAGGTAAAGTCGTCCATGCGGTTGCGGTTGCCCGGCGCCACTCGCGGGTCCGCCGTCGACCGTTTGTTGTGAAGGCATTTCACAGCTCGAATATAGTCACGGCGCTCGTGCATTGCCAGATGATGCCTTGGACGAAGAAGCCCGCACAGTCAGTCGTGGTGCTCGAAAGGGGGGGGGGGGATATACAAGCAGGTGTCGGGATCAAGCAATACCAGGGGCGACGGATGCCCATGTTCCTCTGCGTACACGCGCCTTGCGCGTACGCCCCCGTGAGCTCGTCCGACGAGGCAGAGTAGCGGGCCTCGAGCTCTCGAAAGGCCGCCGGCGGCTCAATGCCTTGACCGCCGTAGCCGGGGGGGGCATGGGCGAGGCAGAGGGAGACAAGGGGGAGCACAAGCGAGAACCACGGGCTCAACATGGCAAAGGTGCGAGCGTGTCGACGCCGACGGGCAAGGCACGCTGGGAGAGTGATATCGACACGGGCTCCTCTCGAGCCAGCTAGTTCCCAAGGGTTGATCGAGGGTCGAGGGTCGAGAGTCGAGGGGAGCCGAGGAGGGAGCTCGAGACGAGCTTTTGAAGACAGGCTTCGCCGCGAGACTACATGGGCAATTTGACCAAGTGGCCAGTTTTGTCTTTCAGCCCGTGGCCTCATGACTTGCCTCGCCCGATGCGTCCGTCACGGCGGACGGCGCGCCGCGCCTGCGCGCCGCATGGATGTATGTAAGAGCCAGGGATCGCCATTCGAGACGGGCTCCGGCGCGAAGCGGTGACACGAGGAGAAGCCTTCGGGCCCAACGCAGCTCCCTCCATGTCTTTGTGCGAACCAAGAAAAGAACGCCCCGTTGCTTGCCGGGCCCTCTCCCAACGACGGCGGCCAGGGGGAGGGGGGGGCCGCTTGAGTGGTCCATCATCAGCCGGGCGCACGGCGCTCCGGCCCCCAAGTCTAAGACACGCGACGTCCACTAGAGGAGCATCATGAGGCCCAGGGCTGACGGTGCCTTTTGCCGCTGTCTCAAGCTGGCACGACCCTGTACGAGTACCTTGCAAGTTGCCATTGTAGGGGGAGAGAGAGAGAGAGAGAGAGAGACAGAAGCAGAGGGAGACTCTGGAGAGAGAGAGAGAGAGAGAGCGTCAGCAACCGAGCACTACCTTTGTAAGCGGAATTCAACAACAGTTCGGTACAATTGGCATCCAACTCAACTTACACCATGTACAAGGTTGGGCAATGCACCCTCTTTCTTTTTCCTCGGAGCCAATGCCCACCTCGTCGTGGCACCGACTTGGTGCGACCACGGCCCACGCGTGACGACTCTTTTGCACTCCCGTACGCCCCATCAACATTGGCAGATAACTCGGTGCTAAAAATGTCGGACGTACAAAGAGCCCCCAACGTATGGGCCAGGAACTCAGACATGCAATCCAATACTGCGGCTGCTTCGTATCGTGCCCTTACATTAACTGAGGCGGCTGCAACAGGCCCAAAGCTGGATTCTTTACATCAAACTCTCACCTTGCAGAGACGAGCTGTATACGAGAAAGTCGGACTCTTGTCATCGCCTGCCCCCTTTCCTTTTCCCGCGTACGCTCCGGACCGTCTGGGCAGAGCCAAAGGGACCAATTCGGCGCAAAGCTGACCGTCAGGGGGGAACAAACGAGCCAAACCGGCGCAAAGCTGAACAGCGTCGACATTAGTGGCACCTTGGTGCGGTCATGGAGATCGGACGTCGTCGGACAGCTCGCAGATGCCGAGTCCCGTCGACGACAACGCGGGACACACACACACACGCACACACACACACACACACACACATACAAAAAAAAGGTACTGTATTAATACAGTATGTGCCAACTCGGGCATGGCGGCGATCCTTGATTGGACCGTCTCCGGCCGCGGACGGGCTTTGCGCTTCCCGGCCGTGTGCCGGTGGGGCCCCGGCCTTCTCTTGACCTTGTTCTTGTCTCGGACAGCGTCGCCCCGCCGAGTGCCTGATCGCGGGGACCCAAAGCGATTTGGGAAGCTTGGCTGCCGCATGGCGGCGCCTTGATCCAACCGACACCCAGGGGAGTTGCTTGGCGATGTGCACGGAAAAGGGGGGCGAGACGACCTTCGTCGGATATATCAGGTTTGTGCTACCGTCGCCGCAGATGGTCATCTCCACCACTGACCCCAAGCAAAAGAGGAAACCAAGTGGACGACCAACAATCAGCCGTCGTTCAGGGGTCCGTCCACCATCTTCCGGTCTTCGCTCGCCTCAGCCACCCTCTTCCTCTTTGCTCTCTGGGTCCTTGCCTCAGCCGCCCTCAGCCTCTGTCTCTCCCCCCTGCGCCGTGTCCCGGGCCGGCCCTTGCCCGGTTCACGCGCCCCTGGGGGCTGTGCGCACTCCAGCCGCGCCGGCTTCCACGAACGGCCCATCAGCCTTCGCCAATAAACAGCATGATGCTGTTGTTCACTCTTCCCTGTCCGATGGCGCCGACGAAGGTGCCCCGTCTTGGGGCCCAGGCAGCGGCTTCGACGAGGCTGACTTCTACCACAGCTGGGGCGACGTCCAGCAGGAAACCCTGCTCAGCATGCGCGACGAGAAGCAGTATTCGCAGCTGTACTCGATGACGGCCGTCGTCGGGCACGAGGACGCCGTCGACAAGATGGACGTCGTCTTCGCAACTTTGGCCGCTCCGAGCAGCCGGTCCAGCTGGCCGAGTTCTGCCACTTGTATGCCTTTGACGTCATGGGCCAGATAACGGTATACCAGGCAATGCTTTGGTGTTTTTGGCACCAGACGGACTGATCTCTACAGTTGGACGCGGCACTTGGCATGATGGAGAGCAACATGGACAAGACGCGCATCCTAATGATAGTCAGCCAGTTCACAACCTACGCCGTTCAGATGGGCTTGGTGCCAGAGCTGCACGCCCCGTCTTTTCCCTTGTCACTGTCTTGGGATCGTCGACAGCCCGCGTCCTGACCGACCTTGCCAACATGGCGATCGACGATTGATCGAGGCCCGTCCAGGTTCGAAAACGGTAGGCCCAGAGACGTTCTTGGCCGAGCTCGTCGCCCTCAAGGAAAAGGGAAGGTCAGTCGTGTTGGATTCGATAGCAGTGTCCGACACGACGGGCGTGACGCTCAGTGCCGCCTTTTACTGTCTTGGCACAACCCGGACAAGCTTTGCAGCTCCGGGACGATATGGACGCCATGGCTGGCGACGGCGGCGCCCCGCGGCACGTTTCCCGAGGCGCAGACCATGCCGCACTTACAGGCGGTGATCAAGGAGGCGCTGTGGATGCACCCTGCCGTCGGCGCCATTTTGCCCGGGACCGTGCCCAAGGGCGTCGCAGAGCTGGGAGGGTATTTTTGCCCTGCCAATGTAACGTGTACTCGTACTGGCGTGACAAAGTGCCTCAGACTGTGGTTGGCTGCTCGGCCTGGACTCTTGACTACAACTCAGAGTTCATGCCGGAGCGTTGGCTTCGTCAAGTCTCGTCAAAGAGCCGCCAGATTGCAAGCTTTGCCGCAAGTCCCGGCAGCTCGACTGACAATGGCATGCAGGCTGACTGGATGGTGTGAAGTTTGGAGCTGGTTCCCGCGAGGGCCTCGGCAAGCACATTGATCTGCCGAGGGTTTCCACGGTAATCCCACAGGTGGCTCGGAACCTCGACCTGGATATCTGCGAGGCCTCGGGGTCGACGATGCCGACAAGGTGGCCTCGGTACACCTGTCGGGTCGAGGAGCGGCGAATGGGAAGGGAAGGGCTGGACACGTAGAGGCTTGACGGACCCCGGGCGTCCGGGATCGAGGAAGAATAAGGCGTGTAGTCGGGGACGTGGATCACCCGATGCTGTTCCAGTGCGGCTGCCGGGACGTGTCGACGATATAGTAGACGGCGAGGCATCGTGAGGGCGTCGTCAAGATGACGGCGCCGTGCTGCGTGGCTGGGCGGTCAGCAGAGGTGGCCCAGGGAGCAGAGCCAGCCTCTGTCGTCGTCGAAGCGTCATGCATGCTACTCTGGCGGTCGAGAAGGAGGCCATGTTGGCGACGCCATTGGGTGAGTGGGCGAGGGTGAGTGGCGAAAGGAAAAGGGAAGTCTGGGCGGCACAGCACGTGATGGTGTGGTGCCTTTTATACGTTGCAGTAATTACATGCATGCCACTGTAAGTCTTGGCTGCAGCGTGAGACGAACTGCAAAAGACGAGTACGTACATACATACATGCAGTTAGGTAGTACCTAAGGTACCTACCTGCCTTACTACTGTATGTATGAATAATATCTACCTACCTACCTTAAAATATTACATGTCCTGGCTGTATGTACAGTATGTACCTATGTAGTCATTACCGTGCATGTGCAATGCAGCAATCGATAGAGTTGAATATCAAGATGCATCCACGGGCATCCGACTCCATGTGTGACGAGATGGTGAAGAAGTCTAGACACATGACTACGCCATCTCAGGGATGGCGTCGTAATGGGAGCAAGAAACGGAAAGAAAAGAAAACACGATGCAGAATGCACAATGCACAATGTCCCACGTCGACGACCGTTCCATCAAAGCCATCTATTTCCATACCAATAGGTACATGCATACATACATACATGCATACATGCATACATACATACATACATACATACATACATACATACATACATACATACATACATACATACATACATACATACATACATACATACATACATGTACTGTACGGATACACTGCGCATGCACATGCAGTTGGACGAGACGTCCAAAGAGAATGGGCAGACTCGCATGGCGAGACGAGGGGGGAGCCAATGCGCCCTCCGCTACCGGACGTGCAACCAACCACCCAATTCGACAGTGACGGCATAGCGCTTCTTTCTTCATTATTTTGCTCGGTACTTGTAAGCGCAAATTGTAGTTTTCAGTCGGTGCTGTTGTTGGGTGAGTGAAGCAAACCTCCCTCCCTACGTCAAAACGAGGGACTGCCCGACCGGAGACGAAAGATGATTTATTATATATATATATATATATATATATATATATAAACAAACGGTCCGTAGTGTAGGTAGTAGGTAATATACCAAAAGCAACGCCCGATGAAATATCGAGCTCGAGTGCTGATGGGCACCGCCGTCTTCCGAGTCTTTTTCGTCCCCGGCGGCGCTACCGGGCGGAGTCTTCCGATATGAGACGTCAAGAGACAGACAGACAGACACAAGCATCATAAGCCAAAATGCAGTCTAGAATCAGCTCCGTTTTTGCATTTGTTTTCCCCATGATTAAACGCATCTGGATTGGTTTAGTCCGTTATCTCGTCGACTCCAGGTCCGTCACCTCGTGCTAATGCAGCTCCCCCCCCCCTCCACCCATCTTGTCCGAATCCCGGGGGGCTAGTCGAGATCTACGCCCCCTTTTTCGTTTTGCCTTGGCTTAGCTCTGCTGCGAGATTGTCAGGAAAGGAAAAAACAAGGGGCAGCCAACCAGCGAGCCGTGACAGAGGGAAATGCGTCATGGCTTTGGCTCTGGACATTGCGGATATATTTCCCCTCATATTCCTAAACCTTCGCCGTGCGCTCTCGCACACCGTATCCCACCTGCCCAAGAAGCCAAGAAGCCAAGAAGCCATGCCATCCTAGCACCATGCCGTCATGGCAGAAATGCATTCACAATTCACATCTGGTGATAACGCACCCCCTCCTCCCTCCTCCACCACCCCTTCACTGGTCGGTCCCTTCTTGCGTCTGGCCCTCCCTTAGCCTCGACCCGAGTCTTGATGCTTAGTCGCGACCATTACCTGACGACAACCCAGCCCCCGCTTATCCGGCTCCATTGTCCACCTTCTTTCTGCTCTCTCTGCTCTCCGTCCAGCCTCCATCCAGCCATCCATCCATCCATCCATCCATCCACCCATCAATCCATCAATCCATCCATCCATCCCCATGCACGTCTACCAATACTCCTCCAATAAAATCGTCCAGACCCAAGAGACCCCACCCCTGTTCAACATCCCACGCTCCTTGACACGCTCTCTCTCTCCCCTCTCCATCTCGGTCCACCAACACGCCACCTTTCTCACTACCTTTTCTTTTTGCTTTGGGAAAGTCGCAAGCTTATAAACCTAGCTTGCTCCCCCTTCAACCTCTTCTCTTCTCTCCTCTGCTCTCCTCTCCTCTCCTCTTCTTCCTCCTCCTCTCTCCTTCATCCTCCTCCTGCTCCTCTCTCCTTCGCATCACTGTACAATCAGTCAAGCTCCTCATAACGAACCTCCTCTCCGCGTTACATCACTGTACTTCAGACAAACTATTCATACTCACACAGGCCTCGTCTCCAACCTCGCCATCAGCCGACTCTAGAAACCATCGGCGAGACAGCCATCCAAGCCAGCCAGCCTTCTTCTTCTCCACCTTCGCCATGCCCGCCTACGAATACTGCTGCAAGTGCGGAGGCATGATTGTCATCAGCACCACCTGCACCGGCTGCGGCCACAAGCAGTGCAACAAATGCCCCCTGTGCTAAACAGGCGTGCCTATCTCGACGACAAGACACCCCGTCCGCAATACCTCCCCTCGCCAGCCATAGCGACAATCCACCTCATGTTTTCAGAGCCGCTTTGCTGCTACATCGGAAACTGCCGCGATACCCCCGTTGTATTTCTTTCCGGCCCTCGTATCTGATGCCTCACTCTTCGGCTACACTTTCTGCCGTCTCCTGATCCTCTCTTCTCTCCGTTTGGCTTATGCACGGAGTTGTTGGGCGCGATGCGTGGGACGAAATCATGGCTTCACGATGGATGCCCACCTTATTTTTGTTTTCTACCCTTTCTTTTTTCTCTCGGGGCCGTCTTTCTATTTTAGCTTGGGGGGCCCGATTTTTGGCGCACCGGAAAATCACTTCTGCAGTTCAGTTCATTTCTTTCATGCACTGGTCTCGCCTGGATCTGATCTTCGTCAAGGGGCCAAGGGGGGTTTGCCAGAAGTTCAGCTCAGTTCAGTATCAACTGCACAATGTAAAAGACGTAATAGCTCACATCCCATCCGCTCACCTCGTCTTGACCTCGAGTGTCCCGTTTTGATCTCGTCAGCCCCTCCGCCTCACCGTCTACGTCTTCGGCCGCCCTCACCAGCCGGGCGGCATACCTACATCATACATGCTCTCGTCTCTCTTACAGTCACACGGCGTCGCGCAGCCCACTCGGACAAACTTCACGTACCACGCCCGACCAAGTTGTCAGAACTTTTTACTGCTTCCTAGTCAGGTCTTGCGCTGTGCTACTGATACATGCCATCATTTCACCTCGCTGGCCTGCCAATCCCCTCTTCCCTACTAGCCTGCCCCTTGCTACCGCACGCTTTCTCCTTGACGGGAGCCTCGCTCAATTTCGCTCCAGCAAATGCCGACGCCACCGTCATGGATCAAAGTCCAGCCCCGATCGTTATGTGCGCGTCCGCCGAGTTCCCCCTTCTACACCGACGCAATTATCTTGACGTGATCAAGTCTCGCGGGAAAAAACACATGAAAGCAAATGAGTGCGCAGGGTCAGAGCAAATCCCTGAAAAAAAAACAGATAGCCAGCTTGATGGCAAGTGCAAACCGTAATGCCTCGACTTGTCGTTTGATGTGAATGGATGGCCGTCTTTTTGATGATTACAAATTCCAACCTGTGTGCAACCTGATGATGCCTTTATACGCGGGCGGGTATTATCGTCGTTCGTGTCGTCGAGCTTCTCCCTGCCCACCCAGATACAGGCAAGAAGTGTGTCGTAAGGAGAGATGGACAAGGCCAAGTGACTTGCTTGTTTCCGTCTTGTTCAAATCATTCCGCCCGGCAGGCCGCCGCGCGACATCTTGACCTGCGGTGCAGGCACCCGCAAACCCCGCGGAGGGCTGCGTCGTCCTCTGCCGTCGGTCTCCATCGCCACCCTGCGTACTCCCTGCGGGTAGTTGCCGGTAAGACCTTCATCATCCGACGTCGTGGTAGAACCGTAGACATCATCTGCCCCGCCGCGCGGCACATGAAATCCTCCGAGATGTGACCCCTGCTCGTAAGGTCGCGCGAACGCGCCATGCCCATTCTTGCGACGGGGGTTGATCGGGGGTAGGGGCGGCGCTGCGGCCGCCGCGGCATGCAAGTTCGGGGTGGAGGCGGCCGCGCCCAGCAAGCTGCCGTTCCTGGAACGACCGTACGGCTGCGCCTCGTGCTGTGTGCTGGGCCTCTGGGGTATAGGCGATCCAGACTTATCCAGCATGTCTCGCGTCCGGCCAACCCTTCTGCCCGATGCGTCAATGGCGCCTGTGCTATGACTGGGGCTCATGCCTGTTGGGAAGGCCGCCGTCATAGATCGAGGGGGGGATCGGGTGGCGTCGGTGCCCGAGAAGCCAGCCGCCCCCATTTTCGGACTTGGCCGACTGAAACCCCCTGGACCGGGTTGGCCAAGCTGTTCCTCATACGTTGCCGAGCCATTGCGAAGCCTGGCCCCGCGGCTGTAGCCGGGGCCTCCCGTGCTCGTCTCTGAGCCGCTCCTGTCTCTCGGCTCTGACGCTGCGCGAGAGCCTGCGCTCGAGCGGCTGCTGTGTCTAGAATCGTCCCGAGGCCTCCGATTGAACAAGGCAAGAGGCGGGCCGCCCTCATGTGGTATTCCGTGCTGGTAAGGTGCTCCCGTTGGCTTCGGTACCGCCTGGTGCCTTTGTTGCGTTTCCAACTCCTTCATCTTCTGCATATCCCGGCGTGCCTGGCGGAAGGCTTTCAAACCGGCCTGGCTGTTTTCGTCTTTGCCGCTGGACGGCGATCCCTTGCTTCCGGATAGCTCCTCGTCGCCATCTCGAGAGACCATGGGGTCCTCCCCGGTGTTGGCCGGCGCGTTGTAGAGCGGCGCCAGCGGGACAGGGTTCGAGGGCACGCTGACCGGTACCTTGGAGGGTTTGACGCGGCCTTGTTCTTGGACGTCGCGGTCTGCTAGGGAGCTTTTGCTGGACTTGGACCGTAAGATCCCCAGGCCATTTGCTCGGAGCGCGTTGAACTCCCTAGTGGGCTCGGGAAGAGGGGTGGTGGTGCTTGAGCGCTCACTGTCCGACTCTACATACGTTGTGAGTCTCTCGCGCACTCGCCGCGCACCATCAGCCAGATGGCGGGCGAATTCGTCTTGGTCTCGGGGCTTCATTTCGCCAAGAGGCAAGATGGCGTGGTGGGGCATGTTGGCTCTGGCCGAAATCGAGTTTGCCTCTGAATTCCCGGAAACCATGGGCGAATTCGACGATCGGAGTCCGACATCCTGGTCGGTGATTCCGGAAATCGACGAGGCCGCGCTGTCATGCCTCAAGTGATGACGCACCATGCCGCTCAAGCCCGACGTAGGCCCCAGAGTCGGCGAGTCATGCGAGAGGTCGAGTCTAGGGTCCGGGCTGAGCTCGCCGGGCTTGCCCGCGAAAGAGGCAAACTCGTCCGACATCTTAGAGGAGCAGAGTGAGAGGGGAGTTGGCAGCGCTGATTTCCGGAACGCGGGATGATCCTGGTCGTCGGGACGCTCGATGGTGAGCTGCGGTGTGATGGAGGGCAGGCTAGACCGGTTGTCCGTGGAAGCGTCATCACTGTCATCGAAGAAGGTCGGGTGGGTGCGGTCCTTGTGGGTAGACGACTCAGGCGCCGTCGCCGAAGACACGGTCCTGTCCACGGGCGCTCGTCGAAATGAAGATGATCGAGAGCCGCGTGCCTCGGAGCCGGGGTTGGGCTCCGAAGAAGCCTGGCCGATGGGCGTCTCACGGCCCTGTTGGAGCTGACGCTGCCGTTGAGCGTATTTTGATTCGTCGTATTGTTGAGGTCGCTGAAACACTCCCATGGCCGTGGCTTTGCCTCGATCATTCGGCTGGATGGGCAGCGAGGGATAATCCTCCGTCTCGCTGATGGGGGGGCTGAGAGGGGGGTTCCCGACAAAGGCGGCCTTCTGCTCTGGCCTGGGGAATTTGCTGTTCATCTCGGGGGGGCTCATCATTTGCGCAGGGCCGGCCATAGACGGACTAAACGATCGAAGGTTAGGGGCACTAGCCTTGCCGACAATCGGTCGCCGCTCCATGACACGGTCGCCGAAGCCTGCCCCGGTCGGAGAAGGCGCAGGCGGGGTGAGGTCAGGGGTTCGAGAGCCAAACGGTCGCTGTCTTGACAATGTGTCCATCCGCGATAGAGCCGACGACTGCTGGTCCTGAAGATCCTGCGTGAGCCCCTGTTCATACAGCCTCCGAGTGCGCGTGACACTTCGATCCAGGGCGGAAGCCTGGCTTGCCGAGGTCGCGAGTGCGCCGCTGGGTTGCCGGTCTTTGATAGAAGCTGGCTGAGAAGACGTGACCGAGGTGGCGGCCGTCGAATCTCGCGCTGCAGAGGGAGCAGACGAGGTCGTCGAGCTGGTCTCCCGTCGGCGGTCGTAGTCTGTCTGGGCTTCGGATTCGGCCGCGTCTTGAATCCGCTCCTCCTCGAAGGACTGCCGGTCCCTCTCGGCTTGCCTCCATCTCTGGAAAGCAGACTGGGCCACGTCATCATCATAGAGTGCCCTGCCGCCCATGCCGCCGCCTCTGGAGCTACCTCCAACGGGGATCTTGTAGATCTTCTGCCGTCCACCGAAGAGAACGTTGCCCTCAATGGGCTTGGCGCGGTTCATGACGCTACCCGTCGTCGAGGCGGCATCATCGCTCGAGACAAATGATTCAACACGGGCGAACTGGCGAGTCTTGACCGACTCGATTTCGGCAATGTCGTGCAGGCCGCCGGCACCCGAGCCAAATTCCATGAGTCGAGACTGCCTCTTTGTAAAGAGCACGCTATCGTCGCTAGCCTTGCCGAGTTTTGATTTGGGATCATCCTGCTCTCGGAGCATGGAGAAGCGGGCCGAAAGGCCTGTCATGAGAAGACTGGTTCGAAAGTCATCCGTCGAAGGCAATGCAGCCGTGAGGTCAAGCTCCTTCTTTGGCTCTTCTTCCTGTGACTTCTTTTTCCCAAACATCCTGAAGGGGCCAGACGGCTCCGAGTCCATCGACGGACGGGGAGCAAAGACCTCATCCCGGTTCTTCTTTTTACCCCGAAGTCGATTCATTGCGAAGGTAGCTGCGGAGGCGTGGGTTGGCGTGTGTCGTAACTGTACTGATTGATCACGGCAAGAAACTGGAAGGGATCGGGTCCATTAATCGGCGTTCTGAGAGCCTGTCACGCCAACGACTGAGGGCGGAGAAGATGGAAACGAAAGGCTGCAGCATATCAATTAGCCAACAGCTCCTGTTCACGGTGGTCACAGAACAGCTAGCCCATCTTGACTCGACGGTACGAGCTTCAAACACACAAGTTTAGCACTCAGCCAGCCTTCACCAGCCTGCCAGGGCAAACGAGGCAGGGGGTTTCTGCCGGCAGCCGGCCGGCCTGGCGGTGTCGAAAGGGGATTGTGTCGGAGAAGACGGGAGGAATGGCATACCTGGAAGCCTACAGCTGAGCTGCGAGCGTTTCAGCCTGGCCGATTTGCCGACTTGGAAGACGGCATCAACGGCGTCTTGTTGCGTAGCGAGTGAATACGAACCCAAGCGGTTCGGGATGCGGGATGATGAACGGCAGACAGCCAAGCCCCGAGGTGCTGCAACGACGAGTCGAAGTACTCGGTGTGTATCAATCCCGCACGTTGTCTTCCTGGTATTCTTTGGTGTAGCCCGACGGCGGTTGCCCCTGTTGACGCTTACGCAAGGTCAAAAGTCCGAGATGGCGCGGTGTGTTGATGAGTGGCGATCAGGTCAATGGCACGACGAGAATCTCATGGTAAGGAGCGTGTGTATCAGCGAGAACGGACGCGACAGGGCCGGAGGACGAGGTCGAGGTCGAGCGGAGAGTCGATGATGTCCGGCCGCGGCTGGGGGGAGGTGAGAGGAGAAGGAGGTTGAGGACGAGATGGACGGTCTGGGAGTCCAAGGAAGGAGAGGAGCAGGGGACGCAGAGAATGAAAAGACGTCCCAGACGACCAGGGTGCAAGAAATTGAGAAGCGGAGCAGCAACAATGAAGGGGGGTGTCATAAGCGTGGAACCGCCGGCGCCCCCCCACCGCAGGCCGTGAGCTAGCTAGCACAGGAGGACGTTGGTGAGCTCAGGCTTTGGTGCCACTTCCACGCGGAGGGGTGGACGCTAAAACAGCGAGGAACAGGTCCAGGTACAAGGCGGCTGTGATCCCAGACAGGGGTTGCGAGGTATGGAGAGCTGGGGATTACTGTGGCGCTAGCCAATGAACTGGCCTCGCCACAGGGCAGCTGTCCCACCCCCCTGCCCCTTACCCCCCCTACCCCCCTAACTCCGTACACACGCCCCCTTTTCACTGTACTGTCTTCGTACTCTCCTGGCTGGCGTGGGTGGGTTCCTCCCGTCCACTGCCGGCGACAGGAGCATGTGTGTGTACTGTGTGCACATGGAGGACTCCTGATTTCTCACGAGCGTGCATATGTATGTCGTACGTGTTTGCTCTGTGCTCACTGCAATCTGTGCCAGATTCTGAAGTCGTCGGTTAGCCCCTAGACGGTGACCTGAGAATGGGCCAAGTCCCGCGGCAATCGGACCTGTCTGCCGTGCCAGACCAAGGTAACACACCAAGGTAACACACCAAGGTAACACATCATAATGTCAACAAATGGATTGTTCCTTGCCTCTTTCTTTCTCTTACGTGGATGCCCCCAGCCTGAGGAGCCGTTGGCGCGGGCCAGCCAGGAATCTGCATACCGACCTACCTGGGCAAATGCTTGCTCGGCTCTCCGTAAGGTACCGGGAGCTACTACCAGTACTTCTGGTAGTGCTGAGGGGAGGCCAGGACTGCTGGCGAAGCGTTGGTCGAAAATGGAGCGCGCGGCTTGGGGGTTTGCCGCTGCCATCTCAACTCGGCACGGATACCCCCCTTCTGTAAGAACGAGGATGAATCCGGGAAGCACCATCAGGGGTCGCCTATGCGTGTAGAAGCGTGTGCCCTGACAGTGCACTGCGCCCGGGTACCTCCAGGACTGTACAGTACTGTACCTGCACCTGCATGCACCCGCCCGCGCCAGGGGAATGCAACAAAAGCTTTGCATTGGGCAGACGCGTGCCAGGAGGCGCTCGAGATTGAAATAGGTGCCTTGGCGAGATAAAACTGCCGTCTCCTTTCCCTCCTGGGCCCGTAGTTCCCGCATGTCGGGCATCCAGGTCACCAATGAGCAATACACCATCCGAAACTTGCATTCCGCCGGCCTCGACAATTGATTAAGTTACCTCCAGTCAAGTCTGTTGGGTGATGACTCATCCGTCTTGTCGTCCTGTTCGTGCTCATCGTCCATCATGCAGCTCAAGACTCGGCATGGTCATGGAGGCTGGTGGACGTCCAGCTTTTCTTTTCCTCCGTTTCCAGCCACTTTCTCCGCATCCACTGCCCGCGCGTGATCATCGCGGCCGGCATCACACCTGCGACGTGTGAGACGCTCCCGAACCAAGGCACTGCTTCGTATCCCGTCGATTCGTCCATCTCTCGTCGCCATCAGCCGCCTTTCTTACCACATGCATATGCCCCTTCTTTCTTTCAAAGCAAAAAACCGTTGCCTCGTCGGCGCTCAGCGTGACATGTCGCAAGAGGCGGGCATCCAATATTCTCTCTCGCCGTCCCTCGTCTTGTGTCTCCCTCTGGGAGCGAGCTGGCCCAATCGACTTGCTTCTGCTGCATCAACCCCCCGAAGGCCTCGACTGCTTGGTGAGCGCTGGGAAAACAGTATTACCGCGCAGCAGCAGCCGTCGGGCTTGTCGGCCTGAGCTTGCCTGTCGTGGGCATGGTCGCTATTCGTTCCCGAAAGCCCCCCCGTCTCCTTTATTTTTAGGTAGGTTTTCCATTGCTTCTCCGCCCCCAGCTCCCGCTGTTCCCCCCTGGCTCTATGGATACCGCCTTATGACGTCGACATGGACTCGAGGGCGAAATAGGCAATACAGTCAGCCCCTTCAAGATGACGTGCCCCCATGGATGCGGTGAGGACGGGACTCAACTCCGTGCATTCGGTGCCGCCAAAGCCCTGGCCAAGGCTGCGGCTAGGTACTGACTACTGGGTACTAAGTTGGACGGAGCCACCCCTGCTTTTGGTTTAATCAGCCTCTGCCACCACGGCTGTCGGTTTGATTGCGGTGTTCGGGTCGTGTGCGGGACGCTTGGCGCTCGGGGAACCGTCGGGTGCTTAACACAAACATGAGCCCTCGTCTGGGCGGCGGGGCATTGCCGCTTTTCTTGCCGTCTGGCCACTCAGCCCGCGCCAACATTCAACAAGCCAAGGCCATCTCACCACGTCCGGCTCCCAAGAAGAGAGGAGAGGACGAGCTTTGCAGGACGGGCTTTGCAGGACGGGCTTTGCAGGACGGGCTTTGCAGGTCATGGCACAGGCCTGGTTCGACCATCTGGCCTTGCAGCACGGAATGATGAGTAAAAAAGTCGCACAATTTAATTTCGATGCGACCTCATGGCCGGAGCCAAGCCACGAGACACCGTCTGTTTCAGCGACCGGAGACGACGTCCTTGACCAGCCCATTGTGTACAGTACACAGCAACCGTGACTTCCCCTGTGGCGGCTTTTAAGGCAGTGTCGGAGCTGCACGAAGCTTTCGCGCGTCCAAAGTCATGGGCATGTCAGCCCCGAGAGCCAAGGAGGTGCTGTGTTTCAGATCCACAAGGGGAAAAAAAAAAGGTAGGAAAACAAAACAAGAGCAGCCTCTGGGGAACCACTTGTAATTATTTCTATATATGTGGCCTGGGTCGTCGTGCCTTGTATTCTAGCGGTTTTCCTTGGCCCCCCCTGTTGCTTGCCATGGTCCTTATTTTGTCAGCTCCTTCATTGCTTCATGTACAGCAAGGGAATTGTCTAAGTGGGTGGTGTGGGTCACTCAAGGTATTCTGTACCTGCAAGTACTCCGTACTTGGCTCCCCGATGACGCATCCGCCTGCCTGCCTACCCGGAAGGACAGTCCGCCTCGGCCACCACAATAACAAAGTGTGCCGACGCAATGAATGACTATGGTATCCAGTAGAGGAAACCCGGACGCGTGAACATGACGGACATTGTAGTCCGTAATCCAAATGCTTTTTAGCAAGAGCGTGCTTGCCGTGAGATGTTTTCTACGAGGCGAGGAGAGCATGGAATGGTAGCTGCAGGTGTCCACGGGCTAGTACGAGGTACAAGGGGTACAAGAAGGGAACCTACTCCTCGCGTGAGCCGGCAAGTGCCTCTCGTTAGCGAGAGAAGCCTTCCCCAGCTGTTCTGGCTTGCGGATCAGCCACCAGCGCCAGTAAAAGCCCGTGTGTTCCTGACGCTTAACTCAATCTTGGCCTTGTGGCTTGTACTGCACTTGTATCTGCACACGCCACGGTGTGTTCCTAACACACAGACGTGGAGATGAGGCCACAGGGCCCCGGCGTCACGAACTGCAGCTCGATTTGCAAACCAGAGATGCGTCTTGTTCGCGATTGATCCGCCGCGTACCGAGAACCACACGGATCTCCGTCGTCTGAAATGCGGTCTCACCCAAACAGATCGCCAACCTCTTCGCGGCGCCGTCTCGTCTTCAGACTCATGTCCCTCGACCAACAGCCAGCAAGTCCGCACAACAACAGCCACCACCACCCCACGAAACGTCTGGCTCAAACCATCCGAGCGCCAAGTTCCCTGACTAGTCGCTGAGCTACCTGGTACGAGTTAGCCATCTCCGCCCCCCTTCCAACGAGAACCCCTTGGAGGCCGGCGAGAAAAAAAAGAAGAAGAGGAAAAGGAAAAAGAGGAGCGGGAAACAAGACGCTGGAAGGAAGCAGGTGAAAGAAGAAAAAGGGTGAAAAGAAGCAAGGCGCCATGCACCAGAAGCATCGGCCGTCGGGAAAGGGGGCATTCTCGTCGACAGCATCTCGGGCCCGACCCGGTCAATAGGGCGATCGCGGGACGGCCATGTTGCCCGATGCCCGTCATTCTGACGGTGCTGCTGTCTCGACTTGAGCACGGTCTCTGCCTCGAAATGATTGGAAAAGGGGAGAAGGCATGAGAAAAGAAACAACGGGAAAAGGAAAAAAGGGGGTGCCAAAGGGGCATAGAGACAACAAGCGTTTTGTCTCACGGCCTTCTGGCCAGATTGAATCCTGCCCGTTCGCTTCTGAGCCACCACGCACCCGGACTCTGCCGGTTCTGCCCGTCGGCCGTCGGCGCCGGGACTTTGTCTGTGTCCTAACCGCCGGCCCCCGGCTCCCGATGCCGCTTCGTCCGATGCCAAAATCGCCCTCAGTAACAGACAACAGACGACAACAGTCCGATCTGGCTGTCCCAACGTGACGAGTTCCCTTGGGCCCCTTGCAAGCCTGGATCATTGGCCCAGGCTTCCACGAGAATCATCTCTCGTCCACGCCGGCCCTTGCGCTACTGCAAGTGACCCAAACGCACCCTGCCTCACCCACTGAGGTGCTGCCAGACACCCGCCGCGCCCTACCGATGGAGCCTTGAGGGCAAGAAAAAAACTCATCGCCCAGCTCGGTGCGGCACCAGATATTCGGGCCGTTGGTCACCAAGATCCGCGACTTCATACCTAACTGTCCATCTGAATTAGCAGGGCGAGACAGCATAAAGACGAAAGAAACGCGTTGCGGACGCGCGACGTGCCGCGGGATGCATAACCAACATGACGAGGGTTGGGGACGGCTGTTGGTCCGGGTGGACGGCTGAGAGGTAGGTGCCTGATTGACCCACGCGCCCGGCCTGCTCCCCTTGTCTCCCCTGCAGCACCAAGAACCGGACGCTTGGCTGTTGACTGCTGGCTGGTGGCTGGCTGGCACGCCGCATATGGCCTACGCGAAACAGCATGACGGGCAGGCAGGCAAGCAAGACAGGCTATGAACCAGGTAGGTACGTGTGGGCCGACTCGACTCGACTCTCTTTGCCCCGCCATCTGGTGATAGGAGGCGGGGATCGTGCTGCCTCGGACGTGACCTCGTCGCCAAGTTGAGATGGAGGGGGGCTCCGGACTTGGACAATCTTGGGCATCGCGTCGAGGGTTCCAGTCTCGGAGCCGAGCGGCGAGCACGAACTAGGGCGCATTCGGCTCCCAGCGAGAGACAAGGGCAAGGAATGAAACACAAAATGTCTGCCTGGGAAGACGCGAAGACCCCCTCCTCCTCCAGAGTGCCGCCGCCATGTGCGCGTCGTAGGATATCGCTGTATCTAGGTTGACGCATTGCAGGCCGAGTCGCCCTCGCCGTTGCCCGTGGTTGACATCATCAGAACCATCACCGGAACGACTCTCGCATGACTGACTGGCTGATGGCCGGCAGCAATGCCGTCCCGGGCCGGGCGTTTTGTTTCCCCCACAGCCGTGGCTAGCTCGCGTCTCCGCGCCGCGTCAAACGGCCCAGATTCATGCAAGGCCAGCCAACATGGGCTTGAAACGTCGTTGTCCGAAACTCTCTTTGGACGGGGGAGGGGAGGGGGGGGAACCCCAACATCGTTTGTTTGCACAGCACCTACTCGTCATGCGGGGGCTCTCTGTCCCGAGGGCGTAGTAACTTGTCCGCACTAGATAGTTGGTTGGTCCTTGTCGTCAACGAGTTCCCCCGCGAGATGCTCCGCGTCTCCATTCCAACGGGGGAGGGAGCCACCCTTGAACGTTGGCCACTAGGTCGACAAGGCGCACGGCACGCGGTGCTGACATCGCCAGGACTTTAGTGTCTGTCTGCACTGTCCAGTTGGTGTGTCCGTCCGGTTGTTCGGGGTCTATCCGTCCACCTACGCATGTAGTCACTTCTCGTCCCCCTTCCCCCCCCCCTTTGTCGACAAATGGCCGAGACTCGGATCGAATACGCAGTCTCTGAGACTCGTTCTCGTCCCACGTTGGCGTCTAGCTCCAACACGTAGACCACCGGCCTTGTATCAAACACGACTCCCTACTCCTTACCCTACACGCACCTTATGGACGCAATGGCAGGTTCGTGTAATGCTGGGCAGCCCAGCAAGATATCATATGAAGGCTCCTCTCTTGTATTCGTCTAAATATCGATATCTCTCCTCTTTCTATGTCCACCACTCCAGCCTGATACGCCAGAGGGAGAAGTAGAAGCCCCCGAGGGCAAATGAACAATAATCATGACCTTTTGAAAAAGACAGCTCCCAGGTCGTCCATGACATCAGCTGTACCTCTCCAGCTCTTCGCAAAACTCCCCATCCCAGGCAACAATGTACAGCCAAAATACGTCAAAAGCCAAGGAAGAGCACCTTACTCCTTCTTCTTCTTGCCTGCGCCGAGCTTCCTCTTGGGCACGCGCGCCAGCCAGTAGACAAAGAGCGCCGCCGCTATATTAAAGATTACATAGGCCCAGAGGATGCCAAAGTTGCGCCACCGATCGCTGTAGCTGCTGCTCACCCCGGCGAGGAAGGTGTTTGTGTTGGCGACCGGGCAGTACAGGCACCCGGCGTCGGCGCTGGGGTTTATGATGCGGCCGCCGTAGATCTTATCGTAGGGGGACAAAAAGTCCCCGCACGTCTGGTTGCCCAAAGGCTCAAGCTTGAGGAGCTCGTTGTCGGCGCACTCGACCGCTGTGTTGGCGACGCCTGTCGATAATATGCCCGACACCAGATAGGTAAACGGCGACACACGGTAGAGGAAGATCCAGAAGCCGGGGAGGGAGCTGGGCGGGGCCAGCACGCCGCAGAAGATGAGGCAGAGGGTGAACATGAGGTTGGCCAGGTTGCCGCCCGCCTCGGCCGTCTCGAACCCGGCGATGACGAGGGTCGAAAAAGTGCCGGTGAAGAGCAGGAACATGAGCAGGTAGAGGAAGGTGAGGGCGCCGCGCTCCGCCACCTCACCCGTCGGCACGGCGTTGCGCTGGAGGCCCACGGGGTAGTACCAGCAAAAGTACATGATGGCGGCCATCAGGCTGTTCCAGGGCAGTTCGACTATGATTTGCGACAGCATAAAGACCTTCCACGAGTAGACCTTGGAGGGGCGCTCGCGCGCCTCGTAGAGTGAGCGCTGGATGACAAACTGCGGCATCGACTGCTGGACAATCTGGCCAAAGACGGTCAGCAGCTGGAAGATGGAGAACATCTGGTTCTGCAGGCCCTGCATGCTGTTGGGGGCCCGGAAGAAGACGAAGCCGACAAAGAGGGCGACGAGGGTGCAGAGGGCCGTCTTGGAGTAGATGTAGACGGGGGTGCGCCAGTACTGCTGGAAGACGCGGAAGAGGTTCTCCTTGAGCTGCTCCCCAAAAGGGGCGGCGAACTCGCGGTACATGCCGGGGTCGTCGTCGACGGGGTCGCTCGCCACCTCTTGCTTGTCCCGCTTGATCCTCTCCAGCTCGGCCTGCACGGCTTTATACTCGGCGCTGCCGCGCCACGTGTTGAACCAGTCAATGTCTGTCGACGACCCGGGGGCCGCGCCGATGACCTCGAGCATCCACTCGGCGGGATTCGCCTCGTCGGGACAGCGGTGCCCGCCGTTGCGCTCGAAGTAGCTCGTCATCGTCTTGGAGTTGTCGCCGATTTCGCCAAAGTAGACCGTCTTACCGCCCTTGGCCAAGAAGAGGAGCCGATCGAAACGCTGGAAGAGCATGGCCGAGGGCTGATGAATGGTGCAGAGCACGGCCTGGCCCGCCTTCGTGAGCTTCTCAAGGAGGTCCAGGATAGCCCACGAAGTCTGCGAATCGAGGCCCGAGGTGGGCTCATCGACGAAGAGGAGCAGAGGCGGCTTGGCGGCCAGCTCGACGCCGATGGTTAGACGCTTGCGTTGTTCGACGTTGAGGCCCTCCCCGGGAACGCCGACGACGGCGTCGGCATACTCTTCCATCTCGAGGAGCTTGATGACCTCCTCGACATAGGCGAGCTTCTCCCCCTTGGGAACATGGGCAGGCTGACGCAGCAGGGCGCTAAAGTTGAGAGCCTCGCGGACAGTCGTCGTCTGCAAGTGAAGGTCCTGCTGCTGGACGTAGCCCGTCTTGCGCTGAAACGACATGTCACGGGGCCTGCCGTCGACAAACATTTCGCCCGTGATGACGCCCATCGAGGTGCGGTCGGCCAGGCAGTCGAGCAACGTCGTCTTTCCGGCGCCCGACACGCCCATGAGGGCAGTCAGGGTGCCGGGCTTGACCCACCCGTCGACGTGGTCCAGGATGCGCCGCGCCTCGCCCTTGATCTTGATGTCGTAACAGACGTCGTGCCACTGGAAGACCGACGTCTGCTCCTGCAGGAGGCCTCCCTCCTTGCCGCCGCCGCCGCGGCTCCTCTCGGCCGTGACGACGGGGCCGATGTTGGCCATGGCGGCCTCGGGGTCGCGCTGCTTCTTCTCGGCATGCTTGGCGGCGGCGGGCTTGTGTCCCCTGCGGTAGACGAGGACCTCGCCCTTGGACGTTTTCTCGGAGACGAGCTCGGCGGCGACCATGTAGCAAGCGAGGAAGAAGATGATGAAGGCGATGACGATGCCAAAGTTGCGCCAGCGGTGACTCCACTGGTATTCAAAGCTGGACTCGGTGTAGGCGTCGCCATTGACAAAGTCCTGGCCCTTGACGGCCCCGACGGCGCTGCAGACACTGTTGTCGGGGCCTAGGTTGGCGTACTTGGCCAGCGCGCCGGCCAGACTAGGATTGGGTGCCTGGGCCGAGGGGACGAACTGGGTGCACCTAAAGTCGCGATTGTGGAACTCGTTGACCATGAGAGCCTCAAAGGCGTAGCCAAGGGGGTCGATATAACTCAGCCACTTGCACCAGCCGAGCATGTACCTCTTCGGGATGACGAAACCAGTGAAGATGACGAGGTCGAGGATCAAGAGGGCGGCCGGGACCAGGGCCTGGAACAGGGAGCGCGATGCCGACGCGATGGTGCGGAAAATCATGGACATGACGAGGACGGTGCTAAATGTGATGAGGAGGAAGAAGAAGAAGGGCCCGGGCTCTCTGCGGAGGTTGGTCATGAAATAGAGGGTCAGGTTGAAGACGATGGAGTTTGCGACTTTATAGGGCAAGTCGCAGAGCATTGACGCAATGGCCTCGGCGGATGGGTGGTACATGGCATATCGGTTGTGCTTTTCCACAATGGGCCGTTGGGCGTACAGGGTGAGAATCTGCGTCGGCAAACCATCAGTCACTCGTCCTTCTCATGGGTGTCAGAAGGGGGAGGGCATCTTACCTCGAGAGCCGAAGCAAAGGCGTTCATCAGACAGGCAAAGAAGAGCAGGGCGCCACGCTGGAAGAAGCTCGCCGTCGTGTCGTCGAGGTTGTAGAAGACGCTTCCGATGATGAGGGCCATGACCGTGTTCCCAATCAGAGCGCCGACAGTCAGGCTGGGGTCGCCGGTCAGGCGCTTCCAGCCGCGCCACAGGCACAGCTGCACCTGCTGGGTGTAAGATAGGGTGTAGGGAGACTTTTTCCGCTGGCTCTTGGCCTGCTGCGCGCGCTTGGAGGCGCGAAAGGCCTGTGCATCGGGCCCGTCGATGGGATGGGCGCCCTTGTACTCTTCAATCTCGACCTGCAGAGCCTTGTACTCGGCGCTGTTCTTCCACGCAGCGGCAAACTCGTCGGGGGTCCGCGGGGTCTTGCCGTCGAAGCCGGGGCGCACGACGCGCTCGAGCGGGGACGTCATGGATGTGAGGAAGTCCGGGGTCGTCTGTCTCGCCGGGCACTCGAAGCCGAGGTTGACAAAATACTGCTTGGCGGCGTCGGCGCGGCCGAAGAAGATCTGGCGACCCTCGTAGAGAACGACGGCCTTGTCGAAGAGATCGTAGGCGCTTTGGGGAGCCTGGTAGATGGAGACGCAGGCGGTGCTGTTGAAGAGCTCCGTCTGCAGCCGCAGCGTCTTGCAAAACTCGATGGCGTTGGCCGAGTCGAGACCTCGGGTCGAGTTATCCCAGCACTGCAGGGGGGCGCCGGACAGGGCGGCCTCGGATATGGTGACGCGCTTGCGCTCGCCACCCGAGACGCCGCGAACGTACTCGTTTCCGACGCGAGTGTTGACGGTGTGGGAGATGCCAAACATGGCCATGACGACGTCACGCAGGTGGTTTGCGAAATCATGCTTGTTGAGGCCTTGGGGTAGCTGGCGGGGCTGGCGGGCGCGGGCGGCGAAGGTGAGAGTATCGCCAACCGAGAGCTGGGGAAAATGGACGTCGACTTCGGCGGTGTAAATTGCTTCGCCTCGGTGCCTCGAGTGCATCTCCTTGGCCGTCATGCCTATCGAGCGTCACAAGAGTTAGCCACACAAGTCCGTGTAAGCACAGGGACATATGCACGGCAGAGGCGGACGGCATCTTCCGTCCCAGGCCCCTCCTCTCCTGCATTACCCCAGACTTCCGGGCCCCACGGGGGTGGGTATCGTTCGGCCGACTCACCTTGATAGTTAAAGTAGGAGCCGTCGTCGACATAGATGCCGTTCATCTCGCCGGCAATGGTCTTGAGAAAGGTGGAGCAGCCGGAGCCCGGTGGCCCCAAGACGACGAGCATCTCGCCGGTACGGACGAGTCCGTCGAAGTGGCGCAGAATGTCGATGCGCTGGCGGCCGGAGCCCATGAGGCGGCGGACGAAACCGGCAGCCGACAGCCAGACGTTTGCGACATCTTTTTGGTAGTCGGTGGACTCGCCGAAGCCGTGGACGTTGAGGTTCTGGAAGCAGACGCCGGCGGAGCGAAAGGCGGAGCCGTCGCTGGAAACCAGGTCGACGACGGCCTTTGCCCATTCGCGACCGCTGAAGCTGGACGAGGCCGGGTTGAGGGGCGAGTCGGGGCCGGCCAGGAAGGGGTTCTGGTGGTTGGCGGCGACGGAAGCGCGCGAGTATGAGCGGGCGAGGGCCTGGACGGCCGAGGAGCGGCGCTCCATCTCGGCCTTGTCGGTCTCGGTGTCCTCATCCTCCACTACCTCCTTGGCCGAGATGCCGGACGGGGACGAGGAGTCGGTGGCGTCGTGGCCGGCATCGTCGTCTCGAGAAGGGTAGCGGTTGCCGATGGGCATGCCCGTGGAGGCGGCTGTGGAGTCATAGTTTGCGTTCATGCCGTACATTGCAGCCATGATCCCAACGCTTGTTTGAGAACAGGTATGGATGGCCAGCAGGCGGCGGCTTCGAGAAGCGGCCAAAGCTCTTGGGTTCCCGGGGGGGATTGGAGGAAGGTTGGCCCCAGATCCCAATGCTCTTGTGCTTTGTTTAGTACCGAATTCAATTCCACGAGGCAATGAGCGAAAGCGGCAGGAGGGGCCCGGGCGAGTAAACACACGGGAGGGAAGGGGTGGGCGCCGCGTAGGTTGGGGAGGAATTGGCGGAGAAGGAGAGAGGAAGAAGAGAAGATGGAGGAGGAAATGGCTATCTCTCTCGCGCAAGGCCAAGGAGGATGGATAAAACGGCGGATCCTTGGTCGAGCGGCTGGACAAAGTCTCCGGGAGCCCGAGAGCAGAATCTCTCGAAGACCGCTGCATGCATGCATGCGACCTACACCAGCTAGGCAGTCCCTTGTAGAGTATGAGTACGGAAATAGGGAGTACCCACCTAGTACCTAAGGTATTCATAATTACTAGGTGGTTCGCTTCAGGTCGGTACGAATACGCAGCTCAGCTTCGGGTACGATCCATCCATCCGTACACAACAGTTCAAGTAAACAAGCTCCCATCATCTCTGTCGCCCCCACCCACCCACTCTTGCTGGTCACACGCTCGAGCCTCTGGCGGAGTTTGGTGGACTCGACTTGGTTGGCATCGGGGAAGACGGGCCTCCCGGCAGCAAGCAGCAAGAGCAGGAAAAGCAACGAGGTACCTCGGGCAGGTAAGGTAGTAGGTAGGTAATGTACCTAGGTAGCCATCATGCCGCAGGGTACCACCAGTCCGGCCCCCGTCGATGAAGCACAAGCGTCATGGATGCACTAAAACGGCGGCGCATTCCTGTGCGTCGCTGCCAGCGCCTCGTGGTTTGTCCGCTAACGGCCGGCCAAGGCATGAGTGGGTGTACAGATACTTTGCCTTATCAGATCGCCCGATTCATTGTTTTACTCTGAATGCCTTACATATCTGACCCTGCTTGTTTTTACTCCCATCGTCTTCCATTTTTCTTTGCTTCTTTTTGGCCCATTGACCAACGGCACTATCATCTCCTGCGCTTTTGCTTTTTCGGCGGCGCAAAAAGTCTGTCGATCTGGGCGGCGCTTCGGATCGTGGCGAGGCGGGAGAGCATGCACGCTGTTGCTTGAGTCACTGTCTCAACATGCATGCGTGTTTATCCCGTGGCGACAAAACCTGCCGACGCAGATGCTAATCAATGACACATGTGCTCCCAACTTGGACAAGCCGTCGCGCCATCATCACAAACAAGCGCTTCCACGCCCTTTCCTGGCTTCATTCCCAGCTAATAGCATCTTGCCGTACTCCATCTATAGGTGCGTGCTACCCCCTCGGCCAAGAGCCGACTTGCATGTAATTATCTGTACTGCAAGTAACTACCTACTTGGACCCGCCGCCGGTTCGGAGTGTTGGAGCACCCCGACCCGACCCGACACGCCGGCCGCGCCCCGTGCTGCCTTGGCGGAGAAGCTTATTAGCTGGGTAACGAGCATGCTCCGTGTGACGGTGGACAAGGCACTTATCCTGGGCCCTGTCGTCTCCTGTGAATATTCCAAATGGCCCTCGGTCCCCAGGGGGTGAATCATGCGGACTCGTGCCCAGAGATATCTGACGCTTGAAGTTACTCGCTCCGGCACCTACGTACTGCGCCGTGGTAATTATACATGCAGCGGCAGAGCTCGTCATCATGCCTACGTACATGTTGCCTACATACATGTAACATAGTATGCATGCGCCATGCAAGACCAGACCATCGGCTCCTCCGGTGCGCCCCTGTGTGCGTGTCAATTTCTTCTTCGGACTCGACGACTGATCCGAGAGGGCGTTGCTGACCGCCAGCAAAAGAGCCTCCTCTTCTTCCGCTTCTGCCTGCCCTTCCTTGCCCTTCCTTGCCCATGTGCAGCCTTTGCCAGACGGCAGCTGGACCCGCAACTCCGCAACTCCGCTCCGTACCTCCGTTTCTCCCCGTTGGCTCCCGGGGGTCAAAGTCAAGCCCGAGCACTGCCTTTTTATCCCCCCCCCCCACCACCTTTCAGTTGACCCTCCCGTCGGATCCCATCACTCGGAATGTCCCATCTCAGCAGAGCTTTCCAACGACACGCATGGTATGCCCGCCCGTCCACGGGCCTCTTCCATTTCTTGGCCCATGCGACGTGCACAGCCTCTGCGCCGCGTGTCATAGGGCTGGGCGGATAGTTACAACTGCCTTGCATGCCTCGCCAAGTCTGCATATGGTTACATGCTCCGCGTGTCCCGGGGGCCCCCATCGTAATTGAGTTTCAGGCTATTGATGGGTCTGCATCGGATACCCAGATAGTTACCAAGTACACATTACCTTGTTGATGGGCTTGTTGCCAGGATACAAAGTAGGCTTTCTCGACATCTTAGTCCGGACCCATTGCCGTGCCGTGCGTCAAAACTTGGCGCCCACAGCCCTTTCCGTCCTGCTGGAAAACTACCGATCCAGCAATCTAACAGCCTATTTTTAGTCGCCCACTTTCTCCTTCTTGTCGTAGTGGCCCGCGTCTTGCTTCCTGTTTCCGAAGCGGCTCGGCCCGCCCTTGCGTCGGCTCCCTCTACCCGACGTCTAATTACCCTGCACCTCCTTTTCTAACCACCAGACCTAGAGCCGTTTTACACGATGAAATGTCATAATTCATTTCCAAGTATTATACCACTGCCACCGTCCGAGCCCTGGTCGAGACCGTCCGAGCCTGCTGAATTCTCGACGCGCCGCCCTCCTCGACCCCGTGCTGCCCGAGTTGCCACACGCCGTGCTGGCTGGCACCGTAGCTCCTCAAGCTCATGATTCCTCTTCTCGGGACACCATGTCACGTCGAATTGGGTGTAGTAAGCCTTCAGCGTATCGACTTGACCGCATACTTGCACCAGATGCATGACCAGCATATGGATGGAATACAAAGATAAGTGTAGCCGGACGTGAGCTGCACTCCCGTATCATCTAGTCCATTGTTGCTCTCGCGCTACAGAAAGTTGATGCCCACGCCCATCTGCAGCCCCTTGGTTGCAATCTCTCCTCTCCTCAGCACAAGCGGCAAGCTAAAGTTCAGCTCAAACCTCGCCACGGGATGTGCGTAGACAAGGCCCACACCCGCGGCCATGCTGGGAGCGCCGTTCAAGAGACCCCCGACAGCACGCAGCATGCCGTCGCGTACGGCTTTGGCGCTTATGCTTTGCGAGCCCGTCGTCTTCCCCCTGTCCTTATCCTCGAGCGCCACAAGGCGTCCGCCGTTGGCGAAGAGCTGGAATCGCAGCCCCGAGTCGGGTCCCTTGTATGGCAGCGGAAGCAGCATGTTGACGCTTCCCGCAGCAAAAACGTCTCCACCCACAGAGTCCTGGCCATCATGAGGTCCCAACCCGCCCAGCTTGAAACCGCGAACGTCCGTTGGGCCTCCGAGCAGAAAGCGGTCATTGATACGGCTCGGGAGCGCCTCACTGCCGAGGCTGTATCCGAGTGGCAGGGGCCAGAGCAGCCCCATCCGCAGACCGGCACCGATGGAAATGCCCGTGCGGCCTTGGATGCCAGGCAGTGGGACAGGAACGGCGCCGCTCATCTCCACTTCGCTCTTGGAAAAGGCGACGTCACCTGCCAGGGGACCAACTCCTGCCACTTCCCACATGGATCGTAGCATGTACCCATCTTGCGGGAGCTGTGGGTTGTCCCGCCTCTCTCTGAAAAACGTGTGTTTGATGGCGCTCTTGACCGTATTGCCGGCGTCTTGTCGCACGGTTGGGCTGGCGACTGCGGAGAGCCCTGTCACTTGACGCCATGACCCGGAATATTCAACTGCGTGCGTGTCGCTTTGGTCGTTCAGCCACGAGAATCGCAGAGAGCCGCCCTTGACGACTTCCTCATGCGATGCCCACGGCTTCTCGGCTGCAGACGCTAGACCCTCCACAGAGATCCTCATGCCAGGATCACTTAGCACCGGCGCACTTAGGTTGGCACTATATGCCGACCTCGTACGTGTCCCCGCCTTGGCATTCAGAGTGAGCATTTCGGCGCCGCCAAACATGTTCCGCCACAGGAGAGAGCCGTATGCTGAGCCCTCGCCGTTGCCCACGTCGGTTCCGGTTTGGAGCTTGAAGCGAGGCAGTTCGCGAAGGCCCATGGAAATGTTGACATCGGACGGGCTTGCAGAGGGATCGACTTGACTAGACTGGGATAGATATACGCTCGGCGGCTCCCGCAATATTTCTATGCTGGTCAGCGTGAGGTCCCCTCAAGGTTCGCTAGGCAGACACGCACGCAACCCAGAGAGCTTTGTGCTTGCTGCCTGCAACTTGGCGAGCACCTCGCCAACGGTGGACGGTGCATTTGGATAGTCGCAAAGCAGAGGGGCGAATATGGGGTCGAGGAATCCGCGGCGAATGTTGGTCGCGCCGGTGACGGAGATCTCGTTGACGGTCATGGGCATCGACATCTGATCAGCCATCTGCTGCAGCGTTAGAAACCCGAAACACTTGTGCCAAGTGAGTCGGTATATCGTACCATTTGCGCCATTCTGCGCTCTTTTGCTTCGTGCTCTACATTTTGAAACTCGGGCGTCGAACGGGCAGCGCTCAACACATCCTGCGTGTTGGAGTGTAGTTTGTTGAATGAGCCTCCGGGCTGCCATGGTGAGCTAGAGCTGTCTTGCTGTAGAAGCCAATTGGGTCCGTACTTACATTGGTCCCGGGTAAGCTCGCATTCGACGCCATGCTGCAGCTTTCAATCCGCAACTCTGCTCTTTGAGGACGATGAGGATCGTTGAACCCGCGACGTTGCTCGGCAACTTGGAGCTCTCCAGCCTCAAATGGCGCCGAGTTCCCCGTGGCTGATGCACGAGTGGCTGGGCCGCCAAGGGAGCTTTTGCTTAGGTAAACATTGTGGGGCTCCCAGGGGATCTCCGTTTCTGGTGACGGCGCTGACGACTTGCCACACCACTCCAACGTCCTTCCTCGCTCATCTCCGAGCCCAGTCGCCCGACATCGCACCCGCCACCCTTCTTCCCATCTTCATCTCGTCCTGTACGCTCCGCGCTCCGACAGTCACTGCCCCTCTCCATTTCCGACGACAGACAACTGTCGATTCGTCTCGGGAAAGTCTCCGCGGAGCGTGAACCCTCAGTGGTGCCCTTGGCAATATCTTGGAAGCCAAACTCCCGACAAGCACAAACTGCCAAGCCCTGCCACTATCGCGCTCATGGCCACCAAGGCAGCGCAGAAGCGGGTATGCTCCGGTCCTTTATCCCAGGTCGTAAACGTGCTAACCGTTGTGCCAGTTGACCCGCGAGTACAAGACCATCTCCGAGAACCCGCCGCCGTACATTGTCGCCCACCCGTCCGAGTCCAACCTCCTAGAGTACGCATATCCAGGCAACACTGGGGCTTCGTACTTGCTAACTCGTCTGTGCCAGATGGCACTATGTCATTACTGGCCCTGAGGACACGCCGTACCACGGCGGTCAGTACTGGGGCACCCTGATGTTCCCTCCAAATTACCCGTTCGCGCCCCCGGCGATCCGGATGCATACTCCATCGGGCCGGTTTCAACCGTCTACGCGGCTGTGTCTCTCCATCTCCGATTTCCATCCAAAGTCGTTTAACCCGGCGTGGGAAGTCTCAACCATCCTTATTGGCCTGCTCTCCTTCATGACGAGCGATGAGATGACAACAGGCTCGGTCTCGACGACTGCGGCCGAGAAGAGATACCTGGCCTCGCGATCACGGTGGTGGAACTCAACCGGCGGCGGCTCGCACGCTAAGGGAACTCCAGCGCAGAAGGGCAATGTCAAGGCGGGCGACGGCGGCGCCAAGTTTCGGACAGAGTGGGTGGACGTGGACGCGGAGAACTGGGAATGGATGAAGAAGAACAAGATTGATGCGGCAACAGGAAACCGCTTGGACGGCGACAACGGGTCCTCATGCGGCCCGCAACTGAGCATCGGAGGCACGAGCAGCAACCAAGCACAAGCCGTGGTGGATGCCGTGGTGCAGCAGCGAGACGCGGGACGGGGCTGGCTGTATCGGAACAAGCTTCTCGTGGTCGGCGGGCTGATGTTCTTGTACGTGCTGGTTGCGCGTCTTGTCCGCGGCGACGGCTTAGCGTGAGAGGTGGAGGTTTGCTGGACCTTGGGGCGTTTTGCACTCTGGACAAGGCAGGCTTTGGAGGGAGCAGTCAGTGTAACACAAGATCGGACTCGCATTCGTATTCCAGCGACTTATGAAACACATCATTGTTTTCTCAATATTCATACTCATAACAGAATCTAGCTGGGCAAGCGATGGGGATGCACGTGATGGGCAAGGGATCGAGTCCATGCGCCGCTTACCCGTCATGATGCAGCGTTGATGCGCCACACGTTGGTAACTTAGTAATTCGGCTTGGTGCATGCAGGCGCTGGCCACGCAGTCTGTGCCATGGCTGCGGAATGTCTTGGAATCAGTCAGACGGGGGATAAGGGTCTGGCAAGATGCGTCCAGTTATGCCCGCGCACGTCTTGCAGGACGAAGTCTACCTATCCTGACTTGCAAACAGCAACAGAGGACCCTTGACACTCCAACAACATACCTAAGGTAGGTAGGTAGGTAGGTACCTAAGTACCTACAGTTGGTGTACCTACCTTACTTACCTTACGCCTGTGCCGATAGAGATGGATTCCAGGCGAGTGAGTCTTGGTACCTATTTTAACGCTTGCGCCCCACGGCGGCAGAGGTATCCTGTGGCTGCCCTGATGTGCAGCAGCAGTGGGGGGATCGAGCTTGGCGCACCGCCGAGCCTTAAAAAAACAGAGCTCTCCGGTCCAAGCCACTAGTGTGCCTGCGGGCAGAAACGGGGGGAGGGGGAAAATTGTGACGCAGGCCCCGGTTTTTGGTCACCAATTCGCCGTGGCTAATAATTCACTTCACCAACCTTCCTCTCTCCTTCTCACCAACCCGCGCGGCCTCCAGACGACGACTCTCCCGCGCTGTTTCCGCCCGCGGTGACGCGACGTCTTGTGGGAGGTGCATCGACTCGTGCAGCCTCTCACCTCACGACGGTCCCGATGCGCTTTGGCCGAGGCTTGTGCCAGTCTCGTGTCTAGAGAGACGCCTGGAGCAGGCTTTTGGGAATCCGACCCGTTTGCCCCCTCTCCCACTGCCTCGACCTGTCTGCCCCCTTTGTCCTTGAGCGACGCAACGCGATCGATTCCCGACAGCCGCCGCCGCCGCCTCTTTCGTCTGGCGCAGCTTCGACGCCCACCTGCAACATGGCCCCGTCCACCGCCTCGCTCAAGTCTCGCAGAGCTGCGGCAACCAGCAAGCATTCCGTCAAACCTGTTGTGCCTGCGCTGCCGTTGCCCTACGTCAAGCGTCAGGCGGCCCCTCCTGCGGCCGCGTCTGCCGTCGCTGCTCGCTCGCCGCCGGCTGAAGCTCACCATGGAGCAGCACGGGAACAGTCCATCTGCCACTTACCCGTGTCGGGCGCGCAGCATGACACTCGGGCGAAACGGAACAACGGAAATCAATCCAGTCACCTCGACCGTGGCCATCTTGATGCCAACGGACATGGATCATCACCTGGTGAGCTACTTCAAACGCCGTCGTCGAGTCCGGGGTACCACTGACCACGCCATGCTCACTAGTCGACAAATCTGACACGGCTTCAGTCGAGCTCGGGCAAGCCCCGGCTTCAGCCGTCGACAACGCTGGCTCCCAGATGCACGTGCAGTCGCAGGCGGCCGAGAATTTGGTGCAGCAATCCCGCCCGGTTGGTCCTTTCGAGACCTCGGCCACCCCCAACGGGGCCCCTGTCAAGTCTGGTCAGTTTCTTGTACTGGACGGCGCTCCTCAGGCGCTGACTGCAAAAACAGACGGGACTTACTCCGCAACGGCCTCCGAGCCTCATCTGCCGCCTGCCGTATCGCCGACGCGCTACCAGATGCCTCCGCCTTTTCAGCCCACGAACCGGCCCCTCGGCATCATGGCAAACGGAGACGTGGCTCGCGGCCCGCGACCTCACCCGCAGAACGGACCCCATCGCATTCACCAGACACACCCGAGCAATGGAAGCATTCACTTCGGCACTTTCCACGACTCGCAGAGCTCGTCTCCCGCGCCGCCGCTCTCTGGAGGCGTCGCGCCGCCCCCTGGAATGGCCGGCCTCGATGGCCGCCCGGGATACATGGGCCATAACGGAAGCGGGTTCCCCCCCATGATGCCGTACGGCGGCGACATGATGCAGGTCGCAAACTTTGACAACTACGGTCGTCCGGCCATGGCCTACGGGCCGATGGACTCGTACCCCCCTTATGGGTCCAACTATGGACCCTCGACTCCTCACAGCTTCCATGACTCGCAGTCACCCGTCCACCCCGAAGACAATGGCATGTACGTCCCTTACCCGCCAGGAGCCCCCTGCAATGGAGGAGCGGTTCCCGGCGACGACATTCATCCGCAGAACCCGCAGCGACGAATGTTTGGCCCCCCCGAATACCCCAGGATGCCGCCGAATCTGGGCCTCCCACCCATGATGCCTCCTGGTGACCATGGCGACGGCGTCATCGGATACCTGCAGCAGCAGTTTGCCGCGCCAGAGCTGGCTGACTGTACGCTGGAGCTCCGATACCCCGATGACGGGGCGCCACCCGTCCGGATCCCGGGCCACCGCTTCATCTTCTCCCGGAGTTCTGAGCTTTCGGCCCAGCTGCAGAAGAAGGCGTCCGAGCCAAAGTCTGCCGGCGGAGCCCCGCTAACTCTGGTTGTTGAAAGCGACAGCCCTTGGGTACGATCCGACGCCTTCTACATGGCTGTTCAACGTCTGTATGGCCTGCCCCTGCTGCAGATGCCGCCGCACAACCGGACGGACTCTGGCGACTTGATGGAGGCTGGATCTGCCAAGGAGCAATTCGAGTTTTCCTTGTCGTATGCCGCAGCCGGCCGCCTCCTCGACTGGGCGCCTGTCACGAGACGGGGCTGTGAGGTGGCGACGCAACTACTGGGCTGGCAGACGATGGAGAAGGGGCTCGAGTTTGCTCTCGACAACTACAGCGACAAGGGCACCCATGACTCGTACAAGTATGGCGACGGATCGCGGACCATCCTCCACGCCGTGGCTGCGTACATTGTCCACAACATTCCGCCGAGCTTCAACCTCGACACCTCGGCTGGAGAGCCCAACAACTATGCCCGGCTTCCGGTACACCCTCCGCCGGCTCCAACCTCTCCCGAGGCCGGTTCCAGGGCACCCTCGCCTGCGATTGCGAGGGGCTCCTCGGTCCAGCTCGGCAAAGGTAGGCGCCCACACCAAATCGCCAATATTCAATTTGGCGATCTCTCCCTATCCGAAGCCAGGAACGGGACCGAATCCGAGACTCCAAAGGCCGCTCAACAGGCTCAGCCGGTGTCACACACGATCCTCTCCCGCGTACTGCTCAACCTGCCCTTTACGTACCTCAAGATGATGCTCGAGATGTCTGGATCCGGAAACCTCAACGGCTGGGCCAGCGCAGAGGCCCGTCATCGTGTGATCAAGCGCGCAGTTGAGGAACGCGAGGCACGTCGCCTCCGCATCTTGGAAGCCGTTATCGATGGGCGAGTTTCTGTCTCGGATGCCGTCCATGCGGCTCTCCGTAGCCCGAATCCACAAGACGTCGGCCGATGGACTTCGCTGGGATGGCAGGAAGAGATGCTGCCATGTTCTAGCCCGGGCGGTGCGTCCCTGGTACGCAAGTGGGTCCCCGTGGTGGAGCCACAGAACGGGTCGGCAGCCGCGTATCCATGAGTTCGCCTGCCGCGTCCTGATGAATAACGACTTTTTGGTTGATGAGCTGGCGGATGGGCGTTGCATTTCTTGTCGGATTCGAAAGCATCGAGTCCCCGGTAGCAATTTCCCGAGGGCTGTGCAACCCATCTTTCCTTTGTCCCTCTGGAGAAGCGCCCACATTTTTGCCACTTGTCGAGCACCGAGAACTCGATGGAATCCCGCTGCCTTTTGGCATGCCTGATTCGCGATGGAGGATGGAACTGAGAGACGGGTTGACCCTCGCCCTCCTCGCACCTCTGGAGTCTTTGTCTTGTCATTGGCCGTGGCAAGGCTGGTAGCTCGCGGGTGGGCTGCAATAAGGTGGCTTGAAGAAGCATAATGGCGGGGACGGTGGCTTCTGGGGATGCGCAGGTGAGATGCGGAGTTTGGCGAGTGCCGGGGGGGAGCCAGTCCGACTGGAGGGATGGTCGGCGCTGACGTGGGCTGGAGTCGGATAGCGGAATCGATGTGGATGGGGGGACGTATAGGGGCAAATGACCGGATCGCAGCTCAACTTGCCGGATTCTAGGGTAGTCTGACGTTAGGAAGGAATCCGAAGCGCAAGGGACCATGGCTAATGGATGAGTTGTGCCAGACGCGTGGTGTGCAGAGGAGACTTGCCCTCCAGGGGGGCATTTGGACGGGCAGATGGCCGGCTTCGTCCCCGCAGGATACGGCCAGATTTTCGACGACTCTCGATACCTAGGTAGTCAATCCAGGGGCAGCCAGCCATGGTTGTGCGGAGGAAGGGTGCGTTCAGCCCTCTCTGTTCCCAAGAGGTCATGTACATTACCCTAGTGCGCATATTTTGACCAGGTACACGATACAGGGTAGCTAGCTGCTCCTGGTTCCGGCCTCGGGCGGGGGCGGGCCGGCGGGCCGGCTTGTTGGCGGCCTCCCCCCCGCCGCACCACCCACGACTTCCGGGAGCCTGTCCGCCTCGTCTCTCTTTTTTACCATGCACACACACAGGGGAGCAACACGTGCGGGAATGCAAACCCCTTTAAAGATGCGAGGGCTGCAATGGGGGCATCTGGGACGAGTACCTACTTTGCAGCCTTTGCACCCCCAAGGGGATGGCTCGAAGCATCTTACTCTGATAGGCGAAAAAGCAGCACCCTAGAGGTGGGGGCGGGAGAAGTTGCGACGGGCAGCCCTATGCGCCGTATCTTGCGTCCCGTTTGGCGCTACGGTATTAACCGCCCAGTCTTTGACTACCAATCTGCGTGGGGAGGCCTAGCGCTACTGTGCAGGCCCAGGTGCAGGACGATGAATGGGCACTCGAGCCTGACAGTATGCAAATTTAGAAAAAGAAAATACCGATATCCCTCGGTGTCCACAAAGTAGCTTAATTAACGCTTGTTTCCGGGCCATGATGATGGCGGGCGGCCGCGTGACTGTCGTCGCGTCGGGGGAAACAGGCCCACGTGCCCCGAGTTGTTGCTTTGCAGAGGATGAAAGCGGCGCATGAAGAGCAACGTGGCATGCGGAAATGCACTGTGCGGCCTTGGAGAAAGGAGCCTTCATTCCTCTGCTCGGGTGACGAGAAAAGTCAAAAGAAGGCCAATACAGAAATCGCTACGCTTCAATGTCCTCGCCTTGTATGATTTATTCTACAAATCAGATGCGCTTCCGTCGGCGACGTGCCCGTGTCCCGTTTCTATTGTTGAAAAAGTAGCCCGGCGCCTGTATCCTGGACAAGCCGGGGCCAATGCCACGATCCAAAGTCTGTCTGCCCTTGTCAAGCCTCCCTTACCCGCGAGTCGTGAGCAAGGAGCATCGTGTCTCTGCTGACACAACGAGGCGGACGCGGCGTGCTCTTGTTCATGTCCATCTTTTCCGTCTCGAGCCGTGCGTTCCGTCACGGCGAGACGCTCGTCGCTGGTGCGACGCAGGCGGTGGCTGTGCCAGCTACCGGCCGTCTTTTTGCTGGCCTTGCAGAGAGCTTCCCTGGTAGAGGCCGTGCAGCTTGATGTACTCGTAGACCAGCTTGGGAAGGTCCATGACGGTTTCCCTGTTCTGTAGCTGGGCCCGGATCTTGGTAGAGCTGACGTCGTTGTAGAAGGAACTTACCACCCAAATCTTGTCGTAATGCTTGAGGGGTTCTAGAGCCTTTTGAATGTCGGTCTGGGTAGGCCTCTCGACAATGAATGCGCCGTAGCAGCCGAGGATGACGTCGAGGTCCGAGGGCGACCAGAGGTTGGGGTCGCTCATGGTCATGGCCACGTCGGCGCCGATGAGCAGGACGATGCGCGCTCTCTTGTGGCTGCCGTCGAGGGCCTGGATGCCGCCGAGGACGTCGTTGATCTCGTGGTCAAAGTGGCGGAGGGTGTCGACGGTCCTCGTGTAGACGGGCTCGCCGGCTTGGTTGCAGCGCAGAGTTTCCCACGGGTCGACCATGATGCCGGTGCCGTCCTCGACAGCCAGGGAGCACATGGCGACGCGGTGGTGGGCGCGGGCCAGGGAGGGTTTGTTGTAGGCATCGCTGACCGGACTGAGGTAGCTGCCAACAACTTGGAAGGCCGTGTCTTGGACATAGCGCTGCGTCATCTCAAACATTTGCAGATGCAGGACGGTAATGGGCGAGAAACTGCCACAGGCGACGAGGACCACGGGGACTCTATCGAGGCTCGAGACACGGCGCTTCAGCTTATGGTGAGGAAAGGTGTAGGGCGCCGATAACGGCTCGGCCGGTGGCGTCTGAGTGGCCGGTGGTTGCTGCGGAACGGGCGCCATGTTCGGCGGTGTCAAAGAGTCCATCATGGTTGAAAATGCAAGGCCGGGAGGAGAAGAGGGGGAGGGGCGGGAGGGGGTGGTGGTGTGAATTGGGGTGTGGTTGTTGATGCTGTTGTTGTTCTTGGCTGTGCGTTCAAGGCAAGTAGGGGAAGATGACGATAAAAGAGCAGAGAGGTTAGTTAGGAGGGGGAGGGGCAGAGAGAGGGATTGATTGACAAAAACGGCATGCGAAAAATGAGGTAAGCAGTCGACAAGTCTCATCTGGCTTGGTAAGAGGTGGTACAAGGTACATGCACGGCTTACGGAACAGGGGGGGCCTACGGGCCTACTGTAGGCTGCCCACTGTAGGCTGCCAGGGCAGGGCAGGTGGTGAAGGGCGGCAGGGAAATCGCAAGCAGCCTATCCCGCATCTGACTTGATGAGCCGTATTTCCGCTTGCCTCGGACACGTGCAATCAGAGTGTCAGAGTGTCTCGCAGACAGTCATTGCAGCAGCTTCTTGAGCTACAGAAACGGCAATGCGACCAGAGCAAGCCGCATCTGGGAGAAACGGTCCCTGCCCCAGGCGTTGATGGGCCAACCGCCGATAGTGTCACCAGGACACACTCTGCCCTCCACAACACGGGCAAAAGGAGCAAGGTAGGCCGCGGTCACCATTCATGCGTAGGGCGAGTCATCATGGCAGGCGATGCACCGACTGCATCATACAGGTGCTCCAGGGACGGAAGCTCAGTTGACGCTTTCCCGGGAGACGCGCCGGCTCCAGCAGTTGGCAGGCCACGTACAGCATCATCGTCCTGTCGGCAGCCGTGTGCTCCTGGTTAAGGCCCGAACAGATGGACCTTCTTTTATGGATAGTATCAGCATGGCGAGAACGAGACTTTGACCGTGGTGCGTGTAGACACTGAGCGACCTTGGCGGTGCCGGCCTCGGTAACTTGTTCTTGGTGACTGTTGATATGATCGGACAAGCGATTTGGCCAAGTCTTGTGAGGCCAGGTCTACGCTTGGCCGATGGATCAAGCAAACAAAGCAGTTGGCCACGAGAGAGAAAAAAACAAAACAAGCCATGACACGATGAAAACAATCGAGCATGTCAAAGCATTGACGTGACGTTTATTGCTGAAGATTAAGGCCAGATGGGCGTGGCGGGGAATCCTTGCGACGTGCAGCCCCCACCAGATTCCCCCAGCCGAGGTCCTGGCTGTCATGGAGGGAAAAAAGAGACGCATTCCACGCTGCCCAATTTCTTCCTTTTACATGCTCCCTGCCCTTCGTCTCCCCCCCTTCTTCTTCCACATTGTCGCGACTCGGGTGCAGCCGCGGCAAGACGAGAAGAAGAAGCAGAAGAAGAAGAAGAAACAAGGAAAAGGAGAGCCACCACGGCTTGCCAACTTTCGGCAACGTGTCCTGGGCGCGTCTTGCACGGGCCGCTCGGCGAAGCTTGTGATCCACGACAACCGACGCTGCCAGCAGCGCCACGACGACGAGCTATTCCCTCGATTGCATCATCACCGACCGCTTCCCATCGTCGTCATTATCCTTCAGTCTTCTCGGTCCGGCCCGCGCCGAAATGGCGTCACCCGCGCCATCCTCCTCCGGCCCTCCTCCCACGCGCAGCTCCTCCTCGGCCGCCGCCCCCGTCGACCCCATCCTGCGCAACACGCTGCGCTACACCATCTCGGCCCGCGAGTATGCCGTCCTGCACAAGTACATCCTCTCGCGCTCCCGCGTCCTGCGCCGCAACGCCCCGGGCCCGGCCTCGGTCGACAAGGCCCTGGCTCCCGCCCGCGGCACCGAGGACCACAACGCAAAGGCCGTCCGCCATGCCCTGCGCGTCTTTGCCGCCACCTGGCTCGGCATGAAGGGCTGGGACGTGGTCGCCAGCAGGATGGGCAACAAGGAGTAAGTAGGCGCGAGACCGTGTCCCATCGCTGCGCTGACTGGCCGACTAGTATCACCTCGAGCGGCAAGAAGCAGCCCTTTTACAAGTCTCCCGCGCTGCGCCTCTCCCTCTCCCTCTCATCGATACTGCTCATCTACCGCTTCCTCTTCCGCTTCCTCTCTCGCCTGCGCGCCCACCTCATGGATCCCCAGGTCGAGCCCTTTCGCCGGCGCAACCCCCGCACCGCCGCCGCCTTGACGTCCCCCTACGCCCCGGCCGTCGGCGCCTCGCTCGCCGGCCTCGCCCTCGGCGTCTATCCGTCCCAGCAGATGCGCGTCTCCATAACCGTCTACATGCTCTTCCGCGCCCTCGACTTTGGCTGGAACGTCTGCGAGATGGAGGGCCTCATCTGGGGGTCCAAGAATGGCAAGAAGAGGGACCGCCCCTGGTGGTTTGGCAGCTGGTTGCTGCAGCCCCTGGCCTTTGGTCAGCTGCTGCACGCCTGCGTCTTTGACCGCGACTGTTTTCCCGAGGTTCGTCTCCGGCCACCCTTGCCAGGGCTTGGAGCTGACGGCCCTTTGACTAGTCGTACGGAAACTTCATCTTCAACAAGTCGTCGGCCTATCTGCGTGAACGTCCCAAGGACTGGCCCCGTCACGTCAAGTGGCCCAAGACGTGGGACATTGTCGAGAGCCTCGCCCAAATGGCCCGTCTAAACTGGCCGTACGCCCCTCGCCCCCCTGTTCCGTACCGCCATCCACTAACAGACTTTTGGCCGCAGGGCCTACATCTCGCCGACCCTGTTCCCCAACAAAGAGGTGCTCCCGCCCTCGCTCGAGACCGTCTCTCCCCTGACCTCGCGAGCCCACCCGCTCATCACCTCGCTCTCGTGCGCGACCCTTCACCCGTCGGACCCGTCCTGCCTGCGGACCTACCTGACCTTTTGGCTCAACTCGTTCCCGCCCCTGGCGCGCTTCTTCCTCGTCGTCTACTCGGCCCTGACCGTGGTGCCGCGCTTCAAGAAACTCTACCACTACCCCGTCGCCACCGTCCAGCGCGTCATCGCCCGCGCCCTCGGCATGTCGACGTTTGTCACGGGCGCCATCTCCACGGCCTGGGCTTCCATCTGCTTCTTCCAGGCGTACCTGCCGCGCCACGTGCTTGCCACCCAGCGCTTCTTCCTCGGTGGCTTCTTCGTTGGCCTGTGGGCGTGGGTCGAGCGCCGCCACGGCCGCGGCGTCTTCTTGCACAGCGCGCGCGCCAGCGTCGACAGCCTGTGGAAGGTGGGCGTCAAGCGCCGCTGGTGGAAGGCCATGCGCGGCGGCGACGTCTGGGTCTTTGTCCTGGCGCTCATGGTGACGGGCGTCGTTTACGAGCGCGACGCGCGGGCCATTCGCGAGGGCGAGTGGCGCAAGGGCGTCAGTTGGGTCCGCGGCGAGGGGTGGAGGGACTGGGGAGCAGACGGCGACAGCGATGAGGACGAGGAGGAGAGGAAGGACAAGGAAGAATGAGATGCTGTGGCCCAGGCTCGAGTATCGGAACCCCCCTTTGCTTTCATGGGCAGGCCCGAGTTGCCGCGTTGAGGTGTATTTGTACCGGGCAGGACTTGTATATTCCCCATGTCATGGGCTCTAATCGTACATAAATTGCAAGAAGAAATGGACGTCGGGAAAGCTGTATTCGTCGAGTGGCGCTACATGACTCTTGTGTTTCGTTCTGCATTCTTCTGCTACATACAGAGCGTTGACCACGCTGACCTGCCCCAGCACCTTTTAGGACTTGGACTCCCTCGATGGCATCCCTGCCTCTCGTTCTGTTTTCTGTCGAGCCGGACAGCGCTATCTTTCCCAACACACACACACACAGGCACACACAGGCACACACACTTACAGAACCAATGTAGGTTACGCAGTCTCGTCGCAAAAGCCGCAGCAACAAAGAAAAGCTCAGTCGAGCAAGTGGGAGCGCACCTGCTTGCCGGCGGGCATCTGCCAGTGATTCCTGACGGCGCCCCAGCTCTCCTCGCTATAGCCCTGCTGGACCTTTTTACAGGTGCGCAGCCCCCAGTCGGACACGGCCAGCATCAGGGAGCTCTCGAACATGAAGGCGCAGCTCCCCGTGCCGACCCTTGCGGGGGCGAGCGCGGCCTCGCGCGCGGCCTCGCAGCTCTCGGCGTCCGGGCCGTGGCCGCTCATGACGTTGTGCAGGCTCGCGCCGCCCGGGGCGAAGCCGCCCGACCCGGCGCGCTTGGCGTCGTAGTCGCCGCGGATCAGGCCCATGAACTCGCTCATGGTGTTGCGGTGGTACCAGGGTGGGCGGAAGGTGTCCTCGCCGACCAGCCACCGCGGCGGGAAGATGACGAAGTCGGCGACGGCGGTGCCCGCGACGGGCGACGGCGCCGTCAGCACGGTGAAGATGGACGGGTCCGGGTGGTCGAAGGAGACGGTGCCCATGGTGTTGAAGCGCCCGAGGTCGTACTTGTAGGGGTAGTAGTTGCCCTGCCAGGCGACCACGTCAAAGGGCGTGTGCGGCTGCGTCGTCCGGAAGAGGCCGTGGTTGAACTTGACGGTGACGACAAAGCCCGACGACGACGACGACGCCTCGGCCGTCGCGCCCGCCTCGTCGCCAAAGCACGCCACGGGCGCCTCGAAGTCGCGCGCGTTCGCCAGCCCGTTGGACCCGATGGGCCCCAGCTCCGGCAGGGCAAAGTGGCCCTGGTACAGCTCGAGGGCGTAGCCGCGCGCGGGCGCGCCGCCGACGAGGGCGACGCGGTACTTGACGCCGCGCGGGATGACGCAAATCTCCATGGGCCGCACCAGCAGCCAGCCAAACTCGGTGCGCACGTCGAGCGCGCCCTCCTGCGGCACCACCAGCAGGTCGCCGTCGGCCGAGTAAAAGGCCTCGTGCTCGCCCATGCTGCGCCCCGCCGTGTACACCATCATGCCCAGCCCCTGCTTGAGCGCCGCGTCGCCCGCGCCCGCCACCAGCCGCAGGCCCGACACGAAGTCGTCGCTCTTGGCCTGGTCGTGGTCAAACGGGTCCCACCGCAGCTGGTTGGGGATGTAGTGCAGCTTGGTGTTGATGCTGCTGCTGCTGCTGCCGCCGCCGCCGCCGCCCTCGGCCGCCTCGTCGTCTTTGGCGGCTACTTGGTACGGCGGGTGCGCGCACGAGGGCAGCATCCGGTACAGCCATGTCTGCTTGTTCTCGTGCCTCGGCGCGGTAAAGGCCGTGCCCGACAGCTTCTCGGCGTAGAGCCCGTACGGCGGCTTCTGCGGCGAGTTGTGGCCGATGGGCAGCGCGCCCTCGACCGCCTCGGACCTGTCCGTGTCAGTGCATGGCAAGGCCACGGATGAGCGACCAAGGGGAGGGAAGAGCGCCATACTCAAAGTGATTGTTGAAGCCGTTCTGATAACGGTACTTCTCCTTGGTCTCAAATTGCGTCACAGGCATGATGTCGGATCCTGGCTGTATGGATGGCTTCAGCTCGTTTGCGAGAAACCAACGTGGGAAGAGATTCGACGAAGAAAGGGTATGCAAGAAGACGACGACGACGAAGTACAGCAACAAGCCAAAGCGAAAAGGGCGCACGGCTGCTTTATTAAGAAATCAAATACAACACCCGCTCCCGCTCCCTCCCGAGACCAGCTTGCAAAGGCAGCATCGCCGTCGCACAACTGACTAAGGCCTCATGTGTCTGCCCCTCTCGCTCTCGGCTTCCCCCACGGCGGAATGCAAGAAGCTTCGGCTCGGAGCTGGCGGCGGGGCGAGGGGGCCGACAGTAGCCGCCAGGTCCCGGCCGGCCTCCTGACACAACTGGTTCCGCACGGCTCCCCTGCTGCCACGATTAGAAACAGCCGGCGAAACATGAAAATGCCAAGACGGGTGGCCTTTGCCCGTACAAGTAGATGCGCCTCAACCCCTGACGAATCTCCCATGGCGTAGTCGATGGAAAAACTACAAACTCTGCGGGAACGCCGACACGGCAGATTGCGTCAGAAGTCGACTTCGGCTGCAAAGCAGAGCGAGCACTTCCCCGACTCTGCAGCACAGGGCCAGCCCTCAACGTCCCCCTCTCGCCGTGGCCCATCTACAGTCAAACATATAGAGACACCACAGTCGGCACTGGGCGGGATTGCACGTACAACTGGGCGACGCCTTGGCCGTCGCCCAGTGAATTGAGGACCCAGCCGAGAGACTATCTAGTCGCAATATCTCCGGCGCCGACTCGCCACGAATCAAGCGAAGCCAATCGAGTTGAAGGAAGTACTGTAACAGATACCGGGGTTACAAGGCCAAGCTTACTCCTCTTCCTTCTTGTTCTTCTTCTTCTTACCGCCGCCACCAGAGCCTCCTGTGCTCGGCTGCTTTTGGAGGTGGACAACCAACCGCGTCCACGACTCCTCCTTGTCCCACTCGAACCCCGCCAGATATGCGCTGTCCAGCTCGTCGTCGGCCTAATGTCAGGTGTCAGCCGGTGAACCCAATGGCCCACGTACGAGACGGCCGATGCTTACTCTCTTCTTGAACGCCTTGTGGATGGCATCCAATGCGTCCTTAATTGTGACCCCCTTGAGGTTTCTTGCCGTCACCTCCATTCCTAGGGGGAAATGCAGGTCGATCTTCTTGACAGGCGGCTTCGTCAGGGGAAGCCTGAGCATGCTGGGATCGTCAACTGTCATGGAACTGGTGTTGATTTTCCTGTTGGGCCGTCATTGTCAGTGTCGGCTTGTGAGAAGCAGCGGAGACTGAGCATGACGATTGCCGGCCACTTACCAGCCCGTTTTTTGCGTCTCGATAGCAATTTCTAGCTCAATCCCTTCCTTTTCTGCACCGCGGTCCACGGGTCAGCATTGTCCACCTTGGCTAAAACAGATGCCAGAAACATGTTGACGGAAAGAGTGCATGTCGGTCAGGAGAGCTCACCTAGGTCGTTGATGTTCTTGACACCTGGCGCGCTGGAGCTTTGCCTCCTATGGCCCTTCTCCTTGGGCGGCGACGATGACAAGCCTTGGACGGCGGAGTCGACCTTGGTGAGCGGTTCAGACATGGTGCGAGGATCTTGTTGCACACGAGCGAGAGGCGGCGTGCTGGCTAGGTGAAGCTTTGTGTTAGCTCGAGTCGACGACTGATTTGAGTGATGAGCCAACCTTTGAGGGATGGAAGCTGGAAGCTTGTATAGATATGTGAGCCGAAACAAGGCTGTTGCTGATGGATGATGGAAGCTGAGAGAAGAGGAGAAGGAAAAGGAGAAGGAAGGGGAGGAAGAGGCGGGGGCGAGAAGAGGGGGGACGGCCTGTTATCCGTGGCCGGAGCAGGTGCCTGAGGTGTTCAGCAGAGAGCATGAAGGAAGGTACGAGGTAGGTAGCTTGGCCCCTTTCGCTTTCGTCAGACTGGGCGGGGTAAGTGCCACCCAGTGTCCACGACTGCCGTTGACTCTATGATCGCGTGACGGCATGTGTATTCGCGCGTATAGGTACCTCGATGCTTGGCTCGAGGGGCGATGGGGGCAGGTATGCGTACCGCGAGGCACGGAGAGGGCAAAGGTATCGACTACTGCCCCGTAGCGGGATACTTCATGCTCCGTGCCTGACGTACCATGGATGCGTGCTTCTGTGGACTAAGCTGGACGCCCGCCTTTGCAGACCTCCCAGCCGGTCCTCGGAGGGTCCAAGAGTGAGACCCGGGCTGCCCGCGCGGTCCCTCAAGAGCTTAGCGTCCCTCCTGCAGGACCACTGGCATCCGGGGTAAAAACCTGGGGAACCACGCCAGTGACCCACTGCAATGAGCCTGCTTGGAGACGAGCGTTTGGCCATGGACAAGGCGACAAAAGGAGAGGGATTGAATGGAGGATGGCTCGACGCCTTCAGGCATGGTGTACTGCGCTGTACAGTGCATCCATGTTGCACTACGCGCGCAGGTGTAGGAATGGCGTGGTGGTGGAAACTCAGTGCCACCCCTCCCTCCTCTACGGAGACTTTGACCTGAACATGCCATCTAACCTGCACTGTACTGTGCTGTACTGACTGCGCCAGGACAAGCCTGGCCGTCAGGTGACCCGAGTGGGCGTCTGTGCTCGGTGGGAACGGTTGGGAGCTGCTGAGACGTCTATAAACACTCCGAGGCAGACCCCAATGGGGGCTGTCGATTGGCTTCTCGTCCAATGACTGTTTGCGTGAATATTGCGCTCTGTAGGTGCATGGCTGTTTGTCGACCAACACGTTCGTCATCAACGCTCTTCCATGTCCGGCGCTCATGGAGCCCGGTATGACGATGCTGTCGCCCCGCGCGCCAACGGCAGCTAATGGCCGAGCGGGGCCTAGCAGGCGGAGACAGCGGGCCCCGAGCAGGCCATCGACAGGCTGATTTCCCGCAGCAAATCGCCTGACCCGAGAGCGCCTTGTCCCAGGTACCGTACAGTACCTACACAAGGACAAGGAGCACGAGCTGACTCGCATCGGCGTGTTTTCTACCTTTGGCAATATACTTTTGACCCTGGCAACCGTTTCTTCGTTCACGAAGAGCTTCAGTGCCAATGGGAAGCTTACATGGGTGCACAACCACGTGCAGTGACATGTTGCTGTGCCTGACAGCAGCAAAAGTGGCATGATGCAGCACAGTGCTTGCTGGACTGTACTTGAGCCTGGAACAACGAGATACCTGTACTCGGTACCTGCCTCGGTAGATATTGCAGGAGAACGAAGGCAGGGCAGGTACCATGGGCATGCTGGCATCAACGTCTCATCGAGGCCATCTCAACACGCCCTCAACGCTTCCCATCTCTTGCTCGCGACACCTTGGAGCACGCCCGAGAGCCCAGGTGTCCGTCTCCTCCCCCGTGGGCTCGAGCGTGATCGAATCACTTGGACGACCCGACGACGACACGCCCGACAAGACGCGATGCCTCGGCCTCCGAGTCCGCCGTCGGCCAGCAGTCTGCGCAAAACATGCCCTCACGCTTCGCCATCAGGGTCAATGCCCTCACTTCTCGATGCCGGTGACGACGCAAATGCCTGATCCGGTCTTCTGTGCGCGCGGCACTAGACGCATGGCCCTCCTGGCCAAGAATGCTTGTTGCGAAACGAGAGCGCCTGTCTCTACCAGGCCAAGTTTTTTTGGGTTCGCCCTGTCGTTCCTCCTATTCCTCATCCAGCACAAGCCCGCCGCCCTTGGATCTCGGGCCCTCTTTGTCAGCGGGACGCGCAATACATGGATACGTGCAACGTCAGCTCTCGCCTCTACTTGGTCCGACGAAATGAGTACAGATAGATGGCTGCCCATTGCTTCTCTTCTCGACGATTCACAAATGCTGCCCTCCATGACGATAAGACATGCCACCGCGGCCTGGCCTGCCTGACACCGTCGGGACTTCAGGGGTATCGCAATCCTTGGCCCTCAAGCCGCCCCTGCCTCCAACCTTTCCCACGCGCCTCGCCCAGCAAGCCAGACCCATCGAGCTTCAGCTCCCGCCCCTCATCGCCGGCGCCCTGCCCGCAGCATTTGCCAAGACCGTGGCCCATGCCCTCGACAACGCCCTCTTCACCCACTACTACCGTGGCGACCAGGACGTCCAGCTAAATCTCGACCGTGTCGTTGACCGCATCCTCGTTAATTTCACCAGACGGCTCTGGCATGAGCTGTACTACTTCTACCACCAAGCCTCCGATGCCGAGCACTCTCGCCAGGTCGCTTTGCTGTTCGAGGGCCCCATCCGCCAGATCGTCCTCGTTCTCAACGGTCCCGAGACGGCAAAGTGCCTCCTCGACCTTTTGGCCCCGGGCTTATCTCGGCGGCAGTCGACGTGGTCGTCCAGTGCCCGAGGCATAGATTTGCCGCTGGCCTTGCAGCTTCTCTGTGGCTACCTGCACAGGGAGAGACCGGCGCAGTTTCCCGGAGAGCCGCCCGACCAAGTCGCCCGTCTTCTTCACTCCAGAATCCTCACCGGCAACGCTTCGGCCAATCTCATCTCTGAAATTCGGACCGTTCTCTTGTCTTCGCATCATGTTCAGATGCATACTGCCGAGTCAGCCATCTGGAGTATCCTCCTCGTCAAGTGCCCCCGACCTCCCCCCGCCGATGGCTTTCGCGCCCTCCAGTTCAAGTACGCATGTCAATTGTTCGGGCCAATGGATGGCATAGGCGACCCGGAACTGGTCCGCATTGGCTCACTGCCCGCACTCACGGGAACTGCCGACGAATGCGTGTGCACGACTGTTTCCGACTATGTCAGCCATGTATGGCCGCAATGCGGCTTGAGTGTCTTGCATTGTCTCGAAGAGGCAGTGAGCAGCGCCTCACTTTCGGTCCACGGTCAAAGCCGGTCAGGAGTTGCTGTGTGGGATGGTGCAGACGAGGACCGCTCCACCTGCTCGGGACTTCGGCTCATTCATGTTGAGATAGAAGAGACGGAGATTCGGATGAGCGTGTCTGCGCGGATCCCTGCCATGATACAGGTATTCCAACAGATGAGCTGGACCTTTGCGACGCTCAGCGCCTCGCCATTTCCCGGCATGCTCTCTGAGTGTGCCGTCGACATCTCCAACTGGACTCACGACAACGACTCGGCACATGTCAACTGTGTCCTGTCACACAGGCCCGTCGCGCACGACGCCTGCCTCCCCTGGCTGCGACAGATGCAAGGCGCGGCGATTGCCAGTGGGTTTCCCATTCAAGGCCTGCCGACGCAATAAGTACTATAGATGACGGGCATGCGCGGGTTGAGCGCGCAATGCTGGTTCCATTCTCCCTTTCTGGGCTGAATTTGGGTTGGTCTTGAAGTCTTGTGGCTGCTGTAATGATAATGATACCCGCGCATAATGAATCTTGGATTCTTTGGTCCATCTACTTTGTCAAGAGTCTTGGCGTTTACATCTGTTGCCGTCAAGCATCCTTGCCCTTGACGCCTGGGTCGAAATCTAAAGTTGGCTGACGGCAGATCTAGGACGCTGTACGTACAGTTGTTCCTTTGCCTAACACGTCGCCGCAGAACCGAGGTAATTAATCATCCCTCGTTCCTGTTGGCGCCAAGGCCCCTAACTGAAGTGGCTCCAGACCGGTGCCAAGGCTCGGCGGCGATACAGCCGCTCGTGGTGCCGGTGTGGAGTGCGGGAACCCCGGCCGGTACTGGAGGCCCAGTTGCATCGCGGGCGCGGGCCGGTGTCACGCCCCACTCTAGGCGGCCCGGCCAGACGACGAAGGGCGCGGCCGGGACGGTGGATGAAGTTGGGGGATGAGCCCCTTGTTTCTCTTTTTCTCACAACGTCGAGATAAAAGATTGATCGGCTTGAGATGTGGTTGCGCCCGGGTTGGTGCGAAGATGGAACAGGCGGTGGTTCTCAAGGGCAACGTCGATGGCCGGCGCGGCGACCTCGCTCGGTGCCGCGCGACGGTCGTTGGCAACGCGGCGCGCAGCCACTGTTTTCGTCTCCGGGTGTGCGTTGCTAGGGCTTGGAAATTGGATGGAAGAGTGTCCGCGGTGCAGCGCGTGAGGCCCAGGGGAAACACGGAGACGCGAGAACGCGCCTCGAGGGTTGCCAAGTGCAACCGCCCCGGCACTTGAACGAGTTCTGTGCGCACTGCATCTCTCTCTCTCTCTCTCTCCATCTCCCTCTCTCCCCTACTCAGGCATTTCTCCTCTTCTGTTGCACGTCAACACTTGCCTCGATCCAAACCCTCCTCAAACAAGAGCAGCCCAACGCTCTACATCCATTTCTTTACACCCTCGTCTCAAGCATCGGGCTGCCTGGACCGCGACTTCTACCCTGAGCCATATTTAACCTTTGTTTACTTCTTCTTCAGAGGCAAGGTGAGGAGGATATGAGAATCCGCCTCTGAGGACCTCTGTTTCTCGCCTACCACATCGCCTTGCATTCTGCCACAGCAAGACGTAGTCAGTCGTTTCGCTCTGCCCACAAGGTTCTTCCCCCTGCACTACTCAACTTCACCATGGACCCGCCAATGGGGCTCCCAAGCCTGGGGCCCAAGTCCCCAGGCCAAGGTGTTGAAAGCCCCGGCAAACAGCATCAGCCTAAGTCTTTGACCCCAAGGCGCGTAGCCAAGGTGAAAGAGACCCCGGGCCTGGTGGCATTGCTCTCTCCTGGCGGCGGCGGCAGCAGCAACGACGTCAATGCAAAGGCGACCCTGACGGTTACGAACAAGGACGGGGAGAAGATGAAGAATGGGGAGGGAACAGCCAAAGCAGATGAGATGGGGACCAAGCCGGGGCAAGCCCACGGCCCTGGCCATTCGGCCGCTATCGAGGCAGAGAAGATCTCGACTCCAGTGAGGTTGCCCCCCCGTCGTCGCGGCGGCAAGAGCGGCAAGAGGTCGAAGAAGACTCGGGCTAAAAATAGGAAGAAGAGGGCGTGGAACCGCAGCGTCCACAGCCTTCCTCAATCGCCCGCGGTTAAGGCGAAGCGAGACTCTGCTCCGGCGACACTGCCCCCCGGGGGTAAGGACGGCGGCGGCAGCAGCAGCAAGGCAAAGAAAACGCCGACAAAGAGCAAGATTGACGAGGCGAAGAAGAAGAATGAGGACAGGGACAAGGGCAAGACGGGGATCAGCTCGGAGCAGATCCGCGGCCTCAAACCATCGCTCGCCACCAAGGCAGACCGAGACTCGGCTCCAGCGGGACTCACTCCCCAATACCGCGATGGCGACAAGGCCAATGCAACGACGGCGACGAAGAAGAATGCGGAAACCGTCAAAGCGGCGGAGTCGCTTTCCGAGCAGGTCCGCAACCTCGAGGAGCAAGAGGCGCGCCAGCGCAAGGGCAAGAAAGTCCTCGCCGCCGAGAACCGCCGCCTGGGCAGGGAAATATCCGATCTCAAGCTCGACTACGCCAGCGTGCTCTCGACGGTCAACCGCCTCGAGGCCATGAACCACTCGCTGCACTCGATCCGCGACCAGACAGCCGATAAGCTCGACGCGGCCAACGAGGCGCTGCAGGTGGAGCGCGCGCGCGCCGACGGCCTCGCCGTCGATGTCAAGAGAGAGCGCGAGGCGTACGCGCTGCTCGTCGAGCGGGAGAAGCGCGGCACGTTTGAGCTGCGCAAGTTCCGCACCGCCCTCGCCGCCGCCTTCAAGTTGCTGCCGTCGCTCGAGGACCAGGTCTCGTTCCGTGGGCTTGTGGAGCGGACGGAGCGCCATCTGCGTGAAAAGATGGCGGGGGAGGGCGCGGGGAAGGGCACTTCTCTTGTCCCGGGCGATAAGTCGGCGCGTGCGTTGAAGAGCAAGCTTGCTGCCCTGGACGGTAAGGGTGACGAAGTCAACGACGACGTCAAGCCCAATGTCAAAACGCAGACAGCCGCTGGCCCCGTCGGCGCCGCCAAGCCGGAGATCATCGAGGCCAAGGTGGTGACGGCTAAGCCAGCTCAAGCATCGGCCCCGGAGACGACCCCGGCAGGACAACAACAAAGCCTGAAGAGGGAGCGCCAGGAATCGCCTCTTGTCGTGTGGAGCGATGACGAGTTCGACGTGCCCCTCGCCAAACGTCGCCGGAGCGTCAAGTAGTCGCAGCCCTGTCGACCAAGCTCTACTTGCGAGCCCAAGAGCCGCTGCTTGTATTGAAGTCGGAGCGCTCCGGAGTGGCTACGTTGCATGTCGCTGGACAAATGTTTTGAGGGGAGGGGGAGCTCAAGGCTCCGTAGATGGAATCAAGGAACGCACGGGAAATAGTCATGGAGGCTTGGCGGATGACGCGCTGTCTGTAATGAATAAAAATGAGACGTATTCTGTCCATCCTTCCCGCAGTCTCGTGAGCCTCAACCTGCGTTCTAGCGGTACCTCGGTGGTAAAGAGATGAAGGAAACGGGCCCGACAGTGATGCCACCGATAGCCCGACGGCACAGCCTTTCCACGCGCCTCCCATCGAGACGAAGCCGCAGTCGAGGCAGTGCTTTTCAACCAAACATGCAGCTGATTCGCATGCTCCCGAAACGCCTGTGCCAAACATACATAGACCGTTTTCTCTGCGCTCAACGAGACATGTTGACGCCAAACTCAAGTCGTCGCCACCGCCTGGCAGATCACTGAGGGTTGTTTCCCAGACCGGAGCTGGCGGCGCTCTCTCCCACCTTGACCTCGTCTTCGGGGACGCCGACGCCGAGGCTGGCAATGCTTGTGGTGCTCTGGCTCGTCATGCCGCGCCCTCGTTCCGGTCTGGGGGTGGGGCCGTCATGGGGCCCGACTACAGGGGTCGTGATTGCGGCCGTCATCGTGCTCGCGGCATCGCTCGGGACTCGTCCCGCGGCGCTGGCCCGTCTGGACTGCACCATGCGTTCCAGGTCCCTGATTCGCCTCTTCAGGCCCTCGTTCTCCTTTTTGGCAGCCTCGAGTTCATGCCGATAAAAGGCCGTCTCTTCGTAGCGCGACGTGGCGGGCATGAGGCTGGGGCTCATCTGCTCGGCCAAGCTTCCGCTGCCCGGCGTGGCGGCGACGGAGCTCATGGGCATAGACGCGGGCGGAGGGACTCTTTGCTGGTGAAAATAGCTGGACGGGTCGATGGAGCTTGTTTGGGGCCCCGGAGAGTTGGTCTGGCTCCTTCTCGAGGCGGAGCTGTCCTGTCGTGACAAGGGCAGGGTCGGGCGAGGCCTGGCTTCGTAGGAGGAAGCGAGCTGCATGGAAGGGATATGGGAGGTTGAGGACGAGTTGCGGTGGTGACGGCGGGCGGTGGGGATGCTGAAGCCGGACCCGGTGAGCAAGGACGAGTCGGCGACAGGCTCGTGTGTCGACGCGGTGGCCGAGGTGGAGGAAGTGTTGGACACGACCGAGGCATTCTGGGCGGCACGGAGCAAGGAGAGTTCGCGCGTCAGGCGGTTCACCTATTCCTGTGTCAGCTGTTTCGATCTTGACTAGGGAGTGGGATAACGTACCACAGCCTCTTGCTCCTTTTCCAACTGCATGTGCAGCTCCGAGGCCGTCAGTGGCCGTGGATGGCGCAGAGGCCCGGGGCCGGGACCGACGCCCGAGTCTGGCGCAGAGGGAAATGGAGGCTGGGAGCCAGAGGGCTGGGTCTGGCTCTGGCTGCGACTGTGGCTGCGGGCATGGCCGCCGACGCCCTGGTTGGACGGCAGAATATTGAGCGAGGGAGACTGGGGCACGGGCGGCGGAGGCATCGTGTTGTGCGAGGAGCGTCGACGAGACGCGGCCAGTGAGTATGGCGAGGGAGGGACCGAGTTGAGGTCGGGCATGATAAGTAATAGGCAGAGAGGCGGTGCTTGTCCGAATTGAGATGGACCCTTGTCCTCTTTTTTGGGGGGAGGGGGGCAGCCGTTGTTCCTGTTGTTACTGTGAAAGTAACTGCAGGTGCTGAATGAGGAACCAATCACCGCCCCTTGAGACGTGGTCGGGGAGAAGGGGAGGAGAGAAGAAATGGGGACAAAGAAAAAAAAGGGATGCTATCCAGAGAGTCCAATGTCCAGTCAAAGGGTCGAGACCTCGTGCCGATGCGACGTTGATGCCGGCCCTCCACCACACGGCCACCACAGGGGGCCCTAAGCACCTAACTTACAGTGGGCGGAGGCCCTGCCAGTACAGTGCAGCGCAGTGGGGTGACAGTGCTGCCAAAGCGGGGGAGCTGGGTGGCCAGAGTGGCGTCCATGCCTTGTACCGCCTCTGAGCTCGCAGCACCAACGCTGCTGCTGCCAGGGGGAGGAGGCATGGTATTGAGGAAGTACAGCACTGTATTGCATACCACGCCTTACCGAGTCGACTGCGATTCCTGATTATCTGTACTCGCCAGAAACACACAAAGTCCAGCAAACCTTCCCAAAGGCAGCCTGCTCCACCAACCCTAAACCCCCCTGCTCCTGTCGCTTCGTCATCTTGACAGCATCTCGATTAACCTCGGCGCCGTGTGCCCTGCCCCGAAATACATGCAGAAATACATCTGAAAATGCAATGGATGGACAAGTGATGTAACCGGCTCGCCATGACGACATCGACAACCTCCAGCATAAAGGCTCTTCCTCTTCCTCTGCACAAGCATCAGCACTGTTCCATCATCACCACCATCCCGCGCTCAAGGACGATACCAAGTTAAATCCCCGTCACTCTGTACAAGACACGTCAGCTGCTGCCACCCGTCTCAACTTCTGCACCCTCTCTAAACCAAGCCCACCATGCCTGAAGGTGCCGAGTCGCCGCCGCCCGAGCGCCAGACGGGTGCCCAGCTCCACGACCCTCCCGCGTCCGGCCATGGAACCGACTCGGCAAAGGGCAAGGACAAGATCATGGACAAGGAACGCCAAGGCTTGCAGTCGAACCCCAAAGGCCCCATGGATGACTCTCTCGAGTCAAAGTTCTCCAAGAAAGAAGGCAACTGTGCGTGACGATGCGAGACAGCACAGAATAGCCACAAGCTGACCCGATTACAGAACCCTCAATCAACTTCACCCGATGCCATAACAAAAATATTGATGGGATTGGTCGTTATGGACGGAAAACCAAGTAGAATACCTCAATAATACATGTGCAAAGAACTCGTCGGTCACACTCACTCACATTGATGTCATCGACGTCATTTCAAGGCGTTTCCTATCATCATTTATCCATTCTTCGTTCGCCCATAACTATCACCGCTTAGCCGCGCACTTAACCAGTTTTCTCGTCGACAGCCTTGACTCCCGGGACAGGGTCGGTGGGATTGATCGGCGCCGGGTTCATGTTTCCCGTTGCCGGCTCTCCAGTCGTCGACGACTCCTGGCCAGCATTGGCAGTCTTCTCCTTCTCCTTGCCAAACACCCTCTCGAGACCGGCGGCCTTGTAGGCGCTGCCGCCGTGCTCCTCCTTCTTGAGCTCCGCGAGACGCTGGGCTTCGGCGTGAATGTCCTGCACCTGGCGGGAGCCGTTTGTGTAGAAGTTGACAATCTTCTTGCCCGTCGGGGTGTTGCTGGCCTTTTCAAAGTAGGTGCTGATGCCGGTCAAGAAGGTGTTGGCGCGCTTGGTGATGCCGTAACTCTGGTCGGTGGCCTTTGCGCGGTCCGAGGCATGGTACTTCTTGTCGAGGTTCTGCAGCGTCGTAACAAAGCGGCTGGAGACGCCGTGCTTCTGGTCGAGCTCGATGGCGCGGTTGATGGCAACGTCGCCTACGACGTAGCCGTGGGCGAGGTACTCGGCGAGGATCCGGGCGCGGGGCTTCTCCTCCTGCGTGATCTCGTCCGATTCACGCTCGGTATTCTTGGCGTAGTGAGAGGCGTCGTCGTCGGTGACGCCGCTGGCGCTGGTGACGGCGATTTCGTTGGGGCCGAGCTTGGTGTTGTTGAGTAGCAGGGCCGTCTTCATGGCCGTCTCCTTCTCAAACGTGACATCGGCCGTCTTGGTGTTGCCTGACGAGGAGACCTGGAAGTCGGCAATCTTGCCGCTGGTTTTTATTCTCGTCAGCGTGAGAGCTCTCTGCCTGGGGCTGAAACGAGAAAGAGGGGTAATGGGAGTTGAGGGACATGTAGAGCGCGTGTGCATTTGCGTCGAGGAAAGGGAGCGATTAGATGGAAGGCTGGCTGGCCTTACCAGAAGCTAAAGAAATCCTTTACTTCGGAATCCGTGGTTGAGCCATCGATGTTCTTTACGTGGACGGTCGATTTATTGGCCATGATCGAGGGATGTGAAGGGTTCTGGAGGAGCAGATGAAAGTTTGGTGGGGTACAGAGAGGGGAGGAAGCAGGTTGGTGAGATAGAGGATGGAAGAACTGAGCGTTGTAGTGCGATGCAGGCTTTGTGCGAGCGGAGGTGGGAGCAGCTGTTGTTTTGTTGCTGATGCTATCGGCTCGTGGGCTTTGTCGCCAGATGTTCTTTGAGGGGCAAACTGAGGGGGCGACGTCATCGTGGAGTGACGGCGAGGGAGGGGGAGGCGGCCGTGGCTGAGCACCAGGGTGCTTGCCAAGTTCTTGCGGCGTGTGCTATGTACCTACCAAGTACAGTGGGACTGATTGTGCGTACAGTACGCCCCCGGGGGCGCTTACCGACTTTCCCTTTATTACGGGCACACACAGGACGCCTAGGGGGTTTCCTGGCCCTTTAGCCTCAGCTTGGCTTTGTACCCGGCGTACGAGTGGCTTTCGGCGCAACTGACTTTCCTGTACTGTGCTCTGGCCGGGAACCTTGCACCTTGCTGTCGGTACGAAGACGCAACCTCGACCCAATAGCACGTGCCACAGCTTGAGCATTTGCTCAACAAGGGCTCAAAATTTTGCCCCCAGACAAAAAACGCTGGCGTCAGCAACACGCAAGCTCCTTCACATGTCTACATTCCTGTCCAAGCCATCCTCATCTACTGACGTGTCTCGCCAGCGAGCGAGCGAGCGGCGACTCAGAGCTCCTGGCCCCACCATGTGCGCGGCGAACCCAACGGATTACACACAGTAAACGAACGAACGAGCCTCGACTCCCGGGCGATCCACTTGAGCTCCGGGGTCCGCTCCGGGGTCCGCTCCGGGTCCGCTCCGGCCCGCATCGACGTTGGTGGTGTGCGGAGCCGTTCTGGCAATGGCACAAAGAAATCATGGCCCGTCACCTTGCCCCGGAAAACGTCGCCTGACCGATGCTGCGCCCGTTTGCCCTTGGCCCTGCATAGCCTGAGGAAAAGATTGACCTCATCTGTAGAAGGAAGTGGCCGGTAGATGTGGCATCTGGGTCTCACCGCGTCAACAGCATTTCCAAGCTTCGACGGGCAGGCTTCGACGGGCAGGCTTCGACGGGCAGGATTGCATAGTTGGTTCGTGCCTGGCCAGTTTCTGATCCAGGCCAAGATGTCATTATCCAGGCTCTCTTTATGCCAAGGTTGAAGTGCTGGGGAGCAGGTGGGTTCGTCGTGGTACTTATGCTAGACTGACACGCAGCCCAGGCCGAGGACAAAGGCCGCCATTGGCCAGAGTCCAAGGGAGACGGGCCAGGGTGGCATCTTGCAGCCGCATCCGCCTGCAGGTGCCACCAACGTCAACTGAAATGTACTTGCCCATGACTGGTGACAGCTCTCCTCCTCCTCCTCTCCCTCCCTTCCTTGCCTCCCCCGCTCACCATCTCCAGTGCTTCTCCGCACGGCACGCTCTTCTGACGCATCTCTTCCAGCAATCTCGTCCTTCTCCGTCGCCTGATCGCCACCTTGCATCTTCCTGCCGTGAAGTGCGACGCTGCATCCATCGACGATAGCGCGCCCAGACTTATACACCGCTCCCCAGCCACCTTGGCACCCCCCCGGCCGACTTTGATCAGGAGAAAGGAACCTGATAAGAGGCGCGCGTTTCTTCTCCCAGTGTTTGTAACCAGCCTCCAACTCAAGCTCGACACGTGCTCGTCTTCCAGGCACCAGTTTTCCGCCACGGCCTTGTTCGACCGACAGGACCTTCTCTCCCTCCATCAATGAAGGCTCCGCGCCGGCACGGAACATGGCTGCCTTCACCGCCCGCTACTCACACCTCAACGAAGAAAAGGTGCTCAACTTCATCTGGGTCGGGCTGCTCAGCGTCGAGGTCTTGATGATTGTCGGCGTCGCCGTAAAGGCCATCGCCCGCCGCCTGAGCCGCAAGCCCGGGGCGGTTGCGCTGTGAGAGGCGCCCAGTCGCGAATTCGCCGGGAGCACCGCCTGTCCCATGCCTCATGCCCTGATTTTGTCTTTTCCCCGGCGCTTCATGTTGGTTGACACAGCGGAATGGCGTCAATGCTCGTTATCCTTGCACCCAGCGCTTGCCTCATCTTGCTCCCATGTAATCCTCGTGGGCGAGCCTTGATCTCAACAGTTTTGTTTCCAGTTGGGAAATCGCCGGATACAATATTTAATAGGCGATTTATTCTTCGATATCTTCCATATTTAATAGGCGAGACACTCTTCGACATATTTTCTGGCTGGCTTTGTCGACGGAGGGCCGAAAAACCAAGGGGGGAAGGAAAAGGAACCATGAGTGCCGAAAAGGGAGACTCTTACGGACACACTCTTAAAAGCCGTTTATGGTCCAGGGTATACGCGTACACACACACACACACACGACCTCCAAAGAGCAACAACTAATATAGCGGCAAGGTCCCTTCGGTCTGGGCCAGCGCTTGCTCCAAGATGCCGACACCCTCCTCCATCTGGGCGGCCGTGACGGTGATGGGCGGGGCGATACGAAAGACGCCGCCGTAGCTCGGGTGGCTACTCAGATTGGCCCAGAGGCCGAGCTCGTAGGCCCGGTCGCCAATGGCCGAAGCCAGCTCCGGGGCGGGCGCCTTGCTGTCTCGGTCGCCGACAATCTCGACGCCGGCCATGAGGCCGCGGCCGCGCACGTCGCCGATGCAGCCGTAGCGCGCGCGCAGTCCTTGCAAGCCGACGTGCAGGATACGGCCCATGCGGCGCTCGTGTTCGACGAGGCCGTCGCGCAGGACAATCTCGAGCACCTTGTCGCCTACAGCGGCGGGCAATGGATCGTTGAGGTGCGTCGTGTAGAAGAAGAAGCCACGCTCGGCCGAGAGGCGGCCAATGTCGTCGCTGGTCACGACGGCGCTCAACGGCAGGCCGTTGCCGAGCGTCTTGGACAGCGTCAGGATATCCGGCACGACGCCCTCGTGGTGGATGGCCATGAGGTCGTCGCACCGGCCGATGCCCGTCTGCGCCTCGTCGACGATGAGCAGCATGCCCCGGGCCTCGCAGTGCCGCTTGAGCGCGGCGAGGTAGCCCGGCGGCAGGATATGCATCCCGGCGGAGCTTTGGATGCACTCGATGATGCACGCGGCCAGCGACCCGCACTATTGCAGGTCCACCATACGCCATCCGTGCTCCAGCTCCGCCTCCCAGTCGTACGAGCCGTCGGGCCGGCGAAAGACGGATCGGTAGGCATTGGGCGCTGGGAGCATGTGCGTTCCCGGCATGAGCGGCCCGTGTCCGGCGCGGCCAAAGTGGTACTGCACGGCCTGCGCCTGCGCCGTCATGCCGTGCCACGAGGCGCCGACGCCGACGATCTCGAACTTACCCGTGTACACCTTGGCCAGCTTGATGGCCGCCTCGTTGCTCTCGCCGCCGGTCGAGAGGAAGAGGGCCCGGTCAAGGCCCGGCGGCAAGGCGTCGCACAGGCGCTCGCCCAGGGCCAGGACGGGCGGCGACAGCATGCCGGAGACGAGGTGGTCGGGGTGGCGCGCGTGCTCGCGCATGACTTGGACGATCTCGGGGTGGCCGTGGCCCAGCAGGCAGGACATCTGGCCCGACGTCCAGTCCATGACGCTATGCCCTGACGCCGTGTAGATGTATAGGCCGCGTGAGCCCGTGATGACGTCGCGGTGGAAGCTGGACCCGTAGCAGAGCAGGTATCGTTCCGCCTTGGCCCGCAGCTCGTCTTGGTCCAGCCCCTGGTATAGAGTCGGCGGGGGCGCATGCCGCCCGGGCTGGTTCGCTGCTGTTGATGCGGGGGTCATGATTTCGAGCGGCTCTCCGGGCTCGGGGGTTGGAGGACGAGCAGTGTGTCGGAGGGGATAAACTGTCCCTTATATACAGCCACCTCCTGCGATGGAGGCATGGCTCCCGGTGCCGCATCTCCCCCTCATCCACCCGCCTTGGTGTGTATGCAATTGGCGCGACATGGGGCGTGACCACCATGATGATTGTGCCGCGGCGTCGATGGAAGCCGAGGGGACGATGTCGGATGCTTCCGCTCTCGGGTCCAGGGTCCCCTGTCTGGCCTGCTGTCAGTGGCCAGAGGCGGTCGAGAATTGCCTCTTTGGGCCGTGGGCCAGCGGACGTCTCCGCCAACAGGCATGTGTTGTGAGCACAGAGCCATCAACAACCCTGCATCATCGCCAACGAACCACGGCTGCGTCTTACCCGCCTCGCCAAGAACTCACCCCATCCTTGGCACTGCTACACCGGCTTCTCGACCACCACGGTTGATTCTCCGGCCCTGATGCTTTGTACTCATCGGTGACATATCGTGCTGGTTTTCAAAGCTCGACGAGTCATCCATCGGCCTCGTCATCCCCCCTCCACCACCACCAGGAAAGCCCGCCGAGGGGACGGACGGCCTCGCCGCGTCCCTGACTCTGCCTCCCTCCATCTGACCCGTTCCCCCGGATGCCTGGCGATCCGGCTCTTGGCCGCACCAGGCGAGGAGCAGATGCGCCTCCTTTTTTCTTTTCTTACGAGCCAGTCTCCATCGATTGTGCGCGGCATGCCCAGTCTCGACCCCCTGCGATGATGCACAGCTGCAGCCCCAAACACCGCCCGGAATAAACGCCCGTCGTCGATTTTATTTTTATTCTATAGACGCCCGGTACGTTTACTCGGCCAATCGGTGAGAGTACGGATGCTGCTTCTCAGAACAAGAGCTATCCATCTCATGGCCTCCCGTCAGGGCCAAAGTGTCTGAACCGCTCCTTAAAAGACCCTTGACCCAACTCACCTGTATCTTCTCCCAGACACACAACGAACTTGCCCTTGGCACCCAAAATCTGCAAATCTCAGACACATCTGTCTACTCCGGCGAGCCAGCATGCTCTTCGTCACTCTCCTCCGACCCATCGCCGCTGCCGCTGCTCCGGCCCTCCGCCACGAGCCGCCATCCTCCCTTGACGCCGTCGCCCACGTAGACGAGCATCTCCCGGCAGCACTGCCCCCGCGCGAGACGAGTGCCTACGCAACCTGGTTCGTCTCCCCTTTGTCGGCCCCTCGGCGAGGAAATATCGACTGATACCCCCGGCCGTGAAGCTTCTTCTCATGCGTCGGCCCGCCTTTCCCAGTTTGCCAGTGTAGATTCAACCGCAGGACGCACAGATGCTCCAAGAGAGGCTGCAGGCGCAGGTGACCTCTGTCAGCAGATGAGTTTGGTCCCTGGGGGGGTGGGCGGTATTGGATAACTGACGGGGCCTTACCATCAATATCGATTTCTGGCAACGGGGGCATGGCACATTCGAGAGGCATAACTGTACTCCTAGGTACAAGGACGAATCGCAGCATGTATCAGTCCCTGAAAGAGAGATAGCCCGTCTCACGCAACCGTGAGGACACTCCTCCTCATCTCGCCCCGCGATGCCTCATCCCCCCTCGCGCTCTCCAGACCGCGCTACAAGAGTCGCGTCATCGTCGTCGTCATTGCCATCACGCCCACCCAATCCCATCACAGCCCTCTCCCCCCAGCTCTCCAGCATCCGCAGCTTCCCCCGGGCCCGTGCAAACTCGTCGACCAGTACGCGCTTCTGTGCCGCGCTGCGCCGCATGGCGGTCCGCAGGAGCTTCATCACGCTCCGCACGTGGTCCCTGTTGTCGCCGTCGCCGCCGTCGTCGTAGTGCTCGGCCTGCGGCCGACAGATGTCCTCCCTCCATCTGGCAGCCATGCTTTCCATCTCGTCGATGCGCCGCCCTGTGCGCCGCAGAGCCTCGAGCGCGCGCCGCAGGACCGGTGCCTCGAAGCGCAGCCGCGTGCCCGGGACCTGGCCGCCCCGCGGGAACCGCCCTTAATCGAGAACCAGCCGCGCCGGCCATTGGTTCTCCTTTCCGCCGCCGTCCCCCCCCTTCTCGCCGTTGCCGTCCCCCGTAGCTTGCATCGCTCTCGGAATCATGATTTGCTCGTAGCTGTGAAACAGCACCAAGCCCCAGCACGAGCCCGGGTCCACTCACAGGTACGTCCTGGCCGCCGCCCGGCAGCACCCGTGGTGCTCGCAGCGCAGCCAGCGCTTGATGTGGGCATCGCGCCGGCTCCCGCACGCCCTCGGCTGCCCATAGCTGTCGACAGTCTTGGCCTGCCCGTCCGATAGGAGCGGCCGCGCATCGCAGCGCATCATGTGGGAGACGGCGCGTAGCACATCTGCTGTCTCGCCTTGTCCACACCGTAGGGGGAAAGATGAGGTTCGATGCGGGTTGGAAAAGGGCGAATGGCACTGTTGGGACGCCGGCATAGATACGTAATGCCGAGAAAGAGACATATATATGGCCTCGACACCTTCTGATACTCAAGAGTCGAGCGAGGGCGCTTGGGGAGGAGTGGGAGCTGCCTCCAAGTCAGCAGACGTATTGCCCGCCTACCCTCACTGCGTCTCAGCGAGACTGATTATATGCGCTTTCGATACACTCGTCAAGAGCCCCAAGGAGAGTACGGCCTGGGTCGACGTGTGACGAGGCGATGCTGCTGAGCATGACCGTGTCCGTTTACCATCACGGGCAGGAAAACAGTATGGTGTAATCGACGGCCCCGAGGTCGGAAGAAAGAGGGTAAATTGGTGAACTGGCTCAAAAGCAGTCAATTTTGCTTGAGCCTTTCGTGATAGATAGAATGATCATTATATCCGAGCCACAGATCCGGGCATTCGATGCACCTCCGTCTTGCGACATCTAAAAGTCAACAAATGCGCCCAGCGCCCGATGCAAGTCACATCGCCAAACCTCCGTGGTCCTTTCTCAAAACATATCCCGGAGCTGAGAAAACACAGTTCCGTCCGCGGCAAACATACTTTCACCAGACTCCGGGGACGTCAACTCGGAGTGCGCTGGAAGTTGTTCCTCGCCTGGCTCGAGCTGGAACGCATTGAGGCCCACGTATCCTTCAAATATCCTCGACAGCTCATTCTGGAGCTGTTTACCATTCTGCCGCAGCTGTGGCCCCTGCACCTGCTGCTGATGCGTCGGTATCGACAGGCTGGGGAATGGAGCCTCCGCCGCCGGGGGCGGATCCAGGTGACCCCGGGCCAGGCCAATCATGCCCAGCGCCGCCGAGGAATGGGCGTCATCGTCCGGGTTCAGCCCGAAGCGGGGTGCCACGTCCTTGAGCGACTTGATGGTGCGCCAGAGACGCTTGGAGATCCAGCTCTTGGCCGACAGGTCCTTGACCAGGTCGAGGGCCATATAAAACTCCTCCCGGCAGACGGCGCTGAAATGCAAGGGCGCGTGAACCGAGGCCAGGAAGACGACGGCTATGGCAGAGGTCAGGAACTGATGGTAGAACACCTGCATCCTGCGGTACAGGTTGGTGGTGCTGTTGAGGTGGTTCAGATACTGTATCGTGTCCTTGGCGAGGTCGACGACGCGCCGCGCCTGCTGCAGGTTCGACATGATGCTCGTCGCGCTGTAGAGGATGGGCGTGTACAGCCATATGCGAATCTTTGGCGGTCAGCCCATCGCCCGCCGGAGATGCGACGGATCCTGCCGTCTTGGCTTACCTGATTCAGCCTCAGATATGTCCATATCCTCAACCGCTGGAGATTGTACGACGGAGTCGAGGTTATCTGCTTCTCCTTGTCCCAGTTGCGCACCTTGACCTCCTCGGGTATCGTCTCGTACCACTGGAGGATCTCGCCATCGAGGTTGTCAATCTCCTCTTGCCGTAGCTCGCGCGCCAACACGGGCCCAAAGTGCGACACTTGGCGCCAAACTTTTGCTCCTAGGCGAGAATACGTTATCATGGCAACGAGGAAGGGATACTCGTCCTTTGAGTAAGGGTGTTTGAAAGTCAGATCCGGCGTACATAGGAAACACGTCTGGGCCATGTCGCTCACTCACCGGAAAAGGCAGCTGCGGGTCAATCTCGTCGTCCTGCACGGCAAAGGGCAGGCCGGTCGCAAACCCCCATCGGCGGTCCAGCACATACGCCGACCAGAAGCTGTTGAGCGCGTTCTTCCTCTCCGACTCATCCTGTATCCTCATCAAGCCCCTCTTTTGATGGATGCCTAGTTCCACGCAGAGCCTGACCACTTGCCCCATGACGCGCCAGGCGAGGACCTCGTCGTTGGAGAGGAATCGGTAGCCGGCGAGAAGGCACAGAAGCGGTAGGTTGGCCACGTCGCTGACGTCGGCCATGAGCTTCCGGTTGACAACGACCTCCATGCTCTCGTATAATTGGGCTGCCTTGTCACTGTGACCGTGTTCCTCAACGGCCAGCGCGCAGCAAAGGATCATCTTGAGTTGCAGCGTCTTCTCGTCATTGAGAAGCTCCAAGGGCCGCTGTTGGTTTCTGGCGGATTCTAGGAAGGGCGCGATATTCTTGGCATGAGCACTGACGGTATGGATGTTGAGCACGGGGTACATGATGCCAGTCTCGTCTTCGTGGAACTGACACAGCCTGACCATCTCGTCCTTGTCAAACTCGAAGAGGGGGTCGCGGGGTGCGTTGCCCGTCGGCATGGGCACTCGGGCGGGTTGCTGGTCGTGGTTGTCCGTCTCGGAGATGCCGCGCCATCCCATGTTGGCTATTGTCGAGTTAGCGACGTCGAGGCCGTATGCTATGCTCGTGGGCCCCCGGAAGGGGCCGGAAGATGCTTGGGAAGGTTGGTTGGGGCGCTGGGCTGAGGCCGAGCTCTGCGACGGAGACGACGCGACGGCCGAGCTGGAGCACCCTGTGGCGCGGTCGTTGGGCGGAGCCAGCGTCCTGACGGTTTGGCCGAGCCAGCTGACTTCATCCTGGAGGCGCGCCACCTGCGACAGGACATTTTTGAAGTCGTCCGTATCCTTGAAGTTGTTGGGGCAGCAGTTGGGGGCGTAGAGGCACGTCAGGTTGAGGTTTCCGCAGCGCTGGCAGGGCGTCTCGCCATTGCACTTGATTTTGCGTCGCTTGCACTCGTTGCTGGGGCGGGCAGCGCAGGTCAGCGCTGATTGCGGCTGCAGGCAAATCGTCGGCGTCAGGGGAGATGGATACTTGCCAGGCAATTGATATATACTGCACGCGAGGTCAGCAAGGTGTCACGCATTGTCTGCGCAGGCGGCGCAGACATGGGATGCAGGCAGCCGTCGACGCAGCCAACCGCTGCAGCAGAGACTCACCCGGTTCCTCTTGCTCCTCGTCTGCTTCTGGCCGTCGCCGTCGTCGACGGGCGGCTTCCGCTTGTTGGCATTGGCGGCGGAATTTTCTCCGAAGGACGCGGAACCCGAGCCTGGTGGGCTGGCCTGCGGCAGAGGCTGCGGCGTATCGTACGAGACACTGGCGGTGTCGCTCAGCGCAACGGGCGCCTGCGCGAGGTAGCGCAGGTCCGAGGCCTGCGTCTCGATCAGCTCCATGGCGCGGCGCCCATGGACGGCTTCTTCTATGGTACCAGGCGGAGGAGACGGGCGCGTGATCGAGGCGGCGGAAGAAAGGGGGGCGGAAAATGATTCTAGAGCCCGTACGAATCCAAGCGGCCGCCGTGTGCACGCCCACCGTCGACCCACGTGACAGTAGCGCCGCTCCGAAGCCAATATCAACGTCTCGCCGCCTCGAGCCGGCGAGCAAACAGTTGTCCGCGTCTCATCTCGGCGACGTCTGTGTCAAAGCAAAAAAAGCTTGGCCCATGTGGGCTCCCCGGCAATGCAAATTAGTCACACGGCTCATGATTGGCTCTCGAATCTTCAGCGCCCGTGGGGCCCAGCCGACAAGTGCTCATGCACCTCCTGGTCAGTGTTGCAGCGACATTCTATCCATCTAAATCCAGACAGGGCCGTCTCCCCTCGCTGCTTATGCTCAATTTCGAAACAGGCGAAGTCCCTCTTCCTCGGCATCCACATCTTCCATCCCGTCATCCGCACTGTCGTCTTCGTTGAGCTCCATCTTGCGGCCAAACAGCGTTGCGAAGAACCGGTCAACGGCATCTTGCTCCCACGACCGCCTGTCCTCGGGCGCCATAAAGTTCTGCAGCTTTTCATGCACCGTGAAGCGCATCTTCCGGCCTTTGCTGGCCTTGCGGTCCACCTGCTTGCGCGTCTTGGCCTCCTTTGCCGCCGTCAGCATCACCGTCGGCACTCCGCCAACCTGCGCTGCAGCCGTCTCCACGGTTCGCTGGTCGACAAGCTCCTTCAGCAGCAGCTGGTAAAAGTCGGCATCGTCGTAGACTTGGCCGTCTTCGCTGATTTTCCTCGACGCCTGCGCGGGCGCACACGAACGGGGCACTCGGGTGCGCTTGACCAGGCGGCTTTCGGGGTTGGCAAGCTGCTCCTCGAGGGCATCTACAACTGTCTTACTCCTTTGGCCTAGGCCCCTTTGTGCTGTTACATTGACGCTCTGCACCTTTCGCGACCACTTCTCCAGTCGACTTTTCCGAAATTCGATAGAGGATAGATCCTCTTCCTGGAGACGCGCCCATATGGCCTCACTAGGCATGGAGACAGCTAGTTGCCGTTTTCGCTTGTCGCCCGCTCTGTGAGGGCCAGCGAGATTTGACCTGAGACTGCTGATTGTGTTGAGGAGCTTGATGGCCGCCTCCTCGGCAGCCTCGTAAGGTTCCGAGTCTGACTCGGCCTCATCCTCCACTATGGGGAATGTGTTGGCGGCCACGAGTGCTTTCTGTAGTCGGATGCGAAGATTCAGGAGGCCGTCGTAGATGTTGCGCTGCTTCTGGATCGCCATGCCTTTTTCCACGTCTGCTCGGTTCGAGAGAGCAGTGGCATGGGGCCGGGCGTCTTCAGCTCTGGTTCGAGTGGAATTGCCACCTTTTCCATCATCGGATCTTTCTTCCGCGGCATCGTCCTCGGCATCGCTTCCCCCTTCCGAATCTTCATCTTCCGAGTCCCCAGCGTCTTCCGAGTCGCTGCGGGCCCCCTCGCTGGAGTCCTCTTCGTCTGATTCGTCGAGCTCGACACTGCTCTCGTCATCTTGGTCCGAATCCGCACCGCCATGACCCCCCTCTGCGTCGTATGAAGACAAAAGGTCCGCTACGTTGTCTCTTTTTCTGGACTTGTGGGTTGGGTTTCCCGGCGTAGAGCTGCCTCGAAAGGTAAAACCGCTAAATTGCTCCGCATCAGACTCGGCGAGTGCGTTGTCGCTCTCAATTTCCGAATCGCCGGCTTGCGCTTCATCGGCTGCAAGATCAACCGTCTCCGGGTCATCATACTCGGCGTCGTCGTCGCTCTCGCCTTCCTCTTCTTCGCTGTCCTCTTCCAGGGCGGATCGGCTGACGCGAGAGCCCCTGTAATCCCGGCCGAGCGACACGCCCTCCTTTTGTCTCAAGCGACTCTTCCCAACAGAGACGTAGTGCTCGGTTCCTGCGTTTTCATCCTCGCTGAAATCGCTGTCGCTTCCCGGGTCGCTAGCAGGCGCATTGCTTTCCGGGTCGTAGTCTGCGAAATAATTAGCCCAGGTTTAACTACACGCCACGACGATGCATCTCGAAATAAGCGCATACCTTTGGCAACCTTTTCATCGGGATCCTTGAAGTCCTTTGCGCGACCTTTTGAGACCGCCATTGCTTCTTGTGAGCGTTGGCGATGTAGTGACTGATAGAAGCTTGAGGCTCCTCGACGGGGAAGTTTTTCACCGGCTGCCAGTGGGGTGAGCGCTGGAACTTTTAGGCGGTGGGCTGCGGCAGTAATCAAGTCCCCGCCAGAGTAGGTCCCCGGCGAGGATCCACCAACGGTCTCGGCCTCTGAGAAGCTCTGTTAGCTGAGCCTCTCTTAAACATGCACGCATAATGTCGACAATCCACACCCATCAGTTCATTCATCTTCTGTGATAACCGTCATTTAGTTTAATCAGAGTAAGAGGTTCCAGTCTCGCCGCTTTTAGCCTTCCCCGTCTTCCACTTCGCTATCCAACGACGCTCAATTGGCACAGCCCTCAGCACCATGCGCACCACGCGAGCGCGGCTTGTCCAGTTCTCAAGGGCCTTCTATCATGAGAATCCTCTGGTGAGTTTCCACTCTTTCCCACATACACTCGCGGGAGCTTTGAATGACACCGTACAGGGTCTACCCCGATCAGGCACTCCTCCAAGCTGGCCAAAGCGGCCCCAGAGGAGAAAAATCCATGGTGTCGAAAAGGTCATAGCCGTCTCGTCAGCCAAGGGCGGTGTTGGTAAAAGCACAATAGCAGGTTCGACTCTGCGGTTACCGGTTCTCCGCCTTCTTTCTAAATGATGCGCATCAGCAAACTTATCGCTGGCTTTTGCCAGGCTGGGCTTTCGTTCGGGCATTCTGGACACCGACATCTTCGGTCCATCCATCCCCACGCTCTTCGATTTGTCTGGCGAACCCAGACTATCAGCCAGTGAGTAAACTGCTCTGCAGGCGCTAACGAGTGTGTCTAACTTTCTCGCAGATAATCAGCTCGTCCCTCTGACAAATTATGGAGTCAAAACCATGTCCATGGGCTATCTCGTCGGGGAAAGTGCGCCTGTGGTCTGGAGAGGCCCAATGGTCATGAAGGCGATTCAACAGCTCCTCCACGAAGTAGAATGGGGCGGGCTAGATATTCTCGTCCTTGACCTACCTCCTGGTACTGGCGACACACAATTGACCATAACCCAGCAGATCATGCTAGACGGTAAGCGTCCAGCCACCTACGAGGAAATTAAGACAGTTACTGACGCTGCCCAGGATCTGTCATTGTGACGACTCCTCACATCCTCGCTACCAAAGACGCTGTCAAGGGCATCAACATGTTCAAGACGGTCGGCGTCGACATTTTAGGCCTCGTACAAAACATGTCCATCTTCAAGTGCCCCCACTGCCACGGCGAGACAAACGTGTTTGGCTCCAATCAACGGGTAGAACGCATGTGCGATGAGCACAAGATTGAATTCTTGGGCGACATCCCCTTGAGCCGCAATATAGGGGACGACGGTGACAAGGGGAAGCCTACTGTCGTTTCGGAGCCCACAAGCGATAGGGCCTCTTGTTTTTTAGATATCGCTCGCGCCATCTCTGGGAAAATAAGCATGGAATAAAGTTGCGTCACGACCTCACCCACGTAGCTGGCAACGGCGTGAAATGAGTGGTGGGTACAAGGGGCCATGGCAGTACGGCCATTCGTCAGCTTGACTTCATTCAGAGACGCAACAAAGTGGTATCGTAAGAGCAAAGTCCCCTCGCCTCGCGTCTCCCCGCGTTACCTCTCCGATGCCGCGGAGTCATGGATTCCCAATGCGAACGTCCTCAACTTTAGCAGGGATGCCCTGAACGCCGGGCGCAGACAGCCTAGTCCTCCTCCAATTCTCCTCTGAGTTTCAGTCAAGGTGTCGCGGTGCCAGAACAAAACAGAAAATCCTTTTGGTCCCCTCCCCAACGCCTTTGGTATCATTTCACACATGGCCTGTACGTCGCATGAGGGAAACATTTATTCATCCTTTTCCTGCGTGTAGACAGGGCGGACTCGAGCAGGATCTTTGCGCATGGCTTGTCCGGAGCCTGTGAAGCCAACTGGAAAATGTGTGAGTATCCGGCAACACAAGTTGGTCCATCATCGCTTACCTCTGCCGTTGATGCCCTCAGGAGTGCGAAACATGCTCTCCTTCTTTTTTGTCTTGGCAATCTTGGACTTGGAGTTGAACTCTTGCCACTTGGACTTGCTAGCCTCGAGCTCCTTCTTAGCCTTTATTTTCTTGGGCTTGGGCTTTGGGGCATCCTCGCCCTTTTGGCTCTCGTTCCTAGCCTCGGGGTACATGGTTGCACCGGCCGATGACACCAGGCCCGGAGCAGATGCCGCAGACGCAGCAGTGGCCGGGGCCGTTGCGGCCGAGGTGCCGTCTGCCTTTCTCTTGTTTGACACGGGGCGGATGTCCTTGGATCTCAGAGTCTCGGTGGAGTCGTAGCTCTTGAATTTGACGTTGTAAATCGGCGCTGTCGACGATCCAGTGATGGAGGTGATACGAGCGGGGTAAAAGGCACGGTCGCCGGAAACCCATTTCGCCAGGACAGTGTCATTGACTTGGTAGTTGACAGGGGCCTCTTCCTTTTCCTCCGGAGCGGCCGCCTTTTTGAAGGCGGGGTGATTGTCTCGAGACCATTTTTCGGGCTGCGAAGGCTCGGCAACAGCAGGGCTCTCGGGTTGCTTTGGCTGTTGAGGTTGAAGTTCGGCGATGTTTTCGTCGAGAAGAGCGATGAGGTCGTTCAACTCTCCGGCAAGGGCTTTGAGTTCGGCGTTTTCGGGATCGTCGCGTATCTGGACGAGGACGATGTCTCGCTGTTTTTGTGGTGCTCGAGTAAGTTGCGACGGCACCCACGGCGACGGCTTTGAGGGATTGTCCTACCTGGTCCTGATACTGCTTCTTCTCCTCCTCGATACCAGCGATGGTCTCCATGGTGCGCAGCTGAGAGCAGCCTGCGGTTACCGAGAGCTCGGGCTCGTGCAGCAGACAGGAGCAGGTGATACTTACGAACTGGGTTGAAACCGCCGAGTTGTGGGTTCGGCTGTTGTTTCTACAAGGACGAGCTGGCGGTTGAAGGAGATAAGCCAGCTAGTGACCAGCAGCCGTCGCCCGTTGATACGTGACGCGATCAGCCCGGCAGCTGTGGGGTCTTTAGCACGTGATCTACCAGACCTCTACTGCTTTGGGTACAGTGCTATTTAAGCCGTCAATAACTGTGCTGTCACGGCAACGCGTTCGTTCAGGCTTTGCGCTGTTTTGAAAGCGGTTTTGCGCAAAGCCTGCAATACTGGCATGTCTGATCATGAGTGCATTCTCCTTGGTCCCGGTAGCTGAAGAACAATGGCCGTTTGCCTTTTATGCATGCACGTTGCAATGACGACTCGATCAGGCACACGAATGATGGATGCAGTGCCAGAAAGTGACCCATATGTCTGTCAGCTGCCATCCGAATTGCTCTCCGCCGTAGTTTCGTCGTATCAGGAGATCTACAGTATGTTCCTCCATGCCGCCAGATGGCAAGAGCATTCTCGGAGACGTGCTTGAGTGCTCAAGGGGGCCGGGCACCTGATGAACGAGCTAGGTACCTCGGTCTGCATAACATCAAGGCCTAATGCAGCCATCTGGCAGTAGAGCAGTTGGCTGCGCGAGCTGTTGCAACACAGGCCACCCACGGCTCTTCCTGGGAGCGAGGCATCTGCGGTTGGTCCCCAAGCCTTGGACTGCTAAGCCTAGAGTTCATGCCGGCGCCGAAGAGAGGCGTCGAATCTGCCTACCTAATCCATGAGGTTTGTGGTCGATGAGACATTGAACCTGGACGCCTCCCAAGCAAGACGTCCTCTAATTACTAGTAGTAGCCAAGCCAAGTGCCAGCGCTACCGGCGGGGGGGCCCCTGGGAGGGGGGGATAATTAGTGGGGTGCTGCCACCAGGCACGGATACCAACCGTACAGTGGATGGTGGGGGATAAGACAAGTGACGGGCCGCCGGGAACTGTGCTGGACAAGCACAGGCGCTAATTGGTCTCTGCGTGCGGGTACTTGGGCGGGCTTATCTCTCTGGCCACATCCGACTCCGCTTTCCTCCCTTTCCACTCGCCGCCTCTATCGACCCTCCATCTCATTCTTCCATCACCCACCAAACCCCCCCTCCATCTTGCAACTGTCGGCTGGTTCAAGTGCCCGTCTCGGACAAGGGGGAGAGAGAGAGAAAGAGAGAGAGAGAGCGAGAAAACGCAAGCTAGCGTCGCCGGTCCTCGACACTTCGAACCCAGATATCCGCTTCCTCGCCGACTGGCAGCATCCTGGCTCATCGCAGCGGCCACGTCATCATCCCGGCAAGCCAATTGGCACTCCACATCGCGACAAGCTCTTCTCAAGCTGCCCTCGCCGACTGCGGCGCTCACCACACACACACACGTGTCCCGCTCGCGCCACTCCCCCGTCGGCCCTCGGCGACCAACCACCAGCTGGCTGGCCCATGGATGCTGCAGCATAATTAAGCGGTCTGCAAGTCCCATCCGCCTTGTCGGCCACGCCGGGCAATAGCTATTCATCATACAAAATTCGACGCCCGCTCACAGGTGCGCACACGCGCGCGCCCGCACCCCCAAACCGGCATTGCCATGGCTCGAGACACGGACATTGACAACGCACCGCCTGGCACCCAATCAAAGCGACCTCCCCTCAGCCATGGCGACAGCGATTCACACAGTGACACCACAAATACCCCGGGCCCGCCAGCGCATCCCCATCGCACAAAGCCTCTCCTTCAGAAGCACCATCACGTCGGTCGCCTGCACGCCCGTGTGCCCTCATCCAAGGCTGTCCACAAGCAGCAGCAGCTTGCCCATGGCAATGGCCCTGCCGCCGCCAAGCTGAACCGTCGACCTCCCTCACCCTCGGATCCAGACATTCCTCAGCGCCCGCCTCATCGCCGTGTCACCAGCGAGGTCAAGCTTCCCAGCCGGTCATCTGCCCCCCTCTTCAAGAGCGCATCCCACGCAAGCCTGAAGCGCAACCGCTCGAATGTCGATGTCAGCAAGCGAAATCGTTCATCGGACAAGTTGAAGCGGTCCTTGAGCGGCACGGGCATTCACGCCTCCAAGCCCAGCAAGTCTCAGGTTCACTTCGACCTCGGAAGCGACGACCCCGAAGACGAATGGGTCGATGCCAGCGGCTCAAACTCTCCCTACTTGTCGCGCAAGGGTTCGCTGAACAGCAGCGCTCAATCCTCACTGCGACCCGGCGCAATTGCCCCCACCTCCAGGCCCGACACCGCCAAAGAGCCTTCTCAAGTTCCGGTACCTTCATCGCCTGATCGCGAGACATCTCACCACAAAGAATACCTCACCTCTCGGCTTCTCCAACGAACTCCATCCCACGGCGCTCCCCCAAAAATGACGGCCGACATTGCGCGAGCTGCCCGTCCGCGGCTGTCTCCCTCTCTCAACTCGACGGACCACGACGTTTCGCCGCCCCTGAGCACCGCCCAAGACGAACTCACATCACGATTCGTCGATGTCCCGGGCTCTGCACTGGCCAGTCAAGGCTCTTTCTACTGCCCCCCGGGTAGTTCTCGTCGATCCCAGGAGATTCCCAGGCGTCCAAAGTCGATAGCGGCTCTTACTCCATCACGCGATGCTGCAGATGTTGCTCCGTTGACCGACAATGATGACAGCGTCTTAGTGCCCAGGCCAGCCAGACGAACGACGGCTCTGCCGGCAGAGACCTCGCGCATACAGCAGAAGCTCAACCTGCAACGCGCCAGCTCGGTTCTTGAGCCGGGCCAGGCCGTGACGGGCGTCGGGGGCGTTGTCGGCTTGACCCCGTTGATTGGCGTCGGAGGCCCTGGCTTCGATGGCGGGAACAGCCGCGATCCCCGCGTCGGCAAACTTCTTGAACGCACCGGCATGGAGTACTTGGTGGTCCGCAGGTACCAAACCCCTGTGGCCCGGTCGTTGAGTCGGCTCAGCCGCTCCCAGGGCATGGACAAGAATCGACGGATTCCGCGCAGCGGCACCCCCTCGATGAATGGCAAGAAATCCTCAGACGTCACGCCACGTCATATGCGCAACGTCAGCATGCCCGACACTCGAGCTGCAGCCACGGCGAGACGTTCGGCTTCCATCAGGACCATGGGAACCGGCTCTAGTTTTGAAGGCGACGATGTCAGCCGTCTTAATGAACGGCTGAGCGGAGCGAGCCTTGTCGGCGCCGAAGAAGAAGATGGCACGACGGCACTCCTCAGAAACCTGTGGGAAAAGTCGATGGATCTAAGTGCAAGCACAGACTGAGCAGTGTATCGGCGACACATTAAAGGTCCCGATATGCCTGTTAGAGGCGATGATACCAGGCTGTAACGAGCTCGCGTGTATCGCCAGCATGCCTAGCGGTTTTTCACCTTCGGGCATGCCTTGTTCAAAGGTGTCCTGGGCCGAAGCAAGGATGCATGCAAGATGTCGAGGAGCGAGGACGACCCGGTCACCTAACGTCGTCTTTCAAGCTCGAGCCCGCGTTAGTCTGTACAACTTCCCAAGAGCTCCCTAGGCAATGATGGCCTGGCGGTAGTGTTACGACACGACGAGTCTCTACACAGCTGCCTATCTCGGCATCACAGCAGCAGTTATACGTTTTTATGTGATGGATCACATGAAGTACGAGCATGGCATTGTTCTCGACAGGTGGCTCTCTGAGTTTCGTGTTCACGCTCGACGAGTTATCCGTCCAGGCCTGATCGAGGGCGTCTACGGGAACGGAAGTGGCTTTTTTTGATGAAAATCCTGGATACAAAAATAAAAATTCACTTTGATAAGGCATCAGCGTCTCATGGTGACAACCACAACGATGGTCGAATGAGCTGGAGGAGGATTTTTCTCCTCTGGTTTGATACTCATGTGCTCAGTGATCCGTAATGGCAGAGAAAGAGGGTCGTCGAGGCCATTGGGCGCTTCAGCAAGCCTTAATCTATTGACAAGAGAAGAGAAAGGGCCCACAAAAGAGAAGAGGTGAGCTCAGGACCATTTGTCTCGCTATAACCCTCCTCTTGGCTGTTGATATCATCGCAGTCCAGCACGTCTATTCTACGCAAGTATCGCAGACAGCAAAGTGCCCAGGCACCGCTATATGTCCGAGATCTTTCCAGACCCGTCCTCTACGTTTTACACATTGGGCGATAAAAGGTCATATTTGACACACCGTTCAACCTGGGGTGCACACGAGTCAATCACTGCGAGGCGGAAAATCTGGACACGGAGAGAGGGCGGAGGGGGAGTGGACTCACATCTTCAACGCTGGCTTGAAGGAACCTCCTCGTCTCCAGGCCCATCCAGACCATGAGCATGGAAAAGTCCCCCTTCTTGGCCATCTCGGCACCGCTCTGGGCACTCAGCTGCCGCAGGATGGGCAGGGCGCTGCTCAGCAGGTCCAGGTCCGGGTTGAGGCTGCGGCCGATGCCCTCAAGCAGCAGGATGCTGATGACGACGTTGACAAAGTCGCCCTCGAGGCGGACGTGATGGTTGCGCACCATGCTCAGCACCTGCTGCAGGACGTCGCCGATCTTGACGCTGCCCAGGGCGAGAGTGCGGCTCTTGACGCTCAGGACGAGGTGCTGCATCTTGAGCGCAAAGACCTCCTTGTCCAGCACCGCGTCGGGCTGCCGGCAGCGCTCGCACATGAGGTGGCCGGCCTTGTAGCCGTCAAACTCGGCGACGGCGCGGAACAGGGCGAGGAAGTTTTCGCGGTTGGAGGCGCTCAGCTCCGTGACGAGGCCCGTGTCGATGAAGACGAGCTGCGGGCGATAGCCCTCGGCGTCGATCTTGGCGAGCTCGGCCTCCCAGGCTGCCCGGTTCTTGCGGTGCCGGAAGGGGCGAAGGCGCTCGAGGACTTGCTCCGTCACGTCGGGCTGGTCGTCGTGGGCGCTCTTGTCGCGGGGCCTGCGGAGACGCAGCTCGGGCTGGGCGGCCTGGTAGAAGCGCACCATGATGTTGCCCGGGTGCAGGTCGGCATGAACAAAGTTGTCGATGAGCAGCATGCGCAGGAACGCGTCCAGTCCCTCGTCAGCAATGTCGTGCTGGAACACGCCCCCTCCGTTCTCCATGAAGTCGGCCATGGGGATCCCCTGGGCGTACTCTTCGACCAGCACGTTGCGCGTGGTAAATTGTGCGTAGGGGTACGGAAACCAGGCGGTGGAGCGGTCCTTGAAGTTTTGCCGAAACGTTTCCAAGTTGGCCGCCTCAATGCGCAGGTCTAGCTGAAGCTTCATCATCTCGCCAAACTGCGCAACCTCGTCGGGCAGAGAAAGCCACTCAATGGTTGGAATGGCGTTGAGCGCAGCCGCGAAGAAGCCCATAATCTTCAGGTCCCTCCGCACCGTCCGCTCGACGTTTGGGTGCAGCACCTTGACGGCGACGTAGCTCGAGGGCACGCGCTTTGGCGAGCTCTTGAGTACCGTCTCGACGTTGCGCCGGACGTTTTGCGCCAGGTCACTGGGCCGCGCCGAGATGTCGCCGTCCCTGGGCGCCGCGAGGTCGGGCTTGAGCTTGGCTCTGTAGACCTGCGCAATGGCGCCGACGCCGAGAGGCTTCTCGTTGAACTCGTCAAAGATGTCGCCAAAGTCGCGCCCGTCAAAAGCGGCCCGCACCGTCTCGCGCGTCTTGCGCATCGAGTGCGCGGGGGCGTTAGAGTGCAGCTTGGACATGGTGTCGCACATTTCGTTGGGGAAGATGTCGGTGCGTGACGCCGCCCACTGGCCCAGCTTGATGAAGGCCGGGCCGGCCAGTTCCATGGCCCTCACCAGGAAGCCATACCACCAGAGCGTGCCGCTCCTCTCATGGTCGCGGTCCGGCTGCCTTCTGCCTAGCCAGATGGCAGGGACGGTGGCTATGACGGGCACGAAGATGACGACAAGCTGCAGAAAGCGGATGCCGGTGCAAATGGGCTCCCAGACATAGACGTCGAGGAACAGAATGACCTCGTGGGCGATGCGCGTCAGACCGCGGTCCTCTTCGGGCACTTTTTTGCGAATCTCCTCCCTCGACAGCTCCAGCATTCGATGCTCACCCGTCTCGTCTGTGCCGCTGTAGTCTTGGCGCGCGAGTTCAACAAAGGTGGCGGTGCCCAGCGCGGCGACACCGGCCGAAGCCCGCAGCACCAGTCTCCTCGCCGGCCATGGTATCTGTCGCGTGGTGCGGTGTAGCCGGCAATTGGAGAGGAGACGCGGTCCACCGGCACATTGTCGAAGCGCCGGGCGAATGCAAAACCGACCCAGGCTGAAGCCGGCCCTCATCTCTGCGCAAGGACGAGCGTAACCCCGACATGCGCCGTTGCGCTCATTCTCGAAACGGCGTGGGAGCAGTGGTGTCGACGTTCAACCCGCTCGGCAAGCTCCGGCTGGGGATCAATCTCGAACGGTGACGTAGGGACGGCCGCCCGGCAAAGGCTCGGCTAAACATGTGCACGTTTTTGCCCCCGGCCGACTGAGAAAAGGAAAAGACGATTGCGACAAGAAGCGCCAACCTTCCAGCCCAAACCCTCGAAAAGGTTTCCTCGCCCATCATCAGGCCACGTCGGCGACATCGCGACACCTTTCGACCATCTCCAACAATCTTGGTTTCGCCAGTGTTTTGTTTCCACTAGCCATGGGTTGGTTCTGGGCCGATGTTACCCCTACGACCGCGCGTACGCCCAGCGGCCATCCTGCTGTGCCGGCGGATCGGGCGCCTCCTGTGAGCAGCTCTGATCTGGCGCGAGGAGCATATCGTTGTTGATGCCTTCCCAGCGCGGATGCCTCGTTAACAAGACGACGCTCGACGCCTTGAATCCCGATGACACGCCCCGAGGCCCGTCACCCTCGAGCTGCCCCGTCCCGCATGCGACCCGAACCGAGGAGAAGCCCAAGTCGGTGCTGTCGCAACTGAACCCCCTCAACTACATGTTCCCCGACCTTTCCCAGAGGCCCGCTCCGAATCAGACGCTGGCACTTCCCACCTCGCGCGAGGAGTCGACGATACCCAGAGGATCAGGCGACGGGACTTGGGAGTACCCGTCACCCCAGCAAATGTACAACGCCCTGCTGCGCAAGGGCTACACAGACACAGATGTGACGGCGGTCGAGTCCATGGTTTCGGTGCACAACTTCCTCAACGAGGGAGCCTGGGCAGAAATTGTCGGCTGGGAGCAGCGCTTCTCGCGCGGCCTCTACAAGGGGTGGCAGGTGTGCAAGCGAGGCGATGCCCACAGCGCCGAGGAGCTGGAGCGGCACTTCGATCGGGACGAAAGCCCGCCTACGCTCATCCGGTTTCAGGGGAGACCAATGGATATGACCCCCAAGGCCACCATGTTGCAGGTGCTGGGCTGGATCTATCCGTCAAAGTTTGGGTACGCCCCTCGCATTTACCACCGGAGCACTTCCCCGGCTAACAGGGACAGGACTGAACCCCCCTTTGACCGTCATGATTGGTATGTCTCTCGAGATGTCAACGGCGAGCGCAAGGAGATTCGCTACGTCATTGACTACTACTCGGGAGAGCCCGAGCCCACCGGCGAGCCCGTCTTCTATCTGGATGTCCGACCAGCAGCCACGCCTCTGGGCGCCGCCGAGAGAATTATCCGATGGGGGAGCGACGTGTGGTGGAAGGCAGTAGGTGGAGATGCGCGGGAGCAGAATCCGCAACCGTTGTTCAACCTCGGGTCTTTGAAACCATGGGGGTGAGAGCGCGCTTGGGCGTTGCCTGTCACCCTGTACAAAACAAGTGTCTAGCTTTTCTCCAACACCCCCCCCCGCCCCTCTCTGGCGTGTTCTGTATGAACTGTACTTTAACCCTCATGACTTGAACGACGTACGGGAACAGGCGTTGATGGTATTCGATTCCGCTAGCGTCGGGTATTTTGCTCTTGCAAGGGCGGTTGCCGGCCCGTCGACGCTTTGGACGAGGACTGCGTCGCTGTTGACGGAATGAAGCCTTTTCCCTGGCGTATCTCGTGGTCGACAGAGCGAGAGGATAGCCGTGATGGTTTAGATGGAGAGCCGTGGCTGAGCTGGTATAAACGATGTCATACCCCAACATGGATCGCTGATGGTCATTTATGCTTCATTTTGGGTTGGTTTGGCATATATTTTACGATCAAGAACGATCAATGATAGACTACATCTACACACAATGCTGTAAAGAACCTCAAGCGTGCTGGTTTCGGAAGGGGGTGGAGGAAAGAACATGTTCCTCTCATCCTAGATTCATATAAGCAAGATCCGCCGTGGCTCTAGGTAGGCCAAGCCTCAAACCCCATCTGACACCAAACGATTCTCCGTCCTCTCGGCGCTAAATTTTAGTTCGATGCCCCACTCGGTCCAGAATATTTTCAGCCTACAAGACGCCTCAGCCGCCCGCGCGGCAAGTTTAGATCCGTCGCAACGCCGCCGCTCACGACCTTTCGGATATGCCTGCTGCAGCTGCCACGTCTACAAACACGTCCGGCGACTTCGTGCGCCTGCACATCACTCCCCTGGACCGAGAGCTCCTCAACATTGTCGTCCCCGCCTCCTTGCGGCCCAACGCTCGCAACATCTCGTTCCACACCGTCGAGACGTTTCCCGAGAGGCGATTCGGCTTCGTCGATCTGCCCCAGATGGACGCTGACAAGCTGAAGAAGAAGCTCAACGGCACCGTCCTCAAAGGCAGCAAGCTTCGTATCCAAACCGCCCGTCCTGAGGAGCGCATCGAGCCGACTGCAGACGCGGTAAGACCCGACAAGAAGCGGAAGAAGTCCAAGGACTGGCCCGAGGGAGCCAAGAGGCAGAAATGGGACCCCGACGTCTTGGAGGGCGTCACTCTCAAGGACCGCAAGGTGAAGCGAGGCTGGACCGAGTCGGTCGACGCAAAACGGAAGCATAAGAAGACCAAGGACAAGGATGGCCGAGAAAAGGAAAAGCGCAAGCGGCCCAAGTCCAAGTACACAGACAAGGAAGAGTGTCTGCTCAAGGTCAAGCTTCCTCCAAACGCCACGGGTAACCTGTCGCACGAGGATACGCAGAAGAAGAGCAACAAGAGCAAGTCGCGCGAGGTGACGGTCCATGAATTCGAGAGGACCACGCAGTTTCCAAGCTTCCTCAAGCATGCTGCGCCCGAGACGAGCGGCAAGTCAGCGGTGGATTTTGTCGATGGCAAAGGCTGGATAGACGAGAACGGCAACGTGGTCGAGGCAGTCAAGACGAGGGCTCCGGCTGTGCAACCGAAGCCCAAGAAGGCCCAGAAATCAAACGTTGCCCCCGAGGAAGAGTCCGACGACAGTACGAGCAGCAGCGGCACGTCGTCCGAAGAAGAGGAGGAGGAGGAAGAGGAAGAGGAGGAAGAGCCTGTCAAGGAGGAGCTAGAGAAACAGTCCGCAACGGAAGAAGGGGACGAGAGCCCGGCCACCGGAGACAGAGTGACGAAGGCTTCCGATTTCACGACGCCCCTTTCCGCCATCAAGACGGGCAGTTCGCGGCCGCTGTCGTCGAGCTCCTCCAAGAGCCTGACCATCAAGATTCCGCCGCAGACGACGCCGACGACCACCAAGATCCACCCCCTGGAGGCGCTCTACAAGCGAGCCAAGCCCGACGCCGACGCCGTGGAAACCCCAGCACAAGCCGAGCCCTTTAGCTTCTTTGGCGGCGGCGAGGAAGACGAGGAAAAGGAAAAGGAACAGGCCGGGCGACCGGTGCCGATGACGCCCTTTACCCGGCAGGACTTTGAGCGGCGCGGCATGCGCAGCGCAGCGCCGACCCCCGACACAGCGCATCCGTCACGAAAGCACAACCTCTGGGCCGCCACCGCGCAGGGCGACGACGACGAGGAGATGGACGACGGCGACGGCCATGACGACGAGGCCGGCGGGCCCGACGAGGCGCAGGCGCAGGACCGCACCGACTTTCAGGCATGGTTCTGGCAAAACCGCAGGGAGCTGAACCGGTCGTGGATGACGCGGAGAAAGTCGGCGGCCAAGGAGAAGCGCCACCGCGAGAACAAAGCGAGGGCGTCCAAGGCGGTGTGAACCATGCCCCCTTATGAGAGGAATGGATCATGGCGACGGTGAGAACGTGTGCCTGCCCAAGGTCTAGAATATAAATGGCCGATAATCCTTGCATTGCTCGCTCTTTGTCTGTCCGCCTCTGGTATGACACTACTACCTATGTTTGCCATGAGCAAGGGGACATGTGCAGATGCGTGAAATGAGAGCAGGGAGACAGCTACTGAAGGCGTCCCGAGATGGCGGGCTCGCTCCGTGAGGACACACGGCAATTCCGAAGTGCATCTGCCAATAATCCGGGCTCCGTGGCGTCGCCCTGCTTTTCGAGACGGATATGCTTGGGTGTATGACAGAACATGCCAATACTTCGCACGCACACCATGAAACTCCACCAAGTGCATGTACTCAAGGCATCGACCCAGAAGGCTGTGAGTTACTCTAGGTGCTCTAGGAAGTCCTTTTGTACAAGCAGAGGCAGAAGGTGGCAGCCATCACCAAGTCCAACGTGGCACCTCGAGGGCAAAGCAGCCCAGCCCACGCCTCAACCACTCGACGCAACCCCCACCGATTCCGAGTCCAAGTCATCCTTACAGACATGCGGCCGGTTGTCCTCGGAGCAAGTGTCGCACCGTGGGCGTCTCGGCGCTCCTCCGTCCCCCCCCGTCCCCACCTCGTAAGCCATAGCAGAAGGAGACCCGGGCGTCGTCGGCGGCGGCGTCGGCGGCGCCGGGCAGTCGTCGTGGCGGTGGAAGATGCTCTGCCCGTTCCAGCGCAGCCTGTCTAGGAAGCTGGGCAGTAGGCTGTTGTTGTTGTTGGCCGGCTCGTCCTGCCAGCTCTTCGAGTCGGCAGCCTGGGTACTGCGTCGGCGGTGCGACGCCGAGCCGATCCAAGTCCCGAGGCGCTTGTCGGCCGTCATGGACGACGGCCTCCTTGTTTCCCGATGCTCCATGGGCCAGCCGTCCCCGTCCCCGTTAAAGGGGTTCTCGCTAAACAAGGAGCGGTCGCCATACAGCGCGTTGACCACTGGCTCCTGCGAGAGGCCGTTGGGTGACTCGTTGGGAGCGCCGCCGCCGCCGTGGGCGTCCACTCCCATTCTGTAAAAGTCTGGGGGACACGCCTTGGTGAGCTGGTCCATCTCGACCGGCGGCTTCAGCCACTCGTTGGTACAGTGGCGAGGCTGCAGTTCTGGAAAAGACGTCATGTTGACCCGCCGGTCAGCCGAGCCGTCGCGTACAAGGCTGTTGACTGGCGAGAGCTCTCCCAGTGGAGACGAGTGGTTCTTGCAAGCGATGCCGGGATCAGTTCCTGAAGCTCGCTTCGTCGCAAACAGCCGGCTGTCCGCTTCGTTTTCCCTCCACACAATCTCCGTTGCACTCCGGCGCGATACGACAGTGGCCCTCGTAGACGCATCGGGACACCTGGTGCCAGCGCAGCCTGGAATATCCGCGCCGCCCGAGCCAGAGAACGAGGTTTTGGGCACGCTGATCGTGGTCGCCGGGTCTGCTGCTGCCGCCAGACAGGGCGTAATGATGTTGCACCGACTGTTGAGCTTTGGAAGAGAGGGCGAACTTGACAAGGCCTTGCAGCCTCGTGCGCTGATTCTCTTCATCGGTGTAACGTCCTCTGCGTGCTCTAGCTCCGCAAAAGCCACACTGAGGAAGTCGACGATATCCTTGTCCTTGACTAGGTAAAGAGTCTCGTCCCCGGTTTCATTGCGTCCCGCCCCGCCATGGGCCAGGAGGACCGAACGTCGAGTCGAATTTTGTAGTTGGTCTCGCACCTTGTCGACGACGGCCTGGACCATGCCTGCGTGTATGAACTGAGCCACGCATCCGTTGGCATGGCTGGCTGGCACTTCCCTTTCGCCGAGACCAGGATCACCAGCCTCGCCACGGCTGTCAGGCGGCGTTCCTACTGTCGAGCCTGCCCTCCCCGAAGAGGCTTCGACTCCTGGAGCCGGAAAAGTACATTTGTATCGGAGAGAGTCGACTGTGGGATCCTTGTCAGACATGGCCATTCGGTACGCCGGCTGGCCACCACACCCGTGCATGGCTCTCACTGCTACGTGTTCAAACCCGTACAAATCTTGAGAGTCGCCATTCTCTGACCTGTACATGTAGCAGGCTGTATGGTGATGACTGGGACTGAAGATGTAAAGCGCTTCGGCGCCCACCGCACTTGGCTTGGGCGCACGCCCTGACGCAGGAGTTGACCTTTCAGCTCCAGGCAGGGTTTGCTGCGACTGTCCCCGGTCCAAGCTTGGGGGCTTCAGAAGTTCCTCCATGAGGCGAACGGCATGGGAGTTGAGGATCGACTTGATGGATTCGGCCTCCTGTGTGGCAACGCTGCTGATGCGGCCGTTGGCGGTCGTAGCCAAGACTCTTGGGCCGTGACGCGCTTCAGAGTCGAGACCGATGCTCAGACAGCCGCGCGATTTGGAGAGTTTCCGGACAAACTCAAGAGGCCTACCGCCACCGGTCCCCGGAGTGCAGCAGAGTAGCCTCGGACAGTGCAGAGTCGTGGTGGACAGGGTCCGCCTTGGTTTCAACACGCCGTTGGCATTTGAAGCCAAGGAGGCAACTTCGTTGGGCGAGGACGTGCGACTGTCGAGAATGGCGATGTCATCGGCTTTGCGACGCGTATCGCCGAGGCCAGGAGACCGAGTCGAGCTGCGTCGCCGGTCATCACAGCTAGGCTCCATCGCAGGCTGCCGAGGTCCCGCAAGACCTGTATCCGCTTTCGGTAGACGATATGCAAGAGGTCGATATGTCTTGAATTCTAGCTGAGGAAACCTTAGGACATCACGGAGGAGTGGTAGAGCTGGGTCGTAGCCGAGAGGAGGGGTACTGGAGTGATGAAGAACAGGGCAAGGACGCGATACAAAAAGATGCAGTTTACGAATTCGAGAGGCTGCACGTTGAAGGACAGGGGGAGAGGAATCCAAGACCCCTGGGATAGAGAGATGCTCGAGCTCATTCAAGGCAAGGGCGCCGGTCCTCTTCAGCAACATGCACCTACCGACATCGCTTTTGGAGAAGGACCCATGCTCTCCAATCACCTCGCTGTCGGCCTGCAGGCCAGAGGTGCACATGGGATGCGAGTCGTGTTGTAGAGGTCGAAAGATACTGGTTGGAGGAGCGCAGCTATGGCTTACTCAAACACAATCTTCTGCCCCGAGAACGACATGTTCTTTTGCGCGTCTTGGGCCTTCTTCTTTGCCGCCCAGCTGGGGTGCAGCGGACCTTGATCGTCCCTCTTGGTCGGCTTGGGCGTTGGTTTGCCGGAAGCTTCGTTCCATGCACTTCTCGCCAACGGATCAGAGACTCCCTTCTTCCATGGGGTTTTCCGTTCCCGGCCATCTCCATCCACTGCGCCTCGCCTCATGTCCCAGCCTGCGTCTCGCCCGCCTGTTTGGCTCTCCTTCTGGAGGTGTTTGGCACTGGCGCCGTATTTCTTTTCCCAAATGGCCTGTCGGCCTCGCTGTCCACGGCGCTTTCGAGGCCTGGCCTCTTCGATGTCGGATGCAGATTCTGAGCCGGAGATGTAGCCGCCCATGAGAGATGGGAGGAACGTAGAGCCCCCGATGACGCCGGTTCCCGCGGTCGTGACGGATTGCTTCACCTCTCCTTTCCTCTGCTTCGCCGGGGGAGGCGAGGCTGATTCCGATTGGGAATCAGAGTCTTCTCCGGTGTCAGCTTCCGAAGAAGATCCGGATAGCGAGATGTCGTCCAGATTGACCACCTCTCTACTCTTGAATCTTTCAAGCCTCTCCTCGTCCAACTTGTCATCCTCCTCGTCGGAGGAACTCCCAAGCAAGTGGTCGAGCTTTGAGAACTCGGTCTCCTCGGTGACTTCTGCCTCTCTATCGGGTTCACCAATGGCCGGGCCTGGCTCGTCAACGTCGGTCTCGAAGCCTTCGAACACGGACTCTTGATCCGACGCGATCTCCCCCCCCGCAGTCGCCAAGTTGATGGGTGCTGGCTGGAGCGGCATCCTATCAGAGGGTTGCTCCTCCTTTTCTGTCCGTTTGTTCTTCCGAGCTCGCTTGGTCTTGTCGGGCACGGAGACGTTCAGCGCGTGGCACACCGCAGCAATGGCGCCGTCCGTGGCTTGTCTGACAGGCACCTTGTTGTAGAGTGCGCTCGTGACATTGTGTAGGGCACTGCGCTCGTGTTCGGGGAGTTCGGGCTTGGGTACGCCGCCTTGAAGCTCTTTGGGGAAGTCGGGGGATGTGGCGATGGATTCGACCCTGAGTAGCGAAGACGCCAGATGCGCACGAGCAGTCTGATGAAGGTCGAGAGACTAAGAACATGTCAGATTGCAGTTCTCGGATGAGACGTCCACATTGCCTCGTAGCTGACCTTCAACACCGCAATCTCTCGCTCTATTCTCTGCCGTTTGTCGGCTTGCACACCATCTTGGCGCAATCGCTTGCTCTGGCGCTGCCGCTCGAAGCCCTTGGCAGACTTGAGAGCTCGGAAAATTTCGTCCTGGTGCTTCTCAATAGCGGCCAGCAGGCCGGTCTCGGCGGAACGCTTTCGTTTTGGCATCGCGTGGCGGTCGGTTGTCGATGGATGGCTGGTAGCGGCGTAACGTCAAAAAAATCGTCACTTGCGGAGTCGACTTATCGGTGGACAGTGTTGCACAGGAAAAGCACTGTATTTGCCTTGCGTGATGGGCTCAAAGGCCATGGTGCTTTGACCGCATATGCCCCGCCAGCGTACTGTGCGAATTCTGCCCCCGCACACGTGCAGCATTCGGGTGTTGTCGAATACAAACATCGTGGTGGCTTCGGAAGACGGAGTTTCTCACATGTTCTAGCAACGCAAAATATGATGGTGGGCATGGCCAATTCGAGAAAAGAATCTTCGACGTCGAAGAGTATCCGCCACCGCCACGATGCCCTCCACAACACGAATACTGTAAGCACAGCTTACCCTTGCTGAACATAATACGGCCAAGATTTGCATCGGGGTGCGACAGGCTTGAAAGAGAGCATGTCCGCCGGCCAACCGCATGGTGGCTTCATTGGTGGCTTGAGCCGTCCCTCCGTGCTCCCTCACAGGTAGTGTTGCCGAGTTCCGTCGAGAAGCCACACATCTCGACAAGGTTCCGGCCGTCGCCGAAGGATGGGTCGTCGACGATACGGAGAGCAAGGCTTAAGGGAACAAGGACGAGCGAGTAGTCGCAGAGTATTGGGCAGTACATATCTACTGCTACATGTCTACTGCGATGCTGCCGGCGGTTAGAGCGCATTGTACTTGTGCAGCCGGAGGATATCGGGAGTTTCCGGTCCATGATGCCGCAGGAGAGTTCCGGTCTCCACCAGCCCGTTCCGAGCGACCGGAAAGGCGTCCGGGCCTGCTTGACAGCCTGCCGACCCACGCCGATAGATGTGGGCTTGTCAGGGTAATGCCGGTGCGCGATATAAGTTGGCCGACGGCTGCAGCGGCTGCAGTGATTTTGGCCAGGATAAAGACGAAGGCATCTATGGGGGTATGAAGAAACACTGTCTCAGACCTTGCTCGTGGGGGGATCCACTGCGGTTAAGAAGCAAAGCATCGAGACTCGCCCTGCTGACGCTCGGCAAAAACGTCATCTGCCCAAGCGACTCGAAGCGGGGGGCGGGGGAGACTTGCATCGTTAGATCGGCTTGACGACGAGCATTGCCGGTCCATTCCTGTGCCTCCTGGGCGGTCAACACAGATTCTCGCTCTGCACGCCGTGTTTCTGTTCGACTAGGTAGAGTAAGTAGGTAGGTGCCTTGTGCTCTGGCCACCGTTGGCGACTTTCCCCCGGCGTTGGGCTCAGGAGAAAGAGGCCAAACGTTGGAGGGCAGAGAAACGTCGCACAGGTGTGCTGTCTCCACTGACGCCATGCACGAAACAGTACCCCGCAGTACCGGCGGGGTAGCTGTACGGCACGATACATCCGCCGCGTCAATACCTCCGTACAGTATCTTAGTACAACATATGCCGTACTGTACCTTTGGAGGAAGGGATGGCGTCGACAACAGCGTCGACGCCGTAGGCCAAGACCTTGGTTCGAGCATTTGCAGATTGACCCATCGGCCTCAGCCAGAGTCCAGGGCTCGATCCCTTGCCCACCTGCCCAGGTACAGTGTAATTACTGTACCGGCTGTAGCAGTTGCGGCAAGTGATGATGGCATGGCAGCAGCATTCCTTGATCACCAAGCTAGACATACCGCTAATTAGACGAGGAACCAAGTCTGCCGCAGGTGGTCGTCGCCCGTCGAAGCTTCAATGTTCCCTTGCCTCGGGTATTGCACGACTCCCAACGTAAATGCCTACCTTAGCTACTGTACCTGGTAGTTGGAAGCAGAAACTCGAGGTACAGGAACATGGCAGTCACCTCCCTCTGCACTGCTCGAGAGGCCCATCGCGAAGCGCCTCGCAACGGGAGGGAAACCCCCGCAGATGCAGCCGATGACGACTTGTCCCCAAGACTCGACCCCCAAGACCGACAGCGGCCGACAAGGAAAAGGGGGCTGCCGTGGTGGAGGGTCGTGACTGGGTGGCAGCTCGTCACCACCGGACTGACAGCTGATAAGTATCGAGTCTGCCGCCGCTTCCTCGGCGTCCACCCACACGCACCTCGTCTTCCCTCGTCCTTGGTGGCTTCTCGTCGATTCGCGCTGGGCCGAGCCGCTTTGCAATTTAGACTTTCTGATCCCAAACTCCAACACACTTGCGCCCCGTCTTGAGTTTGGCGCCTCCCCTTGTCTTTCTTGGCCCATCTTCTCGCCTTGTTCCTTCTTCCACCCCCAACCCTTGTTGGACAGTCTTGATTGCCACGCGATAGATATTGACTCCGACTGGCCCTTGTCAACGTTGGCCCTTTTCCGGTCCGGTCTGTGCCCAGCACAACGACGGCTGGTGCGACCCCGCAGAGCAACAGCCCCCCCCCCGTGTGTCTCCAAACCCCGCCCGCTCAACCAGGTCAAGGTCCCCCGTCATTGCTCGCACTTGGCCTGGCAAACCAACACTCCCTCCCGCCGTACTGTGATCTTCTGGCTCAAGTTGATGCTCTTTCCCGCTCCTCTCAACCGTTCTGAGTAAGTCGGCCAACACCTTTGCCCCCTTTGCTCCCTTTGCCCCGGTTTTGTCGTCTGTCGACCGCCATCAATATCCGACGCCGAGCGGAGCCGCTCTGAGAGTCCCCCGCCTACGGGGCTGGACAGCACCCTCAGTTGTTGTCCTCTCGGCATTCGCCAGCGGCTCTTGTCCGAGGCGAAAAGTGCGGATCAATTCGGACGTCTTGCTACGCCCGTGGAGCAAAGGCAAACACCTGGACAGCTACGCCTCGACCAGATCAATGACGCATCTCAACCCCCAAGCTTGATCTCATCGAGTGTGCTCTGGCAGAAGAAATACTTCATATTTTGGCCCGTGACTGACACGAGTGAGGCCTCTAGTCCCGTCAACCTCCAACAGCTCAACGCTGCCTTCGCCGTCCATACGCCCTGAGTCTCCCCGAGGACCAGGCAACCGTGCGAGTCAAAGCGGATTGAAAACCCCCGGATCCCCACCGTCGTCATGACCTCTGGCAGCTTGAAGCAGGCGGCTGAATCAGCTCGGAACAAGGTCTCCGAGGTGATGAATGCCGCCAAAGGCAATGGAGCCGCCAAGGCCAACGAGTTCCTGCACACCCCCTTGATGAAGGCTGCGTTACCCTTCATCAACGGCGGCATCAGCGGCATGGTGGCCACGAGCGTCATCCAGCCCGTCGACATGGTCAAGGTCCGCATTCAGCTGGCGGGAGAAGGAACCTCGACCGGCCCCAAGCCCACCCCCTTGTCCGTCACTCGACAGATTGTTGCCAGTGGCAAGGTTCTTGACCTGTACACGGGCCTGTCAGCCGGCCTCCTCCGGCAGGCCGTCTACACCACCGCCCGCTTGGGCTTCTTCGACACCATCATGGGCCGAATGGCGGCACGGGCCAAGGCCCAAGGGCGAGATGTCGGCTTCAGCGAGCGGGCGACAGCGGGTCTGACGGCCGGAGGCGTTGCTGCCATGATTGGAAACCCTGCAGATCTGGCCCTGATCCGGATGCAAAGTGACGGCCTGAAACCGTTGGCTGAGCGCAAGAACTACAAGTCGGTCATCGATGCACTTGCATCAATTGCCAAGAGCGAGGGAGTAGGCGCGCTGTGGGCTGGTGCGGCCCCGACGGTGGTCCGAGCCATGGCTCTGAACTTTGGCCAGCTTGCCTTTTTCAGCGAGGCCAAGGTGCAGCTCAAGAAGAACACCGACTTGTCATCGAGGACGCAGACGCTCAGCGCCAGCGCCATTGCCGGCTTCTTTGCGAGCTTCTTCAGCCTGCCCTTTGACTTTGTCAAGACGCGACTGCAGAAGCAACAAAAGGGTCCGGATGGAAAGCTGCCGTACAAGGGCATGGCCGACTGCTTCGCCAAGGTGGCCAAGCAGGAAGGGGTCCTGAGATTCTATCGCGGCTTCAGCACGTACTATGTCCGGATCGCCCCTCACGCGTAAGTGTCCTTTCTGACGGCGTGGCGATATGTTGACTGACTCTGACGACGCAGGATGGTGACACTGATTGTGGCTGACTATCTCGGCTGGCTGACCAAGTAGGCGAAGGGCAGTGATGATGTTGATTCCTGTGGCGTTTTGGGCGAAGATAGCAATGGCGAAATGACGAGCTTTGGAGGATGGAATGGTGGTATACCAATGTGGCAGCCGTTTGGGGCATCTCCTTGTTTGCGTGTTCATGGCTGCGAAGTGAACAGCCGAGTTTCAATTGAAGCCTATAATGAGCCTCTTGGGGCGTGTGAGTGTCGAGTATGGGTTGACGAGCTCGCGACACGTGCTCGGCTAGTAGTCGAGGTTTCGTCAAATCGTGCCAGCAGGTCCAGCCGTCATGTTGGCGAGCAGTTGGGCGAGGCGAGGGATCATCGTCAGCGGAGGGGAAGAAAAGAAGCCAGCTGCGTGTTTTCTTCGGTTGTGTGGGCGGGGCAGTCGCTTGTCCCCGTAGCTGGTCTGGTGCACCCTGTAACTTAAGCTGTAAGCCGAAGCTCTCTTCCGCTTGACCCCTACGGCTTTGCCTTGAGAGGTCACCGGCGACTATTATTTTTCGCATTCAGTACATGTTGAGCGGGAACAATGCTCCAGTAAATGACGAGAAGTAATTAATGTTGAGAATATTGACCAGTCAGCGCATCGCTGGCTAGATGCTTTGCCCGCCGAGCTTGCTCCGAAGCGATACTTTGTACAGGCGCTGAAATTGCTTCCACGTGACTTCGCGCGACACCTGTTGCGCCGATCCGATGACGCAAAGAGCCTCCGCGCGAATGACGGTGCTGCTGCGCCCTCGCAGTCGGCGTCAGAGCGACTCGCGCTCGACACACGGCCCATGACCATGGTCGCCAGCAAGCGCACTGTGACGAGGAGAAGCACTCGACGAGCAGGCGTCGGCGGAAGCAATGATGAACCCGACATCTACCGGCAGATGCTCGCCGAGGCCGGCGTGGGCACGCCGCGTCCTGCATCTCCGGAGCGGCCGCCGAAGCGAAGGCGCACGGCTTCTCAACGCCAGGAAAAGCCCCAGTCGCCTCTGGACGACAAAAGACATCTTAACCAGTCCGAAACTGGAGAGCAAGAGGGCGGGCAAGCGCAAGAAGATGAGGACGAGGACGAGGAGCTGGAGTTTCAAGACGTCATTCTCCCCAACCCGACAGTCCAGACCCTTGAGCGGGACTCGGACGAAGAGGACTCGGATGACGACGAGGATTTGCATTTCGAGGACGTTGACTTTGTGAACTGGTTGAATGACACCAAGGGGAAGGCCCCGGAAATCGCAGAACTGGAGCTCAACCTCACTGCTCAGCAGTCGTCCACGACGCCGACCAAGAGACCTGGAGAGCGGCGCAAGCCAATCACCAAGGAGGAGAAGGATCGGCGCATCGCAATCCACAAGACCCACCTCCTATGCCTGCTATCACATGTTGCGCGGCGAAACCACTGGTGCAACGACCACAAGGTGCAAGAGTCCCTGCGCCCGCACCTCACAGACAAAACCGTCCACTATCTCAATCCGGAGTCACACTTGCCGCAGTTTGGGCAGGCCGAGAGCCTCAAAAATGGACTGAAGCAGGCGGCGGACGTGTGGAAGAGCAAGTTTGAGATTAAAGAAAGGGGCTTGCGCAGGGCGCTGTGGGCAGAGGATGTCGAGCAGCTCAAGGATGTAGGCATGGCCTGGCTGGTCCGTTTCTCGCCGAAGCTTGCTAACGCCCTGTTCAGTATGAACCTCTGGTTGACATGGACTCGTGCTTGGATCGCGCCGACTTTCGCGAGGCGGCCGGGAAGCTTCAGGGGTCGCGTGATGTGGGCGCGCAACTCTACTGTGCGCTTCTCCGGAGCGCGGGCGTTCGTGCTCGACTCGTCTGCTCGCTACAGCCCCTGTCGTGCGTCGGTGGACCGATCCTGCCCAAACCAAAAGGACAGTCACGCATGACGACATCACCCAAAAAGGACAATTCGCGGGATTTGTTGGCAATGTACGAGGCCACGGCCGAGAACACGACTGCATCGTCTCCCGCTGGTCCGACGGTGCGGCGGAGGCTGGGCCATCCCCATGCGACGGCCTATAACTTCAAGCCCGCGGCGTCCCTGCCATCAAGTCGGAAGACATTTGACGTGCCCGTGCGGATACGCGAGTCCCCTTACCCGGTGTACTGGGTAGAGGTGCTCGACGTTGGCCACCAGAAATGGCAGCCGGCCGATGCCGTCGTCTTGCACAGTTTCTGGAGACCCAAAGTCTTTGAGCCGCCCATTACGGACAAGGAGAACAGCTTGTGCTACGTGGTGGCAATGGAAGCAGATGGGACGGCCAAGGACGTCACGAGGAGATATGCCAAAGCCTATACGGCCAAGACGCGCAAGCTGCGCGTGGAAAGCGTGCTGGACGATGGCGATGCATGGTGGCGCAAGGTCATGAAGTTCTTTGGACGGCCAAGGCCGACCGACTTGGACCAGATTGAGGTCAACGAACTCGCTGGGGCCGAGGCTCGGGAGCCCATGCCGCGCAATGTGCAAGATTTCAAAGACCATCCTGTGTACGCCCTGGAACGGCACCTGCGGCGGCACGAGGTGTTGGTCCCGGGAGCGACACCGTCCGGCACCGTCGGCGCTGGAAGCCGGGGACCGCTGGAAAAGATCTATCGACGGAAAGACGTTCGCATCGCACGGAGCGCTGCCAAATGGTACCGTCTAGGGCGCGAGGTCAAGCCCGCCGAGATTCCTGCCAAATGGCTCCCCAAGAAGGCTAGTGTTAAGCGCTCGAGGCTGGGGAGCCCGGAGAATGCAGAGGCCGAGGCCGAGGAGCAGGCGGGGACCCCGGTCTACACGCACGACCAGACGGAAGCATACGAGCCACCGCCCGTACGCAACGGGCGAGTTCCGAAGAACAAGTTTGGCAACATTGAAGTCTACGTGCCCAGCATGGTGCCGCGGGGCGCGGTACACATTGTACACGAGCTCGCGGCGCGGGCAGCCTTGACGCTCGGCATCGATTACGCCCCGGCGCTGACGGGGTTTCAGTTCAGGGGACGGCAGGGGACGGCGGTGTTGCACGGCATCGTGGTGGCGGCCGAGTTTGACGAGGCGGTGCGGGCCGTCATGGCGGGGTTGGGCGATGCGGAGCAGGAAGCGGCAGACGAGAGGCGGAGGCTAGGGGTGCTCATGATGTGGAGACGGCTGCTGATGGGACTCAGGATTCGAGAGAGGATATGGGGCGGAGTGGACGAGGAGGAGAGGAAAGAGGCAGAGAGGCAGGCCGAGATGGAAGCGGGCTTGGGAGATGCAACCAGCGACACGACGGAGGAGTTTGACATGGTGTATGAGGAAGACGGCGAGGGAGGCGGGTTTATGATGGAGTAAGAGGAAGGATGTCGAGGCCTAAACCCGTGCTCTTGGCCTGCCTCAACAGAATGCCGGGTATGGGTAGGGGTGAGGTTCTGGGCCTGTTCGATGACGACGTGAAGCCGGAGAGGACAAGACTCGCAGCCCCACGATGCGGGAGTGGGTCGAAGATGACAGCTAATCTACCTGGTATCTAGCGGCTTGGCTTATGATGCCCCCCGGGTTTGTCCAAGACTGCGGAGAGCTCCGACGATGCAAGATAGAGGTAAAAGGACGACAGGGCCCGCGCATGATGGCTTGTTCAGCGCCCATGTACGAATACAGCCACGTGGAGGCGTCGTCGGCTTACTTTGGCCACGGCCAATGGAATTGCGCGCAAGGATGTGAGCACGTTGGGTGATGACGACGACGATGATGACTGTAGTGTATTCGTATGCATGTGTAACTTACAAACAAAACAACAGAGACGCTAACTATAATAAAAGTACTGCTTGGAGATGCGGATCGGGAGCCACATCTGTCCGAAGGCCGAACCAGGCCACGACAAGCCGCAATGGGGCTGTGCTTTTGGACAGAATACAATGTCGTTTGCATCGCCCTGATTGCCATGCTTGCGTGCTGCCAGGGATAAGAACGAAGCACCAAGGTAATACTGCAAGTTGTATGTTGGAACAGGTCTATGTATCTTGTACTGCACGTGAAGACGGACGCAAGTCAACATGCATGCGGCCCGTCAGCCACTGTCTAATAAAAGAAACGCCGTCGTCTCCAATTGATAATAAGACAGCCCCCCATGTCTCCGGATGGTGCGGATATAATGACGGCCTCGACTTGAGGGGCACACGATATCGAAGCCCGTTCCATTGGTAGCCATGCCGAGGAAAAGAAAAAAACAGAGACATGGTTGCTCAAACCTGCGAAGAGGAACTGTCTTTGCCCACCCGCCGTAGAGAGCTACAGATGCAGATACCTACAGCGGCAACCGAGCTGCTGGGTCCCGTGTCCGTCCGTCTGCGAAACCCGAGCGGCCGAAACGCGAGACCCCCCTGTAGGCACTGTAGACTGGAGGCCCGGGCTTTCCACCCTTGCCGCCAAACAACAGTTCCATATCGACCGTGCAAGGCCAGTGAGGCGCGGATGTTGCTTCTTTTCTCACCACCTCGCACTCGCCCTTTGCCCTGACTAGTTCTGTAGCCTTCTATTCTATTCCATTTGACTTTTGTCTGTCTTCTTCCGACTTGGTGTTGTGCTCTTTCCTTGCTCGTGTTGGCCCGAGCGAGCCTGCCCACATACAGACGCACCTACCTTCCACGCGCCTCCCCTCCGTCGACCCCCTTTCTCACAGCTTCACACTTTTCGCTCCTTTTCCGTGTATATTTTCGTGCGTGCTTTCGCGCCTGTGACCCTCGTTTTTGAAACAGCTGTCGCGCAACTGGCTGGAACCGGATCATCGCTGCCGTCCTCTTCCCATGGAGTCGTGAAACGAACCTAAATCACGGCCCGCTCCCGCTTCATCGCAAACCTCGTCCGGATCTACCGCCAGAGACGGGCGAGTCACGGAGCAACTCGACTGGACAAAAGAGTTCGAGTCAAGTGACAAAGTAACCGGGACATACAACATCGTGGCCCGCATGGCGGCTTTACAGGCCCAGAGACCCCCTTCGAGCGGCGGCGGCAGCAGCGGCAGCCGCTTCAAGAGACTCGCGGCCCAGACATGGACCCTCATGTGCAAGAACTGGAGGAGCTTGCTGCTGCGGCACCTGCTCCTCATTGTCATCATGGCCCTTTTGCTGCCCATCCTGCTGTCCGCCTTCTTCAGCTTCGCAAAGAACCTCTTCGTCCCGCCCGCCACCTATGGTATCGGGAGCTTGCATCCCATTCTGACCCTGCCTCAGGCCTTTGATGCCGCCACTTACAGCGGACGACACAAGATCGTCCTCGTCAGCAACGGCCACCCTGTCGGCGGCAACATATCGCGCGTTCTCGACGACATTGCCCGCCAGACGGCCGACTACGGCGACCCCATGCGCGCCGTCCGCGTCAACGCCGAAGATTCACTCGTCTCCGAATGCCGCAGCACCCTGCGCGGCGTCACCTCGTGCTTCGCCGCCGTTGTCATGCGCTCCTCGCCCACCGAGGGCCCCGGCAATATCTGGAACTACACCATTCGCACCGACGCCTCGCTCGCCCAGAGCCCTCTCACGATCAACATTGAGAGCCACACCAACCCCGAGCAGGTCTACCTCATGCCCCTGCAGCGTGCCATCGACGCCGCCATTGCCCGCCTCGAGGGCCGCGACGCGGCCCCCCTCGCCCGCACAAACGAGCTACCCTTTACCAGCCAGACTCAGGAGGAGCGCGATCGCAAGGTCCGCGAGGTCTACCACTCGGCCATTGTCAACTTCATGGGCGTCGCATTCATCTCCACCGTCATCTGGATCACCTATCATCTTACCGGCCTCATCGCCACCGAGCGCGAGAGCGGCATGTCCCAGCTCATCGACGCCATGATGCCCCTCGCTCACCCCTGGGAGGCCCAGGCCGCCCGCATCCTCGCCCACCATCTATCCTTCTCCGCCATCTACGCCCCGGCTTGGGTCCTCGGCTCCCTCATCATTCGCTTCGGCGTCTTTGTAAATACCAACGTCGCCATCGTCATCTTTCACCACCTCTTCGCTGGCCTGTCCCTGGCCTCCTTCTCCATTCTCTTTGCCGCCTTCTTCAACAAGGCCCAGCTCAGTAGCATCACCACCATTCTCGCCACCCTGCTGCTCGCCATCCTGGCCCAGTCCATCACCGCCCCTGACACTGCCACCGTGGCCGTCCTGTCCGTCTTGTTCTCGCCATGCAACTACGTCTACTTCATCACGCTCCTCGCCCGCTTCGAGAAACAGGACCGGGCCGCCAACCTCACCGAAATGCCTCCGGACAGCCCCTGGGAGATCCCTGGCATCGTCTTCTGGGTGCTCATGGTCGCGCAGATTTTCATCTATCCCCTGCTGGCCGCATTCGTTGAACGCTGGCGCTACGGAACTTCGACCAAGGGCCGGCATATGCAAATGAACGAGGGCAGGGCCCGCTCTAGTCTGGCCGAGAACGCCGTCGAGCTTGACCGACTGACCAAGACTTACTACCCCAGCTTACTCTCCCGCCTAGGGTCCATGCTCAAGAGATCCGACGAGGGCGCCGAGCCCGTTGTGGCTGTCAAGGAGTTGAGTCTCAACGCCCCCAGGGGGCAGATCGTCACCCTGCTCGGCGCCAATGGCAGTGGCAAGAGCACGACTTTGGACGCGATTGCTGGCTTGCATAAAATAACCAGTGGATCGATCACGATTGATGGAACCGGCGGCCTGGGAATCGCGCCGCAAAAAAACGTTCTCTGGGATGATCTGACCGTGGAGGAGCACCTCGTCGTCTTTAACCGCCTAAAATCGCCCGAGAGCCCGGCTTCAAAGGAGGAAATTGCCGAGCTCATCAAATCTATAGATCTACATCCAAAACGAAAATCTCTCGCAAAGACCTTGTCCGGTGGCCAGAGGCGCAAGCTACAACTGGGCATGATGTTGACTGGCGGGAGTGCCGTGTGCTGTGTCGACGAGGTCAGCAGCGGCCTTGACCCGCTGTCTCGCCGCAAGATCTGGGATATCCTCCTGGCCGAGCGCGGCAGGAGAACCCTGATTCTGACGACGCACTTCCTCGACGAGGCTGACCTGCTCGCTGACCATATTGCCATCCTGTCCAAAGGCACGCTTCGCGCCGCCGGCTCCTCCGTCGAGCTCAAAGACAGGCTGGGCGGAGGATATAGGGTCCGCGTTCACAAGAACCCTAGCATAACGGATACGCCGGACATTGAGGGAGTGCAGAAGAAGGAAGCATTCGACTTGACTACATACGTCTCTCCGACGTCGAGCCTAGCAGCCGAGGTCGTCAAGAGGCTCGATGCTGCCGGCATCACCGATTATCGCTTCTCCGGCCCGACTATCGAGGACGTCTTCCTGCGCCTGGCCGAGGAGATCAAGGACGAGCAGGTGCTGCAGGGCGCCGATAATGGCGCGTTGATGCCGGAAAAGGACCGCGGCGATAGGGATGATTCGTCTCAGAGCAGCGGCGAGCAACAGAATCTGAAACTCATGGACGGCACCAGGATAGGCTACGTCAAACAAGCGGCCATCCTGATGCGGAAGCGCATCACCATCTTCAAGCGAAACTGGATTCTGTATGTGGTTGCCTTCTGCCTGCCCATCTTCGCCGCCGCCCTTACCTCGCTCTACGTGCGGAACAAGGACCCCATGGGATGCTCGGCGGCGCAGCAGTTGTCGTCGTCGGCCACGCAGGACGCCTTCAGCCAGATCAGTGGCAATGACAGCGTCATGTTTCTCGCCGGTCCGCGGTCGCGCTTCGATCCCTCTTCCGCGACCCGTCTCCTCGCGCCCATATTTGCCGGCTCGAGCAGCGGGGCTGCCAGCCGCAATGCAACCATGAACAACATCCGCGTCGTCGATACCTTTGACGACTTCAAGCGCTTCATCACGGACAACCGCAAGAACCTCACCACGGGCCTCTGGCTGGGAGACAGCCAGAGTCCGCCGACGGTGGGCTGGGTGGCCAACCTATTCATCACCAGCTCCCTAACGGCCCAGCAGTTCCTTGACGTGCTAATGATCAATACCACCATTGCCACAACGTGGTCGCCCTTTGACGTGCCCTTCAACCCCGGCATCGGCGATGCCCTCAATCTCGTCGTGTACATGGGCATTGCACTCGCCTGCTATCCCGCCTTCTTCGGCCTCTACCCGAGCAACGAGCGCAGGCGGTTCGTCCGTGCGCTGCAGTATTCCAACGGCGTCAGGCCTCTGCCTCTGTGGGCCGCGTATCTCGTGTTCGACTTCACCATTGCCCTCGCCGCCACTGCCATCGCCGTCGGTCTGTGGGCTGCCCTGTCCAATATATGGTACCACCTCGAGTACGTCTTCGTCGTATTCTTTCTGTACGGGCTCGCTTCGACGATCCTCGCCTACTTCGTCTCCCTCTTCACTAAGACCCAGTTATCGTCCTTTGCCTGGGCCGCGGCCTACCAGGGGATATTGTTCCTGGCATACCTTATCGCTTACGTCTGCATCATCACCTACGTCAACGCCAACAAGATCGACTCGACGATTCTCATCTGCCACTTCATCATTTCCCTGTTCGCGCCCATAGGGTCGGCCATGAGGGCCTTGTTTATCTCGACGAACCTCTTTTCGGCGGCCTGCGACGGACAGCAAATCTCAGCCAGACCCGGCAGCTTCGTCATGTACGGCGGGCCCATTACCTATCTCGTCATCCAATGCTTTGTCTTGTTTGGGCTGCTCATCTGGTTTGACAGCGGCTCCGTCGGCTCCTCGATCCGGGAACTTCTCCACAGGCGAAAGGGCATGCCCACAGGAGATGGGGAGGAGCAGGACGAGGAAATGGCCCAGGAGGTGACACGCGTCGCCAGTGGAGATGCCACCGAGGATGGGTTGCGCGTGATGCATCTGACCAAGTCCTTTGGCAGGAACACTGCTGTCGACAACGTCACTTTCGGCATCAAGCGCGGCGAGGTCTTTGCGCTCCTGGGCCCCAATGGCGCAGGCAAATCGACAACAATCTCCCTCATCCGCGGCGACATTAAGCCAAGTGGCCGCAACGGCGGTGACGTCTTGGTCGAGGACAAGTCGGTGACCAAGGACCTGGCGGCGGCGAGGACGCACCTGGGCGTGTGCCCGCAGATCGATGCTTTAGACCAGATGACTGTGCGCGAGCACCTCGAGTTCTACGCCCGCGTACGAGGCATCCCCGACGTCCAGCACAACGTCTCCGCCGTGTTGCGGGCCGTCGGTCTCGAGGCCTTTGAGACGCGCATGGGCCACGCCCTGTCGGGCGGCAACAAGCGCAAGCTCAGCCTGGGCATCGCCCTGATGGGCAACCCGACGGTCGTGCTGCTCGACGAGCCGTCGTCGGGTCTTGATGCCGCCTCCAAGCGCATCATGTGGCGGACGCTCGCGGGCGCCGTTGCTGGGCGCTCTATACTCCTGACCACGCATAGCATGGAGGAGGCGGACGCGCTGGCCGGGCGCGCCGGCATTCTCGCGCGGCGGATGCTCGCCCTCGGGACCCCGGACGACCTCCGGCACCGCTTCGGCGACGCCTTGCATGTGCACCTGGTCGCCAGCACGGCCCCGCGCACCTCGGACGAGGACATGGAGCGCATCTCGTCCTGGGTCCGGGCCACCTTTCCCTCGGCCACGGTCGACGCCAAGACGTACCACGGGCAGATGCGCTTCTCCGTCGAAGCCAATGACATTGTTGCCGCCGTCTCGTCGCAGAGATACTCCGAGCCGGCCCGCGGCGACGCCAAGGAGTTGAGCGTGGATCGCGAACCCCCTGCCAGCAACAGCCTCGACATCCAAGCCGCCGACACGCCCGCCGCCCCTGCCATCAGCACTCAGGGCCGCAGCGGTGCCATCGGCCAGCTCGTCGTGCTGCTCGAGGAGCACAAGGCCCGCCTGGGCGTCGAGCACTACAGCGTCAGCCCGACAACGCTGGACCAGGTCTTCCTCACTATTGTCGGGCGGCACAACGTGCGCGAGGAGAACTACGAGGAGCCGAAGAAGCGCGGCATCTGGTCCCGCATCTGGAACTTTGGGCGCTCCTAGCCGGCCGAACCGCGCGAGTGCGGGCTCTGCATCTTGTGAAGGCGTGTGAAATGGCTCGTTTCGTGTGGTTGAATGGAACCGGCGCGTGATATTGGCCGGGTGCGAGGGTTGACTCTGGGAATGCTGCGTACATCTAGATGGACCAGGCGACTGCAAAAATCATGTTGGTTTTCCTCGCTTGGCATAGTTTGCGAATCTTTTCTAGCCCTCGCATACCTCCCCCTTTTGGTTGGGCGTCCGGCGGAATCTCTTGGACACACTGTTTTGATCCCTGTACATGGAAATCCACTTTAACGACCAAAATACACATTTACCTCCGAACTGTGGGCAGCATTAACTTTAAATCCAAAAGTTGGGAAGATAAATGCATGATTTAGTCCCCTTGACTGGTGCTTGTGTAACATTCATGCATCTTGAGAGCCGAAAGCTCGTTATCCATTCATCCGCCCGCGAATGCGACCTCGTCTGAATACCATCCATCATTAACCTCCCAAGCAGCCGTCTGCCTTTCCCACCTGCTATGCTTTGCCTTTCACCTACAAATCCCCCACCGGTATCATGATCGTAATTCGGAATAGTCATCAAAAATTCCTCGACGCCCGCTTCGCAACAGCGTAGTTAGCTGCAGGTACAATTCAAACACACAAAAGGGCAAGAAACATGACTATAACAAAAAGACGCTCTTGCTTGGCCCAGCCGTGCTTCCGTGATGATCATGCGTGTATCATGTCTCCCAGGTATTTCGTAGCCTAAGTTTCTATCGCTAGAAAAAGAGAAGGAGGAAGAAAAAGGGGCGGCGGGAAAAGAGGTAGAGGACGATGAGAAGAGAAGGGAGGAGCCAGCTTCACGCTCGTTACCCATGCTCCCATCCCTTTGTTTCCTTGAACATACCAAGTCGTAATGCCATTTCCAACGCCGAGTCCTCAGTTTCTCATGCCATTCGTATACTGCATAAAAGCCTTGAAGATAAAAGACGTTCGTGAGGGTTTCCGAGTGGGTACGATGCCATGTCCTGGATACGACAAGTCTCAAGCAGGGGTTCGTGGGTGAGTCAGGCCCTGGCACCGCTGTCCTGGTATGGGGTTTCGTGTTCTGGTCCAGGCCTCTAATGTCACCTCCAAGGCCCCTTTCCAGCTCGTGGACAATCGTTGGCTCGTAGAATCGAAGTAAAATCTCCCCATCGTGTCATTGTATAAGGTGCCTGGCGACTCTGGGATAGTTATAAGTAGTAGGCTTAGCTAGTAAGGGCTTATTAAGGCCCTTTAAGCTAGCTTTAAAGGTTATAAGCTTATAGTTTAAGCCTATAGCCTTTAAGTAAAGGTTTCGAGCAATGTGTCGGAGCCCGCAGCATTGTTTTTACGCCCTCTCCTCTTCAGCACGAGGGGTAATCTGGCTTGAGCTGCCGCCATCGGATACGTCCCTCGAGGCGAACCAGCCACCACGCTCCCACTGTCCCGCGACGTAAAGGCAATTGCTGCGTGAATTGTTGTCGGAAATGCCTTGAAGGAGGGTATTGAGGCGCTTGAAGTCGATAGGCTTCAGTATCCATCCATCGAAGCCTGCGTCAATATAAGTTTGCCTTTCGTTCTCCACCAAGGAGGCAGAGACTGCGAAGATCGGGATGCGGCCGTTGAGGGCCGCCAGCTCTGAATAGCCCTTGTGATCTGAGGAGCCCTCGATCGACCGAATCATCTTGGTGCTGGTGAGGCCGTCAACAATGGGCATCTGAAATCAAGTCAGTTCGCACAACACTACAAGTTGAGAAAGTATTGCCTGCACTGACCTGCATGTCCATGAGTATGGCATCGAAAGAAGAGGAGTCTTCTTTGTACAGAGTTGCACAATCTTCGCCGTTGACAGCATGTCGCACCTCGTGCTTGGCCCTTTCCAGTCTCTTGCGCAGAATCTTCATGTTGATCGGGTCATCCTCTGCTATCAAAGTCCGGATCGAGCTGGTGTCAGCTGCACGGGTGCCAGCGCCACTCCTGCTTGGACTGGGCTTGTGGGCACTTTCATTGGCGAGCTCAAACAGGACGCGAGACTGCTCGCCGGCATAACCAGGCGCAGGCATACCCTGGTACTCATCGGGCACCTTGATAGCCCGAACTGGAGTCTTGGAATCGCTAACCTCCGCAATGCCTGGTTCATCGCGAGTATTCTTGGGACAAGGCGGGTAGAGTTTGCGGGACTGAGGGCTCGCAGAGAGGGGAGCACCGCTGAAGCTCGTCCGCGACGGGGCATGGGTGGAACTACCCTTGGAGTCGGGGCGACTCGCAAAGTATCCCGTCTGGTTATCGTTCAGGGATAGAGGGGTTTGGATGGCGTTGATCAGCCGATCGGCATCACTTTGGTGGCTTCCGCGGCTACCCAAGCTACCCACGCTCTGATGGCTTCCCGAGCTGGTCTCCTCGAGAGTCGTCTTCTCTCCCTCGACAGCGACACTGATGGAGCTCCCGCGATCAATGAGCATGATCTCGCCCTCGGGTGCGGCTTTCAACGCGTCCGGAGCCGCGACTGGATTTGACGAGTGGCTGATACGTGACGGTGCCTGAATGCTTTCGCCGCCAGGTGATGTATCGGGCAAGTAGAAGGGTAGTTGGATTACGAATCTCGAGCCCTGTCCCTCTTCCGATTTCAAGCGCAGTTGCCCGTCCATGTTCCTCAGGATACGAGCGACGACCGCGAGTCCAAGCCCCAGGGTTCGGGATCTGCGAGGCTGACCTTTCTGGTCCGGGGAATCCTCTGGCTCGGGCTCTTCGCTGCTGACCTGTTCTAGCTCGCGGAAAAGTGCGTCTAGTTGCTGTGCGCCCATGCCAACGCCCGAGTCCGAAACGATGATATCGATAATGGCTTGTCGCTCTTTGACTTCAGACACAAATGTCTCGACGTGGACGGATCCGCTGTGAGTGTGTGCCACCGCGTTTGCCGTAATGTTTGATATGGCTTGCCGGACACGGCGGCCATCCCCGTAGACGAACTGAGGCAAGCCAGGATGCTGGTTGACGCTGTATTCAATCCCTTTTCTTTTGGCATCACCATGGAACGGATCGGTTGCTTCTCGGATGCACACCGACAAGTCGAAGATCTCGTCCTTAACCAGGTTTTGGCCTTCTTCGGTTTTTGTCAGATCGAGAAGGTCGTTGATAACGTATATGAGGGACTTGGAGGCAGAGTGGGAGCGAGCCAGGTTGTCTCGAGTCTCTTGATCCAGGCTTCCTTCGAGGGCGATTTCCAGGTAATTGATAATGGCGTTGAGGGGCGTTCGAACTTCGTGAGCCGAGTTTGCGAGGAGCAGTCGCGTCAGCTTGCTGCTCTGCAAGGCTGCCTCCTTTTGTCTCCAAACCTCGATGAACTTGCCTGCAGTGAGAATTAGCATATGGTCTCATCTCCGCCTCAATCGGCTCAAATACCGTAAACAAGGCACAGGACAGCGGCCGTCTCAACCTGTTCCTCAATCCACTCGCGACACTTGCCAATGACGGTCTCATTCCACATTCTGAAGCTGCTTCGCGGCTCGAGGTAGCCCGATGTTCCTTGCCGAATCGTCTTCTCATACGGGTTGCCGGCCCACTTGACTTCCTTCACTTGGCCCCTGCGGAAGAAGACAATGAAGTCGTTCCCGCCCACGCTCAGAGGTACGTAGAGTAAGCCTGCGATGACTTGAAATCCGGGCGGGTATCGGAGATCGGGAAAGTCATCTCTGATGTCCTGGCTCGTCAGGACAGACGTGAGCCTCCGCATCCGCAGGTATTCTAGCATGGCCAAGGCCTCCTGACTCTGCTCCAAGTTACCCAATATTTTGGTTTCGCCTTTAATGGAGAGCAGCCCAAAGTCGGCGTCGAAGAGTTTGAGAAGATCGTCCGACGACGCGATGATGTAGCCGGATGGGTTCTTGTCGGTAGGCACAGTGTTGATCAACTTCCTCGCCTGCAGCCTCGAGGCATACGACAATCTTTCAATGTTGCGAGAAGCGGTATCCCCCACAAGACGGCACATCTTTCTAATGGGAAAAGAAACCCGCATGCCGTGGTTTCCGTATGAGTGGCAGGCAATGAGTCCCCACAGCTCGTTGAAAGCGTTGATGGAGATTGACATGGACGACCGCACGGCCATGTTGGCCAAGTACTTGCGGTGAATGGGTGACATGGCGCGGAGATATGCATGCGTCATGTCCAAAGGGACGTCGAGATCTTCTGCCGCGCGACACACGATTCGCGCGGTCTGAAGATCCCGGTCATACAGCAACCGCACCTTGTTGATTTTGTACAGATCGCGGGCCTGTTGGGGAATATCACTGGCTGGAAAATGGAGTCCTTTGTAGAGGTCGAGGGTTTGCGAGGTATCAACAAGCTCCGTGACGACCTTTCCATTGAATGACGAGTCAAACTGATAGATCATGACGCGGTGGAAACCGGTGAGCTCCTTGACGATGCCAACGAGAACCTTGAGAAAGGTGTCGAGGTCGGGGGCAGAGGCGAGTTGCTCCTGCACTTGGGACATGATGTCGAAAACCTGCATGGCGCCTTGCTCGCCTCTCCGCTTCCTAGCACTTCGCAAAATGCGGAGGGGCTTGCTCAAGATCTCGGTGCTTTGTTCAATCTCCTCGAGGGTGGGGTTTGAATGAAGCGTGTCGTGCGGCACGTCGGGCGTCAGCTCGTCCGCTGGGCGAAGTGGGTACTCGTGGTCGTTGTCGAGCTCGAATTCGCAAATGACGAGGTCGGGGTGGGCGGGATTGATATGGATGGCACACCAGAATTTGACGCTCTTCCTCTTTTTCGGCGGACGAATGGAGAGGCTGAGCACCTCGGGACCGTTGACGGCAGGATCGGCATCCTCGTCGCGGATAAAATCGATGTGATCGAGTAAGTTGTCCTGCTGCTCCTCGGTCAAAATGTCCATGAAATTTTTGAGTCGGAAGAGCTGTTTGGGGCCGTAGCCAAGCATCTTTTCCGAATTCTCGCTGACGTATCGAACCGCGAAGCTCCCGTCGCATTCCTCTCGCAAGGCAAGCAGGACACCGAAGCCTTGCACGGCCCCGGGCGCATGGATCGCCTCGTCTTCACACTGCTGCAGGACTCCGTCCCGGCCTGTGATGACGGCGTGACCGTCCTCAGTCTTAATGTGGGTGAAGCGTGTGGCGACGTGGGGCAAATCAGCGAGGGACTGCTGTCCCGAGACGAACGAGGCGCTCCTTGGCCCAGAATCGCCGGCTGCGGGAGCCGCCTGTTCACCACCACGGAGCCCCGAGTCTTCAGAGTCCTCGTCTGAGGTAGAGATGACCAAGTTCAGGGGGGCGACAGTTCCTTTGCGAGCGGCGTCGGCTTGAATGCTGGAAAAAGGGCCGCTCGCGGCCCTCTTTCTTCGCATCTGAGCGCTGTAGTCGCCGGGAGTAGTCGACGCCGAAGACGGAGGTAGAGTGTCGGACCTCCTGTACTCGATGGGCGAAGTCTCATAACGGGCGTTGCTAAGGCGGTGAATGGGAATCGTGCGAGCTTCGACATCAGAGGGGCTGGCGAAGTAATCGTCTCCGCCCATGGGGCCCCTATGGGCCGGGTCGACGCTGACGACGGACCGGATGGGAAAGACCCTGTCGGTAGACATGTCCGAGGCGGCAGAACAAGGGCCCGTCTGCTTGTCGGAGCCGACACTCCAGGAAGAGACATGGTCGGGGCTGGTGGCGGTGCGCGGCGGGAGATCTGTGGTCATGGCCGAGGTCAGGTCGGACGGGAGCCTGGGCGGCGGTGAGTTGAGCGAAGCAAGCGGTGTTGCCACTGAGCCTCGGGAATGACCATGGCCATCAGTTTCGCTATCTGTGTGCCATGAGGGGATGCTCTCTTGCGTGTCGTCCATTGCGAGCCGACTCGCGACCTAGAAGCCACGACAAGGCTGGGGACGAGCCCCCTTCTGTTGTGATGACAGCAGTTGGAGCGAGAGGGAGGCGAGGAGGCGAACGCGATCTAGAGTGTTTCAACACATGCCGCGAGCATGGAGTTTGGCGGAAGGAGACCTGATTCTAGGCCGGATTCCGGAGCCAAGAGGGCGGGCGGAAAGACGGTAGCCAGAGCCTGGAGCTGCTGGAAACAGGAGATTAGGGAAAGGGAGTGAGTGGCTGCTTTGAGGCTCATGTGCGGGAGTGCGCAGTCGAGCGCGGAGGAGGGTGGATGTGGTGGTGGTGGTGGTGGTGGCGGCACAGTGTGTGGGAGACGAGACCAGAGAAGCAAGAGGGAGGGGCTTGTTGCCACGCTGACGCTGCCGCTGCTGCTGACGCTGCCGCTGCTGCTGCTGTTGCTGCTGGCGGTGCTGTACAGTGCAGTAATAGCAGGGTAGAAGAGGTACATGCGCCATACTTGCCTTAGTAATTGAGATACCTGGCTTGTCTGCCATCTTACCTGTCACATCCTCGTCCCGAATCACGTTAGCACCGTCGATGACGGGTTCTATTATCGGCGCCGCTCCCGCGCCATCGACGTCGGCTTTTTCTTTGCTACACAATGCCTCGGTGGGTGGCCGGCCTTTTAGTGGCAGCGAGAAGGGCGATGAGGTGGACTGTCCGATTGCCCTTTTCCCCCGGGCGTGGATGACGCGTAGGGCCCTGCCTGTCTGCGCATGCACATGCACAAAGCACCTGCCGTACTTACAGGAAGCAGGCAAGGCAGGCTGGTTGGATTGAGGGTCCAGAGTTTGTTGATGCCCACCGCCACACCGATTCCTTCATCAAAAAGACGACCTTGACAAGCCACCGGGACAAGAGGCGTGTACGGAGTAGGTAGTGTACCTGCAGGTGAGCCGCTCGCTTCCTTTCCTTACTTGTGCACTTGTGGGAGGAGTGACATGGGCACCGCCACAAACCACGGTTGGCCGTGGTGTCTTGAGGAATAAATAGTGGCCATCCATCGACAGCGAAGCATCAAATTTCTGCGCACAGGGTCTGGACCTTGGTCCCACGGGCAGCGGTCGAGAAAACAAGGTAATCGATGACTGCTGCACGCAAATGGGGCACACTGTGAGGAGACGCCACCGGAGCTGACCCTCCCCCATGCCCTGTGGGTTGTGGGTCCCTCGAACCCTGCCTTAATTATCCGTACGGTGCAGTACATCGCCCTGTGCCTTGGCAGGCTTGAGTTGCTTCCCAGCTGTTGAAAGGTCTGGCCCGGCCCCGAGAGCCGTCGACAGGGAAAAGTGATGGCCTGCCGGCTGGTGGGACAGGCAGCATGTCCGTCCCGAGTTACTCTTGTTTCTACCTGGCCAACCTGACGTAGGTAAGTGACCAGCAGGCACGGAGGAGACAGCCTGAGCGCCAAACTGGGCGCCCCAGGTTCACGGCCCGGCGCAAACGCTCCGAGAGCGGGTCTGAGGTCCGAGCCAATCATCAGCCACACCCCTCCGGCCAACCGGGTCACGGAGCCCGGGGTGGCCCAAGCTGGCGACTTATACCGGCATGTCGCCTCAGTTTTCCCGATGCCAGCCAACAAGGCTTGGACTTGACCAAAATGCGATGGATTCGTGTCTTCATTGCTTCCAATTCAGAGTTATGCCAGGGTCAAGAAGCCCCCATCTCCCCATCTCCCCACCGGCTCGATGATCCTGCATTGCGATGAGATATCCACCCGATGCATCTATCCTCCCGACTCCACGTGGCTGAAACCATGATCTACATACAACTCATTACGTCAACCATCGGCTGGCTCTCGTCGTCCTCGACAGCATCTTTCGCCAAGTCTTTTGGCGGCGACGGCCATTATCGCCAGCAAGTGTTAAAGGCCGAGACTTTGAACTCAACCGTCTACTCGCCCATCTTCCCCAGGCCGCAGGCACTTCTCCTTTCCTGCCTGTGATAAACGAACTTACCCCATAAAAGAGTTGGGCAAATTGAGACCGTTTCTTGCTTCGGATTAAGAAGGTCTTCCTGGTCTATTCGATTTCCGCCATCGAGTAACTTGATTCACCACGTCTCTTACCACCTCACATGAACGGTGATTGAATTGGACAACTGCTCAAGTCCCAAAAGCAGTTCGTTTCCGTCAAAGCTCACGCCCTCCAGAGGTTTCATCCCTCCTCTGAAATCCTTGCGCCTACTCGTTTACATTTCGCCGCCATTCATTCCTATACGTTCTTAGCTGCTCGTCTGAGATGTCCCGCAGAAGTCAATGAAAGCAACTGGACTGCACGACGAGCCTGGCTGGCCTCAAGCCTGAACCGGCCACTGTACAAACGCCAGGCAATCGCTTCCACGAAAAGGCAACCGGCCAAGAAGACAACAAGCGTTGATCAAGTGTGCCTCTAATGCGCTGCGTGCGACTCGCCTTCTCCGGCCTTTGGGTTGCAAGTTCGACGGCTTGAGCCATTTATGGCGGATCATGGCACGACCCAGATTGCGGCTGACGTTGCAAAAGCAAAGAATATTTACACAGGCGAAGCAACGCTCGCTATATGGACAGAGTAAGCGAAGGCGCAACTTTTTAAGACGATAGTCCATGACGCTTGCGTTGCGTTTCGGTATGTCTGCGGGCGAGAACGGAAGAAAGCTAGCCCCATGTCTCCTAGATGAGAGCATCTCTTATCGTCAGCTGTACACCGTCCGTGTTACATCGGCTCTCCACATACAGGTTTCTCCTAGATCTTTGCTTCAATGTCGAGCCCATGTGATCTCGGTGTTGCGTTTATCGAGTCAAGTAGTCGGTCTGTGGCCTGAGGCTCACTTCCGCTTGCAATGCCTGCCAATGGGGCCACATGAATTTTTTGAAGAGACCATCCACCGTCTCAACCCTGAGAACAGAGAATCATCAAAGAAGATGAAGAAGGTAAAGATTAGAGTAATTCATATGGGCGGACTTATCTCTTGGCCGTGGAGGGCTGTAGGTGAGCCAATCGAGCTCGAGAGCGAGCCAGGGACCTGTTTGTGCCAACATTCGCAAGACCTCCTGGTGTATAGAGACGGGTGTTTCGGGGGAAAGGGTGAGGTTGGCACACGATATCAAATCCTCTGCCGACTTCACCTCTTGTCGCTCACTGCTCCTCCGCCACCTACCGGAAACTACAACGCTCTGTCGGAAAAGCAGACGCCGATTCAACACAAGTTGATCATCACATGCTCACGATTGCCTGCTTTGATGCATGGGTAATGAACTATTCCCAGCAACGAGCAAAGTCGAGCACTATCGGTCCTGGTGACCCGTATGTCCGGCCAAGGTTTCGGTTAGCTTTTCGTGGGTCATTTCTGCATGAAAACTTCGCTCAATGTTAGATCAGACGTTTGCATCGATATGAAGTGGTCACGTTGTCGTTGATGTTGGTGATATGTCTTGTTTTCTAATTTCGTACCTCGACTTTGCTCGATTCATTACATGGCCACACTCGGCGAGCCATGATTCCTTTCCTGCACGTATCCTATCCCAGCGCCATTGCCATCATGCAGCCATCACAAGAAGGGGCTATCGTTCTTCAACCAGCATGCTCAAGCGATTCCAACTTATGGACGAAGCATCAGCTCTGGAAAAGCGCCTACCCCGGAACCCGGCTTTGAATCTCGATTTTGCTCACCACGACCTCACTTTTGGTCGGGCGAGATGACATACCTCTGGACCTTTCTTTCACAAGGGATTCCGGTCAGTCGGATCACCTCACGTATATACTTAAGAGCCCAAAAGGCCCGGGTCATCTGATCAGAGGCGTCTCATGCTTTTCAGCGTCATATATGTTTGAACTTCTATTTTTCCCCTTTAACTTTGTCTGCCCGTGCAGACACCGAGCTCAGAGGCCATGAAGTGATTTGCAGCCCGACGCATCAGAGAGGTGCATGACGTGTACTGGTCGCTTGCTTCCCGATGATCAGATGGTGTTGACATCCGTGGAGCAGATGACTAACTTCGCTGCCCTTGGCCGTGTGCTGCGCGTGCCTTGGATGTGTGCCCTCGTGCCCGTCAATTCACGCACGAGGGCTCGAGTCCACTGGCCAGAAAAGAAACCACCCGACACTTCGTTGGCCGCCGTCGCTGATGTCCGGTCCGGTCAAGCCCGCCGGAGCCGCCAACTGGACCGGACGGGGTGCCGATGGCGACCCACCTCGAGCTCCGGCACGGCATCAAATCCGGGCCTGTTGCGGCAGGGTTCATTTGCGCACACGAGAAGCCGACGGGGTCGTGACTACGATGTGTAGACGACAAGCTACATGTTTATCTGCATGAGCAGTCGGCATTGTGTCTAGCGAGCATCTGACCGAGCGGCCAGTGACGCTTTTCGGACTCGTAGCTTTCTGGCCAGTGCAGCTTCCCTACTTCGGTCAGCCCTACGGCCGCAAGGGAGATCCGGCGGCGCCCTCATGCCCGAGCAAAACACCAATGCAGTCTGCCTCCTCACGAGAAAGAACCAGGTCATCCTTCACTTGACGAGCAGACATTGGAGACTCAGCAACCCCGAAACCCATCAATCATTGGGTCATTGAAGCCCCCAAACTTTACCACCCTGCAGCATGAACGATCACACAAAAGGTCGGTATGAAATGTCACTACAGCTGATTCCCGGCTTCTCCAAGACAGTCAAGACGACATCTCAAAGCCGGGTGCCCAGCAACGAGTGGGATTGGATCTATGCCAGAGCGAAAACATCAAGGTCAATGGACAGATGACGGAGATGTCGATATACGTTGCAAAACAACGCAATAGCTGGCAGCGTTCTAGATTACCGACGAGGCGCTTGCTTGTGCCCGT